TTAATCCGGTGTTTGTCCACTCTGCGCTAGTTGCCATTACAATACGTAATCCTTCCTGGACACAACATGAGCCAGAAGCAAGAAAACTCAGGTTCGGCCGCCTCCGATTCTGACTGACCTTTCTTTTACAATTGTCGGTTCTGTGTTCTTGTCTAATGCCAAGGAGGTGTGGCAGTTTTGGCTTGGGAAAATACCGTCGGCAAATGAGGATGAGGTAGAATCTCCCACCCACCTTCTCTTTCATTCCAACCGAAGTGCAAATCTTTTTATGGACAAGTTTTGCTGTACGAGGTAGCAGATATGAGATCTTGCGTTGTCTTGTAGGACTACAATTATCTCTTTTATCCAATTGGTTGGTTTAATTTTTCTGAAGAAGAACTTTTCTGGCCCATCTTCCAGTCCTGTTGCACCGAATGGATAGATCCCAGCTCTAATTTTTGTTTAGCCTTCAATAGGTGGACGGTTGCGTCCGCAGACTAGCCTACCACACCCTGCAAAGCATGGAAATGAAGTGGCGTGGGCCTTGGAAGTGTGGGGTGGGCAGGAAAGAAATGACGTTGAAATACGGAAACGTAAAAACCATTTCACATTACAAATCAGTCAGGGGATAATCTAAAAAAGGAATTTGTAAGGTACGTGATATGCACACTCATAACCGCGAGCGCTGCTGACTAGCCACTCTCACTGGACTGATCAAACTCTTGGCTATTTCTAATTCCAGGTGAATGTCAAGGTATTTGAAGACTCCAGACCAGAAGGGCTTCACTACCTCAGTCTGGAGTACAGTGAATGGTCACAGCCTTTGTTTATTTGTAACTCTTTAATGGCCACAGAGAATGGACCAGTCAGAAACAAATGAGAGCACCCAACCTTTCCAAGCACCACGAATTTGACAAAAAGAAGAAGCCCAATTTCCAAAACTTCGATTTGGAGATATTTTTGGATGGTTCCAAACATCCCCAGCAGTACATGGAGGAAGTGACGTCTCTGAAGTTTATTGTCATCTATTAATCAATCCATGTTTATGGGGTACATTTGCTGGGCGGCTTCCATCACGACTTTCCCTTCCCAGGTTTATGGAGGTACAAGCCAATTGTTCCATCATCATTTACATAAAAAAATAATCGCAACTCTTCTTGATTCGACAACCTCAGCTTGTTTTAACCCTGTTAATGGCGACACGTACTCCTCCATTCTACGCATGAATAATGGAGGGCCCTCCTTTGAAGGCTTTAGTACCAGGCGGAAGCCACACACGCACTTAACTTACGTCACCCTCCCTGTTTTACGTAACAGAGGCAAACTACTTGACCTCTGATGACCCACAACTCTGCTAATTAAGCATGTCTAAAACAGATCCAACAGGGTAGGTCTGGTAGTGTTCCCCTCCACTGCACTCGTGAAGTTGTCCAGTCCCGATTCGATCCCCTGAAAACGCCATATCTTATGGAAACCAGTGCATGGAGAGAGCGTCACGAATGGGTTTTGATGTTTGCCCCCACTAGGCGTGATTCCAACCATTATTCTTATTAGTTATGTCCTAGGTTAACGCCTCTTAGAGCCACTATGTTTCATTCAATAGTCATTCCCTTTCCTTTTGACCAACTCTGGACACCCTTCTATTTGTTAAATCTAAAAATCGCGGCAGCCTCTTTTTTGGTGGAGTCTAGTGCAGTAGTTAAGTATCGTACAGACACAGTGATCCAAATGTTTTGCAGCATCCTTCGTAATTAAAGACGCGGAGTCTAGTGGAGCTTAAGTTGTAAGCAAGCACAATGCATTAGGGATACCACCCCCTTCTCTCACTTTCGTCTTTTCTAGACTGGCGATGTCCCTCTGTGAGGTGGAAGGCTACGTGGTCTACTCCACCTGTACCCTCTCGACGGCCCAAAATCAGGCTATCATTGAGTTCTGCCTCGGACGTCGTGAGAGCGGTAGTGACAGCAGCGGCAGCAGCGACTCGGAGTTTGCGGTGGTAGACGCCACTGCTTTTGTGGAACTCTGTGCCTCGCGGCTCAACACCGCGCTGGGCGTACGAGTGGTGCCCGCCTACTCTACCACCGGTCTGCCCCTCGGAGCGATGGTTATCCCCTGTCTATCGGCCAACTACGGGCCCACTTTTATTTGTAAAATCAAGCGGTTGAAGTAGGTGCTTTTGTGGGAGGACTACTCCTTTTAGAGCGTTAGTTTAACTATTTTATATTGGGAAACCTGAAAAATGTGATAACTGAGATTTGGGGATGATATTTGTGAACAAAAGGCAGTTGCTTTACCGTCATTTGCACACTCAAGCGGCAGAAGGAGATGCCTTTTTTAATACTTATTCAGCGACTGTTAATAAGAGATAGTTGGACCCTCTTAGCTGTCCGTCGTCTGTGGACAGTGAGCGGTTTATCCTTCCCACCCATCCTCCTAAATTTTTAATAGCCTTCTAACCCATACATTAAGGACAATAGGATTGTGAATATTTACAATAGTTAATTTCTCTTTTCAACCAAGATCGAATCAGTTTTTTGATTTGAGTGTGAATGGCCTCATAAAATACCCTATTTAGTTCTCCACCTGGCTTGTGGCTAAACTTCAGTGCCTGTATGTGAGTAAGAGGAGGGGAGCTGAGGTCGTCCATGTAGCTCCACCCAAGGTGTGTTTTACTGAAATGTGCAAGTGACATTCCTACCACAACACCATCCTATCCAGCCACACTTCCCAACTCTTTGAGCATTTTTCTATATGTAAATCAAAATCCAGAAAGATGGTTAAGTGTATTTCAAGGATGGCCAGGCTTCAATTTGAAGAGCCAAGTGGGTGTCTCGTTTTGCTGACTGTTGCTGATTTCACACTCACTTCGCACCCCTATATTGCAGAACGCGCCAATACAGAGTTTGAGGCAAAGACATACATCCTTACAAATAGTAAGCTGATTATTATTTTTCACCCACCCCTCCAAGTTTTCGGTCATCTTTTCTTTCATGGACAAAATTTGTGCATTACTTGGTGCATCCGTAGTATACACCTCCCATTTGAGTATCTGCAGCACTCCTGCAGATGTTCCATGTAACTCCAATTGACCGTCTTGACGGCAATTGTGGGCGGTTATGTGAATTAAATGACAGAAAAATTAAGACGATCCAAGTAAATGTTGATGTAGACTTAGAATCAAGTACTTGTTTAGCACCCGAGACTTCCCTGAAGGCGAAAGAAGTCGTAATGCCTGGGCAGAATATCCATTGCCGACGTGCTGAAAGGCTGGAGGGGACCATTGCCATGGTACGGAGGCCATGCCGCCTAGCAGAGGTACAATAGCGGAGCCATCGTATGTCCATCGTTATTCGTAAGAACACTGGTCCCGAAGCAGAGACATTTGACAAAGGTTTCGTGTCTGTTCCTCCTTATCACATTGTTCTCACTTTGTTGCTCCCCGCCCATATCTGGCCGGATTCTATCCAGCTAGTGGAAAGGTGGAGAATGATCGCGACTTCACATCATTGACATCCTCGTGCAGGTACCGTAGCCAGCTCCGCAAGGAACTTTTCCTAATGCTTTACGGCTAGTGCCGCTGCATTTGTTAATAACATTCCTGCAGACCACAGGACTGGGGTAATTATCCAGGGTAAATGTTATCTTCAACTCTTCTGTTAGGGGTCGTCGCAGATTCGCCCACCCACCCTTCTTCCGTTACGCTATGGTTTAACATTCAGGAACGGCAATCAGTATAGTTGACTTGTAAGATTGAGTTTGCTTTCCGTTGCCACCAATGTAGCGCCCCGAGACGTTCCCAAGGACGAAAGTGGTCGTAAGACTCGGCCAGAATGTGTATTGACGACGTGGAGAAGGGTTGAGAGACTATTGCCATGACCCAGAAGTCATGCCGCCGTGCAGGATTACAAAGGCGGAGCCTCAAACGCCCGCGTAACCAAAACCGGTAGTTAAGCTAACACTCAAAGCACTGCAGCAATAACAAAAAATTGAAGAAAAAAGGCAGCATTTATATTCAAGTTCCTAATAAGCGCGATTACAAGCGTTGTCTCAGCAGCATTAAAAGTGCCCCATCCACCATGTCGCCTTGGGGACTGCTAAGCGCACTTCCTGTTTCGTCGTAGGCAAATGTGCAGGGGGATTATTTGTGTATCCGACGCATTTGTCCTGATTCCAATGACCAATTAGTCCTTTTTTTTAAAAACTCAAGTGAATGTCTCGCTTGGGATTTGTTTCATTGTCACAGCCCACTTTGTGCTTGTGTGGGGAAAACAAAAAAAGGTACACAAAGTGAGATCCCCACGAGTGTGCATTCCTGCAAAGCACGAATACGTGAGATGACTGCCATGGCTTTTGTCAACGCTAAGTAATGGGGCCTTTGTTACTGTGCTCCGGAGTTTTCTCACTATCTCCCGCGCGTATCTACGTTATTCCCTTCCTGCCTGTCAGTTGGAAGTGATTTTTACCTCCCTTGGAAAAGAAATGAATTGAATAAATGTTCCATTCATCATTCCGGGTTCGGTTTTGATGTGTCTATGAAGCCGAAAACTGAGAATATGTAAATAAAAGGGCGTTTGTTTACATGTGTGTTTCTGAGAGGACCGTGAAGGCGTGTTTTGACGTAGTAAGCAAACGACTCCTTGTAGGTATCATTCAGAGCTGTTGACTACCCTCCGTTTCGCAGACGGGGGTCATTGAGGGGCACCGCGTAGAGGGTTCTTATTTCCAACGCTTTACTTGGATTTTTGGTGAAGATCCTGCTACTGTACGATCAGTGCAGAGGGTGGGAATCTCAATGTGAGGAGTGGGACGCGGATATACTTCGATGTGTACTTTTGGAAAAGCGTGGGTACTGCTACTACGATGTCATTAATAAGCGGGATTGCGTATTCCCGTGATATTACCTCTTCATCTGTTGAAAATCTCCCATGGGGTAACCTAAGTGAGTGGAATTTCTGCCTACGTGGAGTTTTGGAGGAGAAAAACTGATAAAATTCCCCATTCAACCACCATTTAGGAGCCCTAAACACCCACTCGTCCAAGGGGATGCTCTTTAGCGCCCCGCGGTAAGCTGAAAATTTTAATTTTATAGGTTTATGCGGGGGCGGTATCGTGGCGGTGAGGGTGCCCTCACCCCCAGTATATGCCACTAGTCCTGGGATTCTACAGGATTTTAATCGCCGTGGAAACGTGTAAAAAAAATCCCCCATTAACATTTGCAATTTGTAGGGGTTTTTGCACATTGAGTATCAAGAGGATAGAGCCAAATGTCGTGGGATGGTTCAGCCGTGCCGACAAATCGCTCTTCGCCGAGACTGCCCCCCGGAGACTAGTTAAACACGGTGATAACCGCATGCATGAATATAACAATAGCCGAGATATAAACAGTTCCCACTTCACGAGATGCTCCCTTTTCTGCCTGCTTGATACCCCTTGATTATTTTTTCTGCTAACAGCCAAAAATTGAAAAGGCGGTCATACACTTATATCCACATTATTCATCCTGCAAATGTATAAAGGAGGAAAAAAAACAGAAAATACACAAATTGAGAGACAGATGCATGCGTGCATGGGTGAATGCATTTTTGAGAAGCACTGAAGAAGGAGATCGTCATCACCATTATCATGATTTAGGCGTGCATGTGTACATACAACATTGAGTTAGTAAAGGGGGGTGGAGGGAGAGCCGAAGCGAGGGCGTCCCTACACCTCGACCACAAACTCGGGGTTGACAAAAGAGAAGCCGGGGAATTCGGTCTGATCGAGATTCATGATGAAAAGCTTGTCAGTGGGTGTCAACCGTGGCGGCTCCTTGGTAAACTCGGAATCGAAATTGGAAATGTCCCGAGGACCGCTCTACAATGAAGAAACAAATCGTCTATCCTTTTTCATAATCTACCTTACAGACATGGAAAGAGGGACTGGTTTGATTTGGAGGGAAGATTAAAATGTTAGTCACTAAATATCCCATATTCTTCAGGAAAAAGTTGGAAATGCCATGCCTCCCCGCGGCTGCATCGTCACTTGTTGATGGCTCATTCCATTTGACGTGAACCATCCAATTTCACACAATACTTAATTCTAGGAACTTTAAAGGAAATTTTGGTCAAGATTTCATGTCAACCGTTCTTTTTTTCTTCTCTGCCACTGTTTAAAATCCCCATGCCTCATGATGACCCACTTGGAGCTCTAGACAAGTCGAGTTTGTGGTTATTTTCGAAGATAAGTTCCGTGGTCGAACTGATGCAGTCTGCGACAATATTGGAGCACTTTGCCAGTCTGAGTTTGACCGATTAACATGTGAGGGAGGCGGAGGGGGATAGGGACTGCCTAAAATGCAGTTGTAGCCCCCATAGGTATATTCATCTCAAATAGGGAGACTGACGATCGTAGGAGTCCTACCGCATGTGAAAAATGGGCGGGTCCAAAACTGAAAATCCATTTTGATAGACAATATTGTTAGGTGATGAAGAATCTACCTTTGGATGCTTAAAAGGCCTCGTGGTAGTGGCAAACTAAACCGAACAATCACCAAACAGCCAAATGCTGGTCTAGCCCTGTGCTAGCACCGTAAATTATCACAACAGGAGGTAGCCGAAACAAAGGAAGAACAGGAGAGGCATTCAATTAAGCACTTGAAATGGGAATGCTCCCCTACAGCATGTGACTTTGGTCTAAATTACTTGCATGGGAGGCATGAGCTGCTCCCCACGGACCAAAAGCCGATGTAGTGGAAAGGCATGGATTTATTGCAGGGTTCCACTAGCAGAATTGGATCTGGCGATTATTTAGCGACTCACATCGTCCTAGCAAACCGGGTAAGAGTTCACCTCTCAGCAATTCGAGGGAAAAGCTTTTGTGGAAATCATTAAAAAAGTCGTCTAATGTTCGGCGGGTCTGATTAATCGCACAGTTGTTTGACCTAGGTTCCGGGGAACATGAGCCTTTATATTCAATCCTCTGTTATTACTAGGACCATGAACCGCGACATTTCCTTGGGGGGAATAAGGCATTTCACCGTCTGTTTTGCATGTGCTGCTGTCAGAAGGAATTGCTGGACAAGTCTAACAAAATTCAAGGCAAATGTGCAGTTTATAGCATATTTTTAACGCACATTCACCTCTATTCAATATTTTTTTAAAAAGAAAACAGTTTTGCATCTCGAATGTAGGAAAAAAGGTTATTTTCAACCATAAGCCAAACATTTATAGTGGTAATTTAGCTTCTTCAGCCAAACTAGGTATCGTACGAGAATGGAATTAGTTATACTTCAATCGCCTCTTCAATGAAGGGTAAAAAGAAAACAGACGATTATTGTGTAGAGGTAACTTCCAAGATGGATAATTTACATCTACGCCATCAACTCCTCTGCACCTCTCGTCTGTAAATCGCCATCGCTAAGTGGGGTTGTTTGTGCACAAACAGTTTCGGACTGGGGTCTTTTCTGTATAATGAACTAATTTACCTAATGTGTCGGTCTTCCCGTCCAACCGTAGACAAATTTGTCATTTGGATAGGTTCTGCCGTGAATGAATGTAAAAAGCACTGGTGGGGTGATGTGATCTCAAGGGAAGCTAAAAAACCATTGGCATTAGGCTAAGGTTGATTTGCTAATTCACAGTTTTAGTTCGTTTTTTTTTCGATTACAAATGCGCTCATTAGGAGTTTTATTTAGGAAATAATAAAACTCATTGTATCGACAAGAGAACAAGCGTTCATATAAGCATTCTAGTGACCTACGAATTTGTTTAGTTGCACTCAACCGTCTATGTCATGGGGAAAGCATTCAATTTGTCCCAACGGCGTTCACAAAGACAACGTGGCTGATGGAAACCGCTCTACTTGTGAGCCAAATGAGGACCAAAACACGCGAAAAGCGATATCTTCTGGATTCCAATTACAAAAGGGAGAATCAACAGCTGATGATCTTAGCAACAGGCATATAAGTCGCTTATTTATGAATGAAAAAAACTGCTAACCCGTGAATGAAGTATTTTGGTGAAAAGTCCGATGCCTGCCGCAAAAAATGCTCCAAAATTGACAGTTGATGCTAATGAAGAGGGACTGAATCACCCGGCTAACTTACGACTTTCGGTTTGAAGGGCGGCTGGACCTCCCGGTTTTCTATTTTCCGCCAGTCAATGTGTCGGAAAAAGGGATGCTCGCAAATGTCCTGCTCACCGTTGAGTCCACTGCCTAGCCGTTGGTTAGGATCCCGTGTCAGTAGCTGTGCAAAGAATAAGCGTCAAGCTTTACTCTGACCTCCTTAAATGCATTTGCTACTAACACCTTGTGGCAGTGAGTAGAAAATAAATTTCAGTAGAGTCTGCAAGCAAGCACCACTAAATGGCAAAAAGACTACAAGGGCACACACGTTGGAAGAGGATCAAGGGTGCGGCGCTGGAGCACCTCGGAGTGGCGAATGATGTGAAAGGTTAACAAGAGGGTAATGCTTACAGCCTTGCAAATGAGACAGGCTTCACGAGATAGCGACCGTGGGTAGGAGACCTCACCAGTGGCGATGTTGCGGAAAAGCTCCTCCTCATCATCTCCATCGAAAGGAGGCTTCAAAAACAGAAGATAAAATGCTAGAAACAATTGCCGAGCTGTGATGATCGCTGTTCCCCTGACAATCTGGCAGTGAACATGTTGATATGAAAGGTGGAAGTCGGACATGTAGCATTCTCATCCTCCATTTAACCTACTTATTCCTTCTTCAGTGTTGAGGTATGGCGCTGGACAGTTTATACAATGTTTAAAAGACTTTCATGGAGCTGTGACACTTCCGTGCCTCCACAGTTTACAACCCCTTCACCAGACGCAGTGATGTGAGACAAAAACAAGTACTGCTAGTTTGTACCATCTCCCAAAAGTAAGTTAATGTTGGAAACAAAAACGCCTTGATTCCAGGTACTAAATAGACATCATTTTACTTAAAATAAGTCCTAATTCACTCAGCAGAAGCATCAAGTACGTCCAGGTGTTTGATGACAGAAACATTCATTGTCTTCTTTTTCATTTACTCGAAGAAAATGACAGTAACCAGTGAATGAAAAGGAGAAACTAACCAGACAGTAATGAGAAGTGGAAAGTGTATTAGTAGATTTTCTGCTGAATGCCTCTTCAAAATTAGCTAATCACCTACGAAGAAGTAACTACATGTATTTGTTAATAGCGCAAGCACAGTCAGCAACTGAAGGAAGTAATTAGATCTTCCACGTAAGGACTTGTTTTAGACTAGCCTCACTAAGCAGATATGACAGTTCTGATGCGTTGACATTTAAAACCGCCGAAATGGACGCATGCAGTAGGCTTTTATCCCTCCTTTCCTCTAAGTAGGCATTGCTGCATTTGGGAGTAGTTGCATTTGCCGAAATAGCAGCACAACCAGGCCTCCCCCATTGTTCCACTGGCCATTTGTGCCCATAAATATGCAGGCTTATAGAGGGATTGATACATTTACAGCTTCAGTTACAAACTTCCCGGCTTTCTCATTCTTGGGGTGACATTCTATTGTGAAGTGGATTCTAAAATCCCATGTCAGCGCTTTGTTTGCGTCTAAAGCACGTCAAAGGGTGTTTCAACAGCACCAGGATTGATTAGGATCTGAAGCCTCAAGCAATAAGATATACATCAAAGGCGGGAATGCGGGAGCATGTAATTATGTACTTTTTGATGCACTAAAGTAATAAACGCACCTGACCGGCAAGGAATTCATAGAGAAGTACGCCAAACGCCCACCAGTCCACTGCCTTTCCATAGGGCTTATAGCTGATAATCTGAAGGCAGAAAGTGCATCATTGTAATTCGCATTCCTTTTAAGGCCACAGGATTTGCGCTATGTCGGGGGATTGAGGGGACCCTTCCGTCAAACCTGCTGCCCTCCAATCAACTTTGAAATGTCAATCCTCCCGTCGGGCGGAAAGGAGAAACTTTTCCTCATTGCGTAATATATAATTTTTTTCCAGCTCCTTCGGGGTTCGGGGAAAGATATACCCAATGATGACTACATGTTTGCTCTAACTGCTCTTGTCTACCCTTAATCATACCGTCCACCCCTGTAAAAGATGGAAATAAAAGCTTTGAAAATAATAAATAAATTGCCTGCAGGTGTCCAGGACCTCAAAAGCAGTTCAGAGGAATATTTTTCCGACCTACTGAACAAGCTCAGTGCAGCATTCGGGCGAGTGGAATGGAAATGGCACAGTCAACTAACAGCAAAAAGGAGCTAAGCCAGACCCCCACCTTTGAGAGAGTTGGCAAGAAACAGTAGTGTTCTTTTTTCTCACCAAAGGTTAGCGTTACTGACCCTCAAGTGGGTTTTCTTTATCTCCTCACTGTAGTGGACATTGCAGGTAAGTTTAGTGTCAATGTTTTTTGCCCCTCCCCTCACCCCAAAGACAAGCGTTTCCCTCGGCTCGCTTAAACTGCAATAATGTGAACGAAAAGCTCTTCTCGAGAAAAAAATGAATGTTGGTAAAAAAAAATAACTGCTCCATGGACCTAGCCCATTTGCTGCGATCCCATGGTGGACACTAAAAGCATTTTTTTACAGGTTGGAGGAGTGGAGCTAAGATTTTGCGGAACTGAATTTAGAGAGGAGGATTTGGGCAAAATAAAACTACCACTTCCTGACTGCTCAGATGACAGCCATTTTCACCCGCCTGAAGGAAAGATCTCCTTCATGGGCAAGTTTACTGGAACCATGCAGATTCATGATATTGCAAATGCTCGCTCCCTGTATGAGGCAGTTCCTTGCAAAAGGTTGACAGACTCAGGACTACTAAACTGGGGAGCAGTAAGTGTGGACACAAAAGGAGAGCATTCGTGCTGATAAAGTTTTGTGTAGAATGGGAAAGTGTCATTAGGTCGCCTTTCCTACAACAGAAGAGGCCAAATGGAGCATCACCTTGATTCGAAGTACCGTCTAATTTGAAGGCCAAGGCGATGGCTTTTGGGAAGGGTGATTCCGCCATAACTTAAAACTAATTTAAATAACAACGGAAATATCTCATACGATACTTGTCTTTAAGTAGGCTTTACTACAGCCCTCCGCATTAATATTCCAGATGGGATATTAGGTGTGACACTCGCGCAGTTGATGCCATTATTCAAATCACTTTTCCTGTGGCCAAAAACAATGTTTTGTGCCTCTTCCCACGCAATGAAACAAATTATACTTTGTTTTGATACGCATCAGCCAAATACTAGACAAACAAACTCCAAACAGGATAGAAATTCCGATGTAGGTCGAAAAAGTTTTGACCGTGCCTGCCTCGTTATTTGCAGCCAACGGAGACTTCATTCAGCAGCATACAGACAACCTTCATTTTACTTTGGGAGAGTACTGTGGGTAATAACTAGATTCTGTTGATCTGTAGATTTATCTACACGAGTCCTTCAGTCGCCCTGCTTTTGGTCGTAGCGTTCCGTTCAAGTCGTTTCTGATAACAGTCCATCAGCTTTTCGCCTACTTCCAACAAAGTTGGACTCGTAGACCTTATAACGGGTTCAAAGGGAATCCGACCAATAGAACTGTGAAGTAGCCTACTCGATTGTGGCAGAAATGATTTTAAGAAGTAAATTTCGCTCGCAGATCTTATAACGAGTTCTGGGGAAACTTGGAAAATACAACCTTGGAGTATCCAACTTGTACTCCGCCACTAGGTCTCATGCTTCTAGCACTTCATTTTGTCAAAAAATTAATTCAAAACTGAACAGGTTCACCTTCTCCATCCCCTCAAAATGGCAAAAAAACGCGCCCCCTGGACGGTTACTACCCGACGCGAATTGCATGTGTTTAAGCATTACGACTTCAAAAACAGCCTTCCGAGTGTGTTTTGGTCAAAAAATTCCTTCCCACCCCCTGATAGGGGAGCCACAAAAGAAGTGGCAGGAGTATTTTTACAAGAGGAAATGCAAAAACCCACCTCGGGTGCAATGTAGTCGGGCGTACCGCAAAATGTGTTGGTCAGCCGGTCCCCGATAATCCCGTCCTTGCACATACCGAAGTCCGCAATTTTCACGTGACCGTCGGAGTCAAGCAGAACATTGTCCAATTTCAGATCTCTGGGAATTAAAATTGGAACATTTTTATCCGCTAAGGCAATACACGCTTCCCAAGGGTCAAAGTTTAAACTCTGTTAGAAGCTCACATAACTTTTTTTCCATCTAGCTCCACTTTGGGTTGAGGCTAAAGTCAAATCCGCGAAGTGGACATTAAATGTGATTTATATATGGTCAGTTAACAAGCCAATTGAATCGCCTTGCTTTGTTTACTTAGGCAATTTCCTACATATCACGTCAAGTATTTATCAATTGAATCTATGATAACTTCATCTGTCTTGAAGAATCGTAACCAGACCACCCTTCTCGAAGCCGTTAAGTGTTTCATAAGCCGATTGTGGAGTTGAAGAGTTTATGTATCCGAGTTAATGAACTCTCCAGGAGAAAAAAATTCGAGAAATTGAAGGAACTGGTGCTATATATGCGACAAACAGTGGTTCCTATCAAAGCCACGAGCGATTAGGGAAAGAGATAATCAGGCGATTCGGCATTATGGCTCCCAACCATGTGCAATCAACTGCGGTGCTAATGACTTCCTGGCGGTAGAACTGACAGGGGAAAGATGCGGACAAGGCGTACTGCAATAAAGAATAAAAAAGAAAACAAAAAGTAGGATGTGTTCACAGAGTAAAATATGTGTGCGCGTGTTGGCAAGTCGTCGGAGGAGAAAGCATTGTCTTTCTATTAAACAGCACGGCTGAAAGGGAGGAAATAGTCACTTTCTTGCAGCCTATTCATCACATACGCACCTCACTGTTGTTGATTAGAATGTTCAACGGAATATCAACCAGGACTTCTCAAGCGTGAAATTGTGATACTTCGGTGGTGTATTTAACGCTCGACTTTGGCAATGGAGTGCCAAAGGATCCGCGATTGGGCTTCATTTGGACGGTATCACCTCCGGGCCATGCCAGTAGCCCTTCAGCCCCTTTTGTAGGTTGCCAATACACATTCTGCCTTAGTATTATGCCTTCTTTTGTCTTCAAGGAAGTCTCGGGTCGCTGCATTGGTGGCAATGGAAAAGGAATCCGATCCTAAAGAACCTTAGCGGGGCGCAAGAAGTCCATATGATATAGATGGGAAAATTGGTGACAATTCCAAACAGAAGGGCTGAAAATGACGTCCACCTTCGGCAACTACTCCAGTGCTGTATTCTCCGGGGCTGCTATTAACAACGGAAGCGGTGCCGACCACTAACCATCTGGAAAACTCTGTGACGGAGCTGTCTGCGACAGCTGAATGAAGAGGTAGTTTAAGGAAACACAAGGATACCCCCATCACCTTTATGAAGCTGAATATCACCCAGATAGGTGGATATGGCTGGTTAGCGTTGAAGTGAGAACAAAGTGGCGAAGAGGAACAGATGCGAAATCATATATACACAGAATTATACTAAACTCTGCCCTTTGTTAAACAAGCGCTTTTGAGTCAGTTTTCGCACAATTACCGATGGACGTACGAGATGGCCAACACAGTTTCCTTCCCCAGTGTAGTTCCAGATCCAGTAGAACTATCAAGATCAATCAGAGATGTTGCAGTCAATTTTGTTCTCAGTTGCACACAAATTTGACGATCAGCATGGCTGGTTCGTGGGCGTATTACTTACAGCACCGACTATGTTGTGATGGTCGAAGAAGGTGGATGACCAAGGGGAGCTTCAAAGACGACGCACAAAGGAGGAGAGGGGCTATGTAATACCCTGGTTGTTTATTTAACTCTTGATTCCGGTAATGGGTAACTTAGGGTCTCCGTTATTTTACCTCTGCCAGGCAGTGCCTGGCCTTTGGGACGTGCTAGTAGCCATCAAGCCCTTCTCTACGTCGACAATAAATATTCTGCTCGAGTATTATTGTCAGCTCTCATCTTCAGGGAAGTCTCGAGGTGCTACATATTAGTCTAGGAATCCAGTGTCTGCGTAGTTGCGAGGAGGAGAGGAATGACTGGATTGGGATGTTCTGTTTCGTAGGTAGATTTTCCCGCCAAACGAAACCTAACCTGCTGAAGCATTTATGAAACACTCCAACAGGCTTACACAGCAATCAAGTTACCTAAAAATCCGTGGAGGAGATCTAAGTTACTCAACCCTGTTCACTGTTTCCTTCCATACTATGGAAAGCTGGCGCAACGTCTGGTTTTTCAAACCATACTTCCCCGGCATCGTCCTTAAGCCATTTGGTAGAGTAGGGTCTGAAGCTCTCATTTGGAGAACCTCATAGTATCATGCGTATCAGGCAGTTTTCAGTAGGCGATTGTGAGATTCCCTTTCTTAACTGACGAAATGGTGGCCATCGGTATGAAGTATATATTTAAAGTAGTAGCCTGGTATCAAAAACATTAATAGGTATTGCATTTGATACGAGACCTCCCGTTTTCTCTAGGGGAAATAAGGCTTATTTCAATCCGTCTGGCAAGAAACTTCCGGTCTCTCTCAAGGGGGTTCCCGTGTTAAAAAAGGAAAATAAGGCACTCTTGGCAATTATTTTGACTAAGAAGGTTCAAATTTGTCCACTAAGCGTAGACTGCCGTCAATGGAAAATGCAGAAAATCAAGGTGGCATTGTGAACCACCTGTAAGTCTTGCTCAGAGGAGAAAGTGTGCTTGGGTTAGAATTTACTCCTCTCCCTAGAACCTACAATACCTCGCCCAAGCTTCAATTCATCCAGATTTCTAGTAGCCATCCCTGATTTCGCGTTTTGACGATCATTCCATGGGTGATCATGCTGAACAAGGCTGAGTAATAACAGCTGACGCCTTAAAGTTATTTCAGGAGATAAGCAGCTAAGAAACCGGAAACTGCCGCACGGGGATACAAACAACATAGCTTATTTCCGCCAACGATGAAGCATCACCGAAAGGGTTGTAAATGGTGCACCTCCACGATACAAAATCCATGGATACTCCTGGCTGACGAATAGTCGCCTAAATGTGGCTCTTTGATGATGCTCTGAACCAGGAAAACGGAAGATACAACTTCTAACGGATGAAGTTGCATAATGGGAAAAAACTTTGCTCCAAATTCCGTCCAGTTAAATTTTCATGGAAATAATGCATGCGATTTCGGTGACCGGCAACAATGGTACGATTGAATATACCAGGGCTTGGTGCACCACGAATATGTGTCGAGATCCAAGAAACACTCGAAATATGGATGTTCCACGAAGGAAAGTTATTTCGTACACAAGCGATCACAAAATTAAGCAGACCGTTCTGCCGTATCCGCTCGAAGCTTCAATGATGCAGGCACCGAGCCATCCCTTGGTGCAAAATGAAGAAAGAGACACACCCACTGAAGCCGCCACCTCCTCTTCGCCCTCCAATTTCCGTTGCAGAAGGTCCTTGAGCCTGATATACTCAGCAAAAAAATGATAATAATAATAATAAAGGAGGGCGAGGAGACACTAAATACGCCCATCCGGAAGACGCTTTCGACTTCAAGAGGGAAGTGGTGGATGGTGGAGAAATTGGTGGATGCCACTTATATTAGGTCATCGTCTAGGCAACAAAGTGACTTATTCAATCTTAAAGAGACTCATGAGACTGTTTAAGGAATCAAAAGAACTCCCTCATTGCCCCACTTGACGACTGGCTAAGTATATGTCTCATTCCAGTGGGATGAGACGTAGATGTCCATCCCATTTACACAACCTTACCGGTAGACAATTCCATTGGCGTGCAGGTAGAAGAGACCTGTTGCGATTTCGGCGCCGTAGAAGCTGAAGTGAATAGGCCAATTAAAGTGGCATTGCTAATATTAAGGGAAATGGAAAACGCCTTGTGACGTAAAAGTGTGCTTACACAGCAACCGGCTCCTTGAATCGGCCATCCTGCTGGATACGGTACATCAAATCACCGCCATTTGCGTATTCCATGACAAAGTAAAGCCGATCCTGAGAGAGGGAAGAAGGGTAATAGTTAGCTACTTGGCAGATACTTTGATGCAGCTTGATTCCGGGGGGAACTCTTGTGTCAAGTTTTATGTTGCACTTAAGCAAAGTACTTTTAGGTAACGTCATTCGGCCTTTATATCCATATAGAAGTAAGTAGGACTCTGTACAAACGTGGTGATTTGCCGGAGTGTAAGTATCTAGAAAAATGAACAGACGGTTTTGATGAACTAACCACATGTCAAGGACACGTATTTCTTCTAACAGAACGCCGTGCTGTGCAGAAATCTCTACATACTGTGATACCGTAATGCTTTGATTGTTCGTCCAACTATGGGTTTTGGTAACAAACCGCTTGGAAGCTCCGCCGAGCGGCCTGTCCTCCGGACCATTCCAGTGACCCCCAGTCCTACCGTACGCTGCCCGAATATTGCGCCTCCTTTCATCTTCAGGAAAGTCTCGGGGCGCTACCTTACTACCTCTACACCAGTAATATCATTTGTAGACTCATACATCGTGTAGCCTTAATTATACCGGATTTTCAGTCTCCTACAATTTAAAGGTGAAGTTGGAGGGTAAAGGAGGTGATTTCATCCCAAAATAAGGGTAGCGGTCTCGATTGTGATTACTGGACATTACACCCAGACGTCACAGAGGGGATGCACAGGTGAACAAATCTGCGAAACCCCACAGCAGAAAGTTCATCGAAATCTATATTATGGAGTTTACCGAATCGAAATCTTAACCCACTGCCTGCAGATAGGTCATTGAGCAGCAGTAAAGTTCAACCGAGTGGAAAGAAGAGTGTACACAGAACACACTTTCACGAGGCTACTCCATATTGTGCGATTTGTTGAGGGGATTTGCTCTTGCACAATTGTTTTAGGAACAGAAAAGGAAAACAGAGCCTAGTGCAGCCCTCAACGATACATGGCGAACGAATCCTTCCCCGATCAAGTTGGGAATCAAGACTATCACTGGAGCAGAGTTTACAGGTGCAGAAGTTCAATGAATGACCTTCGGCCCTGTCTTGTGCTTATTTCACATTCATTCGAGAACAGTCATGACGGCCAAAGCAGAAGGTTTATCACCAGGAACAAAGAAGAGGGAGCTAGGTAGCTCGGTTTTAACGATGCGAGCCCTTTCAGTTCTCTCCAACGCGCCCCAGAGATGGCGCAGACGCTACAGCTACGTTTTTAAAGTGGAATCACCTAGGTCAGCTCCACCGCTGGACTACTCACCATAGTTTGAAAACAGGAATGCAGCTTGATAAGAAAGGGAGGCTTCTCTTGCAGTGCGAGTACCCGTTTCTCCATCATTACGCACTCCACATCATCGTCTTGGAGGATGACGTCTTTCTTAAGGATCTTCATAGCAAACACGTCGTCAGTGCCCTTCCGCTCTGCCAGAACAACCTAAAAGAATCACAAACCTCAACCATTCACGATGCTGACGTCGGTTCACCTCAAGTTGGTACTGCAGAGCGCAGCAGTCTCTATGCAAGCGTTTTGTGTTGAGGATTTCCTGTGGCGAATCCTCAAGCATAACTAAGTCAAGAAGACATGCCAAAGGCCAAGAAGTGAAACAACATGTTAAAACTCCTGCAAAGAGACTACAATGTGTGGTATGCGTCTGGAAGAAAACAGTTTGAGAGAAATATATGCTAAATTAGGACTGAGAATGTACCGGAGGCAAGATTATCTAACTCAAGTGATCAGTACCGTTGCGTTTAAAACTTGCCATCTAGTAGCTTGAAGACATTGTTTTAACCATTCTTACGTCACTTAAAAACTGTCAGACAATTCCAAAGTCCTAATGTACCAAAAAGGGCAGAATGCTTTTTTCCCAAAAAAAGGCGTGCATCCATATCGCAGGAAGGAGAATGACACTTCTTTACGGATGGTTAAATCCCTCTTTAATGGCGTTTAAAAAAGTGAAATGAAACGAAAAATATCGCACCAAATTCTCTCTCAGATCCAAAGTGATTTTCACCATTGTATTCTAAGCAACCTCAATAAAATTTTATGGTTAACCAGAGCGCTATAAAGATTGCTATTTGTGTCGTCCTTAATAAATAATTTCTGGTACAAATACCCTACTTGTGGGGAAAAACTTGTGGCTATGCGTTCGCCTACTCACCGGAACCGAAAAGGGGTCGTTGGTTGCAATCCCGCAAACCGGTTGTAGAGTTTCATCCAGGCTGGTACGGCATCCAGCAGGAAGCCCCACCTATGTCTTTCTAACGCTGTTCTAAGAATTCCTAGTGAAATTATTTTCTTTTTCTAATTCTCCAAATGCGATTGAGTCAGTTGAATGTTGAACGCCACCATCTTGGTGAGAGCACCAGAATAAAACAATGAAATTGGTTCCACTCTACTTAGGGCAACATTCTTTTGAATGTGAGAGCTACTTGAAGCCAGAGAATGTGTTCAAGGTGAACTAAATCCTACTAAATCATCCACCTAAACTGGCAATAGACAACAATTTGAATTCGTTGTTTACAAAGGGAGCATCCTTGGGTCTACTCAAATACCATTTAAGTAGCATCCACAGGTTTTCAAATACCAGCCCCTAAAAACACAATTCCTTCGTAAAGTATTTGAGAAGATTAATATATGAGACATCAAGTGAAAAGTAAAAGTCAGCATGAAAACCTGTCAAAATCAAGACGATCTTGACTACTTGTCAACTCATTCCTCACGGCTCCGTCCCGCCGACTGGTCAAACCATGAAAAAAGTCGTTTGTGCGAATTACTTCTTGCATAAATACTCAATTTAAAAGACAAATAAATTGTGAGTTTCGCAAGCCCAGTTACACGCCCTCTTGTAAATCCAATTCATGTTTGACTAATGGGGTCAAAGCGCACTGAAAATATGCTGGACCAGCATCCAGTGCTTTGTGGATGGAGCCATTTAGCGTGAAGGTTTAATGAGAAATGTGGACAGCACTTAAGTTAATTCAATGCTTGAAATAAAAATATAGTAAAGAAATGGGCAGTGGAACAATGCGTTCCTCGTAGAGGTGGAGATATAATGAATGGGAGGCCAGTCTGATACATCATCTAGTTACAGTGTCACTCGATCCCCGCCGATCCGGTAATCATGAGGCCTTTTTGAATGTCCCAGCACCTTTTTCCAGTTATCAATGCGTTTTTTATACCTGCATATGCTCTAAAGGTCTAGAGCATATCGTGGCCTACCAAAGCCACGATAGTCAAAAACTCAAAGATGCAATAATCCATGGAAATAGGGACAACCCACGTCTACAACATCGCTTTAAACTCAAACAACCGGTTGGTGGCACGATTCGTTAATTTCAACTACAATTACAAATGACATTCACTTCGGGTAGAGCTGATGGGGATTCTTCCAGCAGTTCGCTACCTTCATCTGTTGACGCTGCTGTGGTGTGGGCTTGAAAGCGTACCCCGCGGTGGGGTCAATCACTTCGAATAAACAATAGCAAATTTCAATTCACAAATTATGTTTTAGAGTCTTATTAGGCCATTTTCATTGCCACACTCCCTAGCCAATTTCATGGAAGTCTCGAGCAATCGTTTGGCATTTTTGAAATGAGAAAGCCTTCAGTCTAGCCGATTCTACCCTATCCCGGTGCAATAGGCACTAACCTTTTCGGAAGCGTAAAAACAAAAAAGTAATTTCATTTTGGATGGAAGCAGGTTGACAGGAGTGTGAGAGTGAGAACCAGAGAGAGAAGAGGGGGAATGGAGGGAGTTTTCAATGCTTTCATTAATGGCAACTGCTAACCGGTAGGGAGTGCTTCTAAGGATGCTTACCTTGCCGAAACTACCCTTCCCAAGGACAACGCGTAGATTGAAATCCGAGGCTCTGGGAATGTCCTGTTTGTGAAGGTTGGGTGAGGCTTTGGGAGTCTGGGATTTGCTGTTTTGGCTCTCTACCGACTTTCGCTAAAAGGTAAAAGGGAAATTACTCCAAGTTGTATGGAAAAATTGCATCTCATCCACCCACTGAATCGGATTCAGGTGAACAGGAGTGTCACATTTTTGAAATAAAATTGGGAAAAAGTTGCGGAGCCGATACAAAGTGTGCCAGAAAGATATCTATGCTGCCCTACTTTAATTATTTGTTTGGCTATTGGTTTTGTTAACGGACCTCTCGGGGGCTCCGCCATTATACCTCCGCCTGGTGGCGCCTAGCCTCCGGGTCATGCCCATGGCTCCCAAGCTCTTCTGTGCGTCGGCTATACACATTCCACCCGAGAATTATGTCTTCTTTCGTCTTTAGGGAAGTCTCGGGGCGCTGCATATACTACTGAAAAACTCGACTGCATTTTTTTCGGTGGAGAAACATGAAAGGTGATATCCAGTATGACTGGGTTGCCTTAGTTCGTTACTTTGAAGGCCGTGGAGGTTATTCATCCATGATAAGTGATGATCCCTGGGCTTGAAAAGCATTCTAACAGCAAGTTCCCGGCAGTACCTTACTTGCAACTCCAACCACATCTGTACACTCACCATTTATCGTTGAAAATGCGCAACTGATGGAGCAAACAGGCCCACTTGTAGCCCGAGCAGTGGAACAGGTGAATAGCGAGGAGGAGGAAGAGGTGAATGCCTTCTTCACGTGCTTTATCTACAACAACATGCCCTTTGTAGGAATGAGGACACGAGCATGTTGTCATCAGACTGGTGGGTCAGTTAAAGTGCAGATTTTGTTTGTTCCAGCAATGATCTGGTAAATAATGTAGTTGCCCCTTACTATTCCTTCGACTTTAGTCCATTTAAATGCATACGAAGGTGAAATTTGTGCATACAGCTCGAAAGAGGTTTGCTAAAGCCCAAACCTGTCATGATTTAATGCTTGACTAAACGACTTATTTACAAACAACACCACAGGGCTTCGCTTCGATCGGGTCTTGCCAAAATACCAACATCTCATTCTGGAAGGAATTGGCAAGTAGCTGTTATAAGTGGATTGCACCAACATTTTCTTACAAAATAAAAGTTTGCGTAAATTAGAAATGAACAGAAATACAGTACCACCGCGCAGACAGTTTTTGCGAGGCAACCTTCCATGTAATTCAGACTTCCCTGTAGGAAAAACACCGTATACATTGTTGTTTTGCTGAATAACTTCAATGAGTGCTTCCTTTGCTGGTTAGGCGGGTGGATGAACGGAAGGGGAGGGGGGACGGGAGAAATGGGTTGTCGTCAATCCGGGGGGAGGGCATGTTGGACGTGACAGGGAGGCCTGGGGTTGGGTGATTTATTGGTACAACGCCGCCGCACATGGCAAGGTCATCGGAGCCATTGCCTCACACCTACGCCTGCTAAAAAGTGCTCCGTTCCTACGCATGGGAAATGTCCTTTTTCTTCTCTAATCTTGAGCCCAACCACATACTTGAACAGGTTTGCTATCCGGGTCGCCGAGGTAGTTGTCCATCATGCTTCGAATGTGCCATAGTCCCTCTTAAAACCACAACATTCAAAAACTAAAAAATGCAATTAGCCTTGGAAATAAGGACACTCCAGAGCTATGCCATCATTGCCAGCTCAACCGATCTATTTTTGCCACGATTCAGTGCAGTACAAACAGCTATCACGTGTCACATATCTGTGACGCCGCAAACGAGTGCGTTGACACGATGATGTCACGGTTGATGTTTCACTATTGCAGGATTAAGAGCCAGTGATAGCGACATCTAACCAAGTTAAAACAACGGGGAGCTAAGATCGTAAACACAACCGGACTTGATGATAAAAAGGGTGGATGGATTTGGGGTAAGAGGGTGGTAACACAGAGACGAATCATCACAATTCAATGCTGTTGTGTGGGCGATGGAGCTGACTTTGTTGAACATTTGGCCACCCAAAAGCCCTGTTCTACTACCCACCTTATGTATGACTTTAATGCATTGGTAGTTTGTTTAGTTTTCCGTTTCTGGTGAAGGAGCCACTCAGGTGCCCCACCGTTGTGCCTTCTCTAGGCGACCTGGCCTCCAGGCCATGCCAGTGGCCCCAAGCCCTACTGTATGTCGAATGTATACATCCTGTACGAGTAATGGCTCTTCCTTCTTCTTCAGGGAAATCTCGGGGTGTTACATTGACCCTTCCGAAGTGGGCAAAAGATATTTGGAGGCTTTATTTGACAAAGTGACTAATTTCCTACAAATCAAGTGGTTTCTAACAATAACAACACTTTCATTTAAAGGTTTCACTAATAGACATCGCATTGGGAAAAAACACCACATTTTTAATCTTAGAGTCTATATTTTTGGTTTAAAAAGTGTGTAATTTTAAGGAATTTACTCGTAGTGCTTAGGTAAGGGGTACTCGATTCCCGAGTAGAACAGGTTTAGGTGGGTCGCCCGTGACCACTGCATGCAGGAAGGATAAGTTTTAGCGAAATTTACAAATCTCCAAAGAAATTATTTAGCCTTATATGTTTGGATTCATCACCATTCACATCCGAATGTGAAGCCTAAACCAAAACGCGACCCGAGTTGGAACCAATGCTATGTGAATTTCAGGATACGTGTGAACCACATTCTTACAGCAGACCTGTCACACGCTTCACCAAGCCAACTGGAAGGAGGTTCAGTATTCAATTGGCGTGTCAAAAAGTCAATAGCCACCGCACTGCCACGGTTTGATAATTAACTAGATCTGTGGCCCACCTTCACTTTGTTCTTCAGCTCCATCAACGCGGCTCCAGCCTCGTCAATGCAGGGACAGGCGTAGAATTCGCCCTCTTCTGCGGAGAGCAGTTTGAACCATCCACTGACGGAGTCCTTCTTCAGTTCACCCACCCCAAAGGAGAGCGAGCCCATGAAGTCGTTGCGAGAGGTTCGATCCCAATCCCACACCTCCACAGCTAATCGCTTTCCAACGTCTTCTGGCTCCAGCGGTCTACACCGAGTATCAAGAAGCCAATTCTCAAACAAATGGTATTGGCCTTGGAAGTACGTCAGTTTTGATAGACAAGGTTTTTCTACACCACAGGATATGATGGAAAAACCAATCTCACCTTCTTAATTGCTGACTCTGTCAGTTCCGACCTCACCCTATTTCTCACCCTACGTGTGTCCTTTGGCACTGTCAGTCTTAGATAACTTCAGAGAGCCTCTTTAAATAAAAATTCTTCGTTGAAACAATCACCAATGCAATGTACTTTCCTTTCCAAGTGAGATACAAGCTGACTGCAAATTCCACGCTTGGAACACACTTTTTCCCCAGAGGCAAACAACTTAGGTATCCCTAATACCAAGAATGGGTTATAATCACTACTTCAATATCACTAGAGGGCCGTGGAGGATAAGGAGGTACTAGTATCCCTCTCCTTCCCTCTCGTGGACAAGTTTTACGTTACCGGGTAGGAGGCTTGATATCTTGCGTTGTCTTGCAAGACTATGAATATCGCTTTCTTCCGATTGGTTGGTTAATTAGTCCTGGTTTTTTCTAAAGACGAAGTTTTTCTGGCACACCTTCCAGTTTTATCGTACCAGTTGGATGGATCCATCTCTAATTGTTGTTCGGCCTTCAATGCAAGGGGACAAAATGGTATGGGCCTTGGTAGTGTAGGGTGGGCAGTGAGTAAAAGGACTACTTGAGGATGATCAAAGGCATATCTGTTCGCTGGAAAAAAAAATTAAATATGAACACCCAAAGAGCATTCTCATCGCAGAGCAGACAGTCAGTAGACAATCAGAAATCCACGGCATGCCTTTATGAGGAGAAGGGCGTATAACAACAAGTTGATGGTCTTTCAACCTAGCTACACATGTGCATGGAATCCATTTACTTCGAAGCTTCCACCGTGGATGCAATGTTGCAGTTTGTCCTTTATGTGCGTCAAAGATGATATGCAACTAAATCCTCTTTTCCAGACAGAAATAGGTGTTTCCAAACATGACACACCAACTTCCCAGTGATTCATCATCAGATTCACATTTTAAAACCATTCCCGGGTAGTGCGTCCTACTATCGCACACCACCTCTCCTCCTCCGAAGGCCATACATCAAATTTGCCTTTAAATCAAGCAACGCACGAATGCCATTTGTCATGTTTAAATGGGCCTTGATGTAAGGAGGGTTTAAAGAGGGAAATTGTGTAGAGCATTGCAGCGAGTTCAACTGAAAACGGCACAAACTATTTGTTAAAGTAGCATTTGCTCACTTGTTCGTACCACGAGAAGGGCCTTTCAGTCTCTCCACGGCTCAACTACCACTTTTGTATCAACTCTACCAATAGTGTCTAATACGGCCTTAGAGATGGCTCGGATCTTCGGAGTGATCTGTCACACCTTACTTGGAATCGCTTTGGTCGTGAGAGCCCTGCGCCTTCACAGCTGCAGGGTAGTCATGAGCCACCGAGTGAAAGACCACTTTCCAGGTAAAAATATCAACCAACCCGGGTGCCATTTTCCAGACATAGAGGAGGTAAAATCATGTGGTAAAAGCCAAATGTGCGGCAGCGGCGGCTAATGTCGCTTGACTGCACAATTATGAAAGTCGAGGCACAGAAGGAGTGAGTGAGGGGTAAGTAGTATTGCATCCCAAGTACTACCTGTGTGCTGGCAGCAATTGGAATGAAAATTTAGGTGTCATTCACATTCAGCTTTAACACACTCGCTACCAGAGTCCCAGAGTAGCAACAATCACCACACTTCACATGCCTTGTTGGCCTCATTTGACACCACTGCTTCCACTACCGAACCGAAGGTGATGATTCCCTGAACATGAGGACCCTACTATTTATTTCAGTCCCTTAAACTGTTTGCAGTACAATTTGGTGCCACCATTGGACATTATAAACTACCAAGTAAGACATGCCGCATGTTTGCTGCACCAGAGTCAGGTAATGAAGCTGGGGGAAAAGTGTTAAAAGTGGAGGCCTCTGTGCTGTATACCTGCCTCTTTAGCAGTCAGTAATAGGATCCGCGAAATACCTCCCCAATCCTCGATATTAATCCCCACCATGCAACATTTGAGCATCTACTAACTCCAATTTCGTTGGACCATGGAAGGCGTCTCTCAGCGTTCCCACTTCACCAGGAAAGGTCGCTGAACGCATGGGTTGGAAGTAGGTACTATATTACTAATAAGTAGTATGAGACTAGTGCCAAGAGTCAGCCTATCGCAGCTAATGCTAATGAATTGGAAAAATAAAGACCTGCGAATGCTGGCTCTATGTGTTTTATGGAGAAAGATGTGGGTGGAATTCACAGAGGTGATGCTGGTCCACCGCCATTGGATTTGTTTTTGAGTTCCATTTTTACTCATTAGAAAAGTAACAAAGCAATAGTTTACTATTCCACGATTTGTCGCCTTAAAAGTCGTCTGCACTTGCAGTTGAAGCACACACCCACATTTCAGTGTTCAGATCTATGCTTCATTTGAAGGTGGATGTTTTTGTACCGGTATTCTTAGGGAATAACCCAACCATCAGTAAATCTGCATGAATTAGAGTTAGCGAACAGCGGATAGATCCTAATAATCAAGCCCTCCTATGTTTACGACTACAAACTAACTGTTGATCGGTTTGGAAACCTACATCTGGAATTCCTCATTCCAGGAGGGATTCAGGGTGGAGCGAATTATTTTCGTCTTGAACTTGACCTTCTGATTGTCATCCGCGGGACTGAGTTTAATCTTCACATAGGGATCGGCCAGACCGTTTGGATCCATGGGGGTCAAGTTTTTGGCGTCCAAAACTATTACAAAAAAGGGAAATACAAATATGTAAATTTAAAAGCACAGAGTCTTTCGCAAGAGCTCAAATAAGAACGGAATAGAGTATGGACTACATAATAAATAAGCACTTAACCCCTCCTTTAATTTATGCTTTACAAGAATAAAAGGAGATTTTGTCCAGAAGTTTTCTTCCAAGAGCCTTTAGATAATAAGGAATCAAACTGAAGGCCTAATACCCCTCCCGAAATTTCACTGACAGAATCTATGAACCTGAGCCCGCGTTGATCACAAAGCCAACAAGGAAGCTTGGTGTGTACCTCACCACAGGAAGACAGGCATTGTCCATGAGCAGATGAAGGAGTTGCAATAGTTCTATGCTCCGCCAAACCAAACAACAACAAACTCCATGAACTTTGAGTTTTGGCCGAAGAGTTCGCAGAATTCCACTTCAAATACGCCAAATGAGGACGAAAAGGCTTCAAGAATAGCCCATTCGTCCACGGATTTACTACTGGTCAATATCGCTTCCAGCTAAGCGACCACAGCGGAAATTTCCGAGACAATTAAGTAAAGTTGGGAAAACCTATGCCTTACGAAAAAGCAGTTGCGACTGTCTAGGGTAAAAATGTCGTAAAAAATATTTGGGCAGTTTACTGCAGAAACTAATACTATCCCAAAAAACAATGAGACATTCACAGGATTTACCAAAGGGACACAGTAGGCATTTTAAAATGTAAGTTTTTGGTAAGTCCCTCAACATGTACGATGCCGGCGTCACATATGCGCGACGCCTCGATTTTCTTAGCCGAACCCGTTGTCACGAAGCCTTCATCACCTTGTTTCAGGTGTAACCTGTAAATTATCACTGCAAATGCCTAAAATATGATTTCAAACCAGTCGAAATTATCGCTCTTTCGTCTATTCTAATGTCATGAAGCTACATTTCCAAGTAAGTGGATACGCGAGTAAGTTTTCCAAGTCCACAGAATGCATAATTAGTACGTGCCTGCCTCTGCCCAACCATTCATGCATCTCACCACTGCCCGAATGATGAAAGCTATCCTCCACTAAAATGAGCGCGAACGGCGATGCAATAGCATTTTCACTGCACCTGTAATTCATTCGGCTTTGCAATGAAAGTCTGCACCCCGCCGCTACCTCTGATGGTGCGCTACAGTAAAGTGGATGGACTTGGAATGCCAAACACTTTTGCGAGTGACTAATCAAGTTAACAGAAATTTACAAGGCGCAAATTATCCATTGTAATCCGCTTTCGTTGCAATAAAATGCGCTTTAAATTCGGAAGAGAGCCGGGTAGTGCCAAGGGCTCAGCTACGGGCTGGTTTTGGGGGGGGGGGTGAGGGGAGTCTTAAAAGTACGGGCAGTAAAAGCTCATGTGGGGGTAGATGTAAAGGTCAAACGACTCCTAATATCTTTTTCGATTAAAAGAATTCTTTTTTCAAAAGTCAACCACCCATTCCTACCCCTTCACTTTGTGAAAGGCTTTTCACAACTAGCAACTTGTGCGGGCATCGCAACGCCTTATGGGGAATATAAAAGACGGCACGATTCGGGCGATTAAAGTCTAAGGAGGAAAAAGTAGTTTTTCTCCGCGAAAGATATTGTAGCGAATTTAATATCAAGATGTCACGTTGACTTTTTTCCTAAGGTGCTTAGATAAACAATGGGGTTGGGGCGCAGTGACTTGGGAGAAAAATATAATGTAAGCATAAACCAAGAATGGGATGCAACTCATATAATAGCAAATTTTTCCTCACTACTTTTCAAAAATCAGTCCATTGACCAAGTGAGATGTTTTATTGCCTAAAAACTATTCAAAAAACGCAGTTGCCTCAACATAGTTGTTCGAGGTTAAACTAGTTTCAAGCATTTGCGAGGTTGTGTCTTTGAAGAAGAACTAGAACAATAAACACCAAACTCCCAAGTTTTTGAGCTTTTACCTTTTTTTTCTTATTTTCATCATCAGTTTACGTAAGTGAATATTTCGACGAGATTAAATCCCAGCAATAAAGCATCCATTGATTCAGGCATTCAGTTGGCGCCACGCTATCTCAACAAGGGTGTACTCCTTTCTCCAAGCTCTTTAGTTAGTCTGTTTACTTGTCAAACGAAAAAGGGCTGTTTCGGCCCGAGTTTCCTGGTTCCCAAACTAGTGCTGTGTCCCCTTCTAATAGAATGATAGGAATGGGAATGCAAATAAACAGTTGCCTTCCAGGCTTGACTTCAACTTTCAGCTACGAGGTAATTTCTAGCCCTATGCTTGCATGACACGACAGCCCGTGCTGACGAACTAGCCAGCATAACCATCGTTGCCTTGAAATTAGGTAATTTGAGGTGAATCGGGTCAGTTTTAATACCGCATTGGTAGTTGACACGACCCCCAAAAAGTGACCTCTTTCCCCACTTTAAACGGTTCGGCTTAACGTGCACATTTTCATTTAACAAGTAGGGGAACTAGGTTGTCCACAAATCGGGAAATGTGACGAAAAGTACATGAAATATTGAATCACTAGATAGTAATTAATACTGCCGATCACGAATGTTCAGAAGCATTGCTAATCGAGAAAACATTGCTGGGGATTAGAAGGGCAATAAATAAAAAGACAAGCCCTTTCACAGAGCGTTACCATGCATCCAATCAACAATTGCTCAAAGACTCATTAGGTGAATATGTAAAAATTGAAGGCCGAATTAAGCAAAGAATGGTTGTATAAAAATGAAATATTAACTCATTCCATAAGCATAAATTATAGAAGAATGGGAGGTTCGATAAAAACTCGGACTTGCTTTTGACTTCAAGGTAGTCGCCTTTGTGATGTGCTTGCAAGTGAATCCGACCACGACGTTCGGTGTGATCAACACCACAAAGACCTGGGACCATTGCCTTGCATTTAATGTGGACATTCATGTCACATTCTGTAGGATACAAATAAAAGGGTACGCACAAGCCTTTATGGAGCAATTTCAGTAAAGATTATGAAGCCATAATTAGATTCCAAATATTTAGATTGGTTAATAAGGTCTTTGCAAACCATCCAATTTTCCAAATGAAAAGTAACTGTGATCAGAAGGTAAGAGGGTTCAGTTTATCAGGGTCTTAATACCTACTTTGTGGGCTAGAAAGAGATGTGCTCTACACTGATATGATAAGAAGACTATGTTAGTTTGAAACGTTTATGAACAAAACATCCACAAAAAAGCTGATTATTAGGACTTTCACGAGTCCATGAGTGACAATAAATAGTAAGCCCTTGATGGGCATTGTATCGTGCTAGAAAAGTAAATAAGTGACAAGAGAAGATGAATCGAGATATTAGCCGGAAACTATAAACAGAGTAATAGAGATTTAAATACGAAGTATAGGGCTTCAAGCCCTTGAAAATACACGTCGAAAGACCAGAATAGTTAATATGACTCACTTTCGCACTTCATACCCTGGTGGACAAGACCATGCAATAGCGATCCACAGTGGTCACAGACAGTTGGACTTCCGAAGGTATGGAGTTGAAATTTGTGGTAATTTTGGAACTAAACGTAAGGTAGTAAGAGAATAACGTAAGTACATCAGAATCGGGACCTTTATCCAAGCCGGGGCAGCTAAAAGTGACGAACTCAGTGCACCTTTTGTGCGTAGTAAACAAGCAGACGTTGCATTGGTACCCCTGTTTGCCCAAAACTCCCCTATAAATAATTCAAAAATACGCACCAGCAAAAGATTACCAAATAAAATCTTTGCAATGTCCACACCAAGTTGGCTGTTTGAAATAACGAGGAATAAAAGAATGGTCCTTAACAATCACGACGTTTTTTTGCCTGAATGCACCGCGGCGTGCAAAAACCTTATCAGGCATCTCTGAGCTTACAAGCTAGCGCTGAATGCGATCTACCAAACTTTCTCTAGTAAAACAAATTAAAGGACACCGAAAATATGCAGTATTTGCAAGGCATGAATCCTAAGGCTAACAAAATAAGTATGGTTTTAAAGTCAAATCCTTGCAATGCTTTGTAACATGATTTCAACTTTGGTTATAAAATTATAAGAGAAGAAAACCAATGCAATTTGTGAGTTCTTTGTCAGACCTACTTTGCAGTATACGTTACCCAACTTTCGTCAACTATCCAACCACTTCATTCATATTACTTTCTTATGTATGGCAATGTTTGGTTTCTAATCATGTGATTGCAGCTCAAATCTGCTGAGAGATATCCAAAGCGCTCCGTCCCACTGCGCCACCCACGTTAAAAAAGTTTGGAATCCATTAGTCCAAATTTCATCTCAAACGCCTGAAACCTTTACACCTAGTCAATGTTGTGATAATTTACATGTCATTGTTCACTATATCCCTGAATGCATAAACAACCCCTACCTGGGGGTTTGCTGTGATTCGATAGTGAGACACCCCACCTTAAATAAATATGACAAAAGGAACTCGCCCTGGACCTCAACATAACCTGCAAAAGTTGCATCTAGATTTGTGGCATCCTGTTATTCTAATGCGCCCTCTGCAGTCGCGAACGCTTAAGGTTGCCGAACCAGTGCTTACCACCCTTTCTCCGTAGATGGATCTTCCCAGTATAAGCAAGGTATTCTACATTATTTTTCGGAGACAAAACAGAAATACATCACTCTTCCAGAGGCTTCTACAGATGTTCATGTTGTAAAACTCGAATTCTCTAATCTCATATTTGTAATCGTGTCCACTAACGGAAAACTGGGAGATATGGTACAAAATGCACCGCAAATTACCATGCTTTAGGTCCTATTCGAACGTCAAACCCCGAATGTTCCCGAAATGATTTTGCCAAGAGAGGCCAGCACCTACAAGAGTCACATGCTTATCGGGTGTGATAGGGCAAGTTCCCTCAGCGTGTTTCGTTTACCGCCCCTTGTCTTTTATGCATTCGCATGCATGTTTTCGTATCGTAGTTCAAACCTATGCACTTCTTTTACCCTTGCACCGTTATTCACTTTATCAAGGCAGACAACAATCGACTTCGACAGCCTCTAAATATCTGCCCTGATTTATTCCTACCGATATTTTATTATAGCCATATGTGAGTACCCAAAAACGTACGCACAGACTTCCTGCTTGGTAAAATTGTATCTTCTTATTCTGGTAAAATTTGACCATTATGAGACGAGGTCAACTCAATGATTCATGCGAAATAATATTTTATCTCGCGAACGCTATAGATACCATTCGCTACATTACAGGATGAGGCACATCTTCTGGCCAAAAAAATCGCTACAGAGTTGAAAACGGACAAAAAGGTTATCGTCAGCTCCACATTAGGCCGGCCGATTTCCTACACAGACGCTGGAGAACTATGTAAAGCGCTAGTTTCTCTTTAATGTGTTTAATTTAACATTTTAACTGATGTGATGCCTTATTTGGTTACTTTTATCACCTACCCATTGATTCCAACTGTTTGGGTGTCTAGTTTGATGTTTCACTCTATTTACAGTTATCAGGAATTTGGAGAATTGATTGTGCCACGTCTCTCCTCTAGTCCTTTTCGTTGGTATTGTCTGATCTTTCCACAATCGTCTCATTGTCCTCCCTAGTGTCGTCCTGATTTACAGCAGTGTACGTTTTTACGTTATCGTCTGGGGGTGAGTAGTTCACCTGAGATAGTGAATTAATTTAAAAAGACCATACTTTCGCATTATCCTCGAAGGCTTCCTCGGTGTACCCACCATTATTAATTTCATCAGAATAAGTCTCCTCATCACCGACTTCTTCCTTCTCCCCGTCCTCATTCGCATTGGTCTCTTGGTCCATCTATATCGAGAACGAGACAACATTGGCACCGGACATATCACTTAGCTTTCAGGCCCTAGTAAGTCTCCAAGCGCATTCAAGACCGAGTGCACTGCAGAAAGAAAGTTCCAAAGTAGCGGAGAGGACCCACTTACACTTCCCATAGCCGCCCGGTCCAGCCACTCGAGGGTTGTGTACCAATAGTTCACCACTGTCTCGTAATCGTTCTAAAGCGCCCGTTGTAATTTTCCTTGTGTCAGAAAGCACCATCCACTCACCGGAAAGTGGTGTACCCGCACTTCGAGGTTCTTCACCTCTGGGTGATCCACCGCACACTTAACAGCTGGTAGCAAACTAGATGTTTTGGGCTCCTTCGGCACCGCGCTGATTGTATTGTCTTCCGATTGGATGCTTGAACTCCACCTGTAGCTGCTTGTGGCGAGACGCTTTTGGTGCTTCCGATTGACCTGATACTAAAGTGAGGCGGAATGGGGAAGCCAAGGGGAAAGCGTACCTCACATTGCGGTCGGAGGACCACGTCGGAGGCGTTGCCATCTTCGTCAAACACTATGCGATGAAATGGCTGGTGGATGGCCACAAATGGCTCATCCTCCTTCGCGTTGCACGTCTCCTAGACGACGGCTGGAAGTATCTGATGAAAGCGTACCTCAAAGTCAGGCTCGGAACTTCTCCATTTTCGTCGGTGCCGTTTGCGTTTGGGAGCTGAAGTTGCTGTGTTGGTGAGGTCATGGACCTCTTCAGGGTGAAGCTCAGCATCAGTGGGCGGAGAAGTAGCATTGTTCAACGATGCTTCTCGTTGTGGTGGATCTTTTTCAAGTGCATCTTCAGCTTGACTCATCTAAAAAGTCAATTGACTAGATGGTGGGGTCTTTTGGGCACTTTATTTGCTGACGAACTATTTTGCTAGTACCACTCCATTTACCTCGACTGGAAATAACATCGACGACCACCACTTGATTTGTAGGAATTTCGAGCAGTAATCATTCAAATTTTGCTAAGACCTGCTGTTCCAAAAAAAACTTGTAAATTTATTTCTGTGACAATTATTTCAGCACCGTTTCCTGTGATCTCCCACAGCTGTTTTCAATCTGTAGTCCTTTTAACTTCAACGCGGGTGGATCCCCGGCCAACAAATGAGCGACGCAATATAAAACCGGCACTTTGCCCCATTTTTGAAGGGGTAACAAGAAATCCTGAGTACCTATCAGCACACCACTAGTTGCCTGCTGTAAGTACTGACGCAGTCGGCTTACTGACGACTCATGACGTAAAATAGCTCCGACTTCTTGTGTACCATCCCAATGTTTCAAATGGTCCACTCCAGCATGGATTACCTCATATTGAAGATCAAGAGTGCGCGTTAAAACTTAGTCCTTTAAGCATTAGCCAATGCTTCCAAATTCTCCCTCCTATGTTCAGAACAGAAATAGTGTGGAATTTCGTCCGCCTCATCCGCTGCTGCACAAAAGCGTTCTAAATGACCGGTGTGCAGTTATGCGCCCGCCCAAGCACCGGACATTTAATACCTCCAATGGGAAAAAAATCCTCAAACAAAGCAGTAGCAGAAGAGGGAGTGAGGGGCGTACCCGTATAATATGCTATACACACACTATAGACATTGGGGTGCTTAATAAGGTGAACGGTGATAAGTTCGGCGCTTGGGAGCAAATTTGGGCTGGGGATAGATAACCCCAGTCGACTGAGCGTCGCCACCACCACCTTCTTGGGGCGACGTGGGGGACAGGGAGCGGGAGGAGGAGGGCGAGAGGGAGGAATGTGAAAAGGCGGGTGTCCTTGAGAGTGCTGATACTGAGTCCCCGTCATCACCGTCGCCTTCATCCATGCCATCCCGGTTCTCCGCATTCGAGTGAGGCAACGCTGTCGCCTGGTTTCCTTGCAGCTTGGCGACTTGTGACTCGATTACATCAAGCCTTGACTCGATTAGACTGATCATCTCCTCCAGTGGGATCAGGATATCTGATTCCAGGCAGTCGAGGTCACTCGACGCCCTCTGTGACTTGGCCTCGTCTACGAAGATAAAAAGACGTCGAAAAGAGGCTTCCATGGTGCGGGATGCACCTATTTGGTCATATGATCCAGAAGATGGAAATAGAAAGTGAGCAGATGAAAGGATTTGCAGTTTTGCTTGAAATAAGGGGTCTACGCTATTTTCTATAATCAAGTATAAATGTAACAAATCTACATAATCAACACCTGGATTCGGTCAAGTTTGAAGCCTCCCCACACCACGCCAGTGGAGCAAACTGGCATAGATGCAATGCACTAATGACGATAAATGGTAGGAGAAATGATAACAACAAAAGCTTCGGACAAGTAGAGAAAACTGAGGGGCAGGGATAAAACAGACCACAGGAGGGCGTAGTGGATGTGGTAGACAGACCGAATTCGGCGCGACTGGAGCTCTCGGCGAAGCCGATCAGACTGGCAGCGGCCTCGATGTCACTGACACTGGTGCTCCCGCTGCGAAGACTCTTCACGGGCGTTGTGAAGAAAGGCGATGCGGCGTCAATTGTTAGAGGCCGCTGCAGATCTGCCTCACTGAAACACGCGCATAAACGATTTCAGGTTGCGGCTACCTGTGAGCGAGCTATAATTACTGTACTTCTTTGCACAGGTGGCTTTTATGCCCAAATATTAGCTCTTATGTAGACTGTCTAGTGCCATAGAGGTTAGAGGGTGACAATGGGTTTGGGAGTTAAGTTCCAAATTTCAAGCTCGTCAACCCCTGTAGGAGGGAATATTGGTTTATTTTTTGTCTGCATGAAGAAATCAGAGTTAAGTCAGGCGAGAGCCCGCCTTTACAGTGTAACTGCACGATATATAATGGTAAGTATTTATGACGCTTAGTAAAGAGTTTCAGCCAGGGGAGGATTAAAACCCCTCTTCATCTTCCCTTTGTTCCTACACCATCTAGTGTGGAGCCAACCACCGCGTACCACTTAAATGGACGAAGGTGGTCGAGGTCGTCAATCTAATTTTTCCAACTGTATTTGGATGGTATATGGATAGAGACGCTTCGTTTCAGCTTCAAACATCAGTGCCGAAATGACCAGGCTTTGAGAAGTCAAAATCTAGTAGTTTACAAATTCTATTCGTGTCTGGTTATTTTAAGATAAACACATGAATGTTCGTTGGTTCTGGTTTTAGGTTCCAATGCATTGACACTGCAATCCAATCCAGTAACAAAAAAAGCGCACGACGTACATTGTGGTAGCCGTGGGTGGGGGAAAGGGTTTGCTATTGCTCAATCCGCTTCCGCCCTGGTACAACACCTGCTCGAGACTCGCTAGCAGCGTCTTAGTTGGCGTGTCGAAAATGGCGCCCGATTGAGGAGGCGGAGGCGGCGCCGCAGTCTGCCTTGGTGATCCTGACTGGACCTGCGCTGGCGGTTGGCCCTGCTGTGTCGAAGCCGGTACGTTGAGTAGGTCGTCAGAAATGGCAGTCATCAGATCGGGCAAGTCTTCTGGTGAGCTGTTTGCAAGGTTGGCCAGAATTCGCGTAATGTCCGTGGACTCCAACGCTGTGTAAAATAGTGTGGAAAAAGACCGAATTTCTTTTTGACCCAATTGTGACTATGAGACGCATCAAGTTTTGATGGGACCCGACAGGTGATACTAAGAGGGATGAAACTGCAACCGATAGGGTGGGTGCTCCAGGGTATATCACGATGGAGATCCAAAGCAGCATAAATATTTTATGGCAATCCTCAGCAAATCACTACTGCCACTAACATAGCAGGGATGGAATCAAGCAGATCAAATTCTAGCATAGAAGAAAGTAATACGGTCGAAACATTGAATATTAGAATCGTGAGATGTACTCCTCTATATCGTAATAGCTTAAGAACACATTAAGACAATTACACAGCATGGAAGAAAAAAAGTGAAAATGATCAAAACGAACACTTCCTCTACATTTTTTAATTTTTTCAAAATAGTCTTCGCCTTTAGATGGTTGGTAGAGAATCAAGTAAGGTATTATGCGATTCAAATGAGGTTCCCATTCCATTTCGATAAAAGACGACGTTGGAATCGGAAGCCTTCTCGTTGCGACGAGCAGCCATCTCTGCACCATCTCATTCATTTCGGACTTTACCGGCTAGTTCAGAAGTTTAGCTACGGCCGGCGCTGATCTTATTAGAAAAATTAAGTAAAGCGCATCATCATTCACATTGCTGTAAGATTGCGTTTGTGTCCCACATCGCAGTATCCATATCTGATGAATGGGAACGAGTATTTCTTTTACACCTTTATCATCTAATTACCCATGTAAATACATATAATTGAGGTATATGAATGTCAGGAATCGACGAGTTTATCAATTAAATCTCACCACTCAAATGTTCCTCCCCAGCAACTACTTGAGGTGCAGGAATAAATGGGAAATCCATAGTCAAGTCAGCAGTTGTGGAGTCAGCAGAGTTCTCCTTTGGCGCATTTGAGGTCGCTACGGTGGACTGTGCCTCACCATTGCCACTATCACCACTTCCAGACGATCCTCTAATCCGAGAGAGCGTACGGCGACCCGTCACAATCAATGTATTGAGATGGCGCAGCCATGTTATCAGACTCATGGTCTCTCGCATCAAATGGGCCAAGCTGGGATTGTCGCCTGGCTGCGACATGGTCACTTCACCAGTTTCCGCCGACTCAGTCGGCCAGTCAGTGAGACCGGATCGGGAGGGTGCCCGGTGGCAGAAGGTGCAAATCCACGACTACAGTAAGAAAAAAAGAAATACCAAGGCCGAAAAGTGCTAAATGGCTGGCTTGGTCGCGCTAGCAAGTAAACGGGCCTGGTTACTTACCTTAGCTGCGCCCTGTGAGGTGCATGCCCTATGAGACCACACCCGACAAACAACGCATTGAATGAGATTTTGAACGAGCTCTGTCGTAGAACCGCTAAATTTGCACGCGGGGCAGAAGACATATCTCTCTGACTGGGCAGCTGCAGGCAGCGGCTGGCTAGAAAAGATAATTGGAAGTGAATCAAATAGCCAAAATACCCCTCCACCTCTGGTTCCACCTTCCTCTTCTTCGGTGCAGGAGTGAGTTCCACAGTCGGCTGCGGTGAAGTACTCTTTGCGCTGTGATAATTCTGAAGGTGAGCAGTTAATAGACTCTGTCTACGCATTTTCCGAGGACAGTGAGGACACTGAAATGTGGTCGGAGGTATTTCCTGTGAGGGAACTGCTAAGTCAACTACCTCAGTGGGTTTGGGGGACATCTTACGAACCTAGATGAGGAAAATGAGCCTCTTTCTTACAGACGTCTTACAGTAGCACTTGACCGTTTAGCCAAACTAGGCTGCTCTGATTTGCCTCCCGGTTTATTGGGGGGTGAAACGGTTGGGTTCTCCAATTTAGGTGGTTCCTCGAGCTTTGATCCTTCAAATTCTCCTGAAACAGCCTGCTTCTTTAGCTCTCGCCTCTTTCGACAGGCTTCGTGGAACTGAGCAATGTTGCGATCATAAAGCATATCACCTTTGGCAACAGGTGTATCATTTGAACCGTCATTAGCATCGACCACAGGTTTTCTTTCACGCTCTTCACTAGGCTCCTTCTTCGTTGTCTCCGCTTGTCTGTGTTGACGAATAAATCTCAGTACATAGTTGATTTCGCTTTGCTCTGCACGACGAATGGAGGATGCTGGAGTCCATTCAACAACACCATCCCAGCTAAATTTAATCCGATACTCCAGGTGCTCACGGGATCGTTGACGGTAGGCTAAAACCTCGGCAAGGTACTCGTAGTTATTTCTCCACCGTGCCATCACGTAGGAACCAATCTCATAAACCGGCCTCAACGCTGGCTTTTGATGGTTATGGACTTCGTGGGGAACTCCGCGTTTAGATTTGGAACTGTTCTGCATTAAACGACGTTTACTGAGAGAGTGTACCTTCTCAGACCTAAATAGAATAAAGAGGTTGAGTTAACGACATACTTTAACAGTGTCCAGCATATTTTACTTGCTCAATTACCAGTTCAATGCACCTTCCACAAAAGCACAATTAAAGCCCTCTGCCGTTAAAAACTTGATGTAATAAGTGAAAAAGTAATGCCTTTGGGGGAATGTAAACAACCCACATGCCTAAGCGAACCGTCTTACAAGACAATGCGTTCACACAACTAACGCACAACACTTTCAAGACGTAGCCCATAAGTGAACAAACGAATCTAATGAACTACACCAATGCATTAAAACTCAATCTCCATTGTCAGGGAGCACAACTTATAGTAGAATGCAAAACCAAGCCCAAACCACAGCTACACGAATGCAACGAGCTCTTAGAATTAGCGCTTGCATATTTCAAACGACAAAACATCTCACTTTCAGTAAAATAAGAGTTAGTCATTTTAACATTAAAATTAGCATTGCAAAATAAAGCCTTTTTGTACAGCCTTTGCCCACAATAAATACGCACTGCTATTCATAATGCAGCAAAAATTACTAAACAAAAGAGAAAGCGATTTAATATTTGGTAACTTACCAAAGTGTGCCACTAATAAAAAGATTCTATGTGCAAACGCCCTGTGGCACTTGTTTTTTACCCGAATTATTCCTAACTTGTCATTTATAAAACTGGTTTAATGTAATTTTAACTTAAACTAGATTTTTATGCTCTACGGCAATGTGTGGCGAGGAGAGTAGCTCTATTGGTAACGCTGACAGAGTGCTTGAATGAGCGCAAATAAAGCAAATAGAAGATTTGGAAATCACGAACTATTTCCCTCCTGAAGACTGATTATTAATGGGCTTTGTGTACTCTGGAAAAGCAGCATTGCACACACGGTCCGCGCCATATGCAGAACTGAAGCATATTTCGCTTTTGGGGTCAATGGTGCCCGCACGACCACGAGGTTAGTCTAATCTGGTGGCTTGCCACCTAAACGGTGCATTTAAACAAGTGTGCTTGAAAATATTTTGCAGCGTTCACAGACCATCATTTTCGCATCTTAATGGCTCGTTCTCAGAAAAGTCGTCAAGACTGCAGTACCTATAAATTGCTTTTTCTTTATTGGTACTGCATTTCTAAATTCCTTGCTGAAACGTGCATCATCCACCCCCTGAGGCAGAAATGCAATTTGAACGACCATAATCGTGACCACTGCGCCCTGTTTTTAATACCACAGATACTGCCTTCGCCAAATAAGTCTACTTTTTCTTAGGGATTTAAGGGCCATGCTGAGATACACCCTAAGCCTACGCCAGTAATGTCAATTCTTCTATAAAGCGTTTTTAACAAGTCTCTCACCTGCCACTGACACATCTGTACCTTCTACAACTAACGGACTTAAAATTCCTGCCCAATAACATTGGGTAATTAAGCCGCTTGCCAAGTTTGCTGTAGTCACACTAATGATGCAATAATATTGCATTTAATTAGGTACTTTTAATAATGCCTTCATTGTTTGTTTACCTATCGGGCTCCGCCATTGTACCTCAGCTAAGAGGTCTGGTCCCTAGGCAGTGCCCTTAGTCCCAATCTCTTCTGTTATTTGGCAATACATATTCTGCTCGAGTATTATGATTACTTTCGCCTTCAGGGAAGTCCTGGGGTGCTTTATCAAAATCCAGATTGCTGCAATGATAAAAATCTATGTACACAAAATCTTCCAACTTAAATTACATTGTCAATTGTAACGAAGTAAATTATACCAAATGTTATCATCGTTTTCTGTGTCGTGAAGCTTTTGATGATATTTTAGATCGATCATGGTGTTCTGAAAGCACCGGACGATGATCACTAAAGTCCCAAATATCACTGGGATCCCAATCCTCAACCGTTGTCATGGCGTCGATACTGCCTCTCTTGCTGGTGGCCTCCGCGAAGGTTTCCTCTCTGCGAGTTCTGTCGTCTTCCAGTCTGCTCTTTTTCGATGGCTTCGCAGGCTGTGCACCCATTTCATACGATCCTAGCAGGCTCCTAACAGGCAGTCATATGGGCCCTCCTATTGCCCAATCGATAATTCAAACCTGTCCAAGCATGCCGCTTGAATCGACACTGCCTACTGCATTGTTTCAAGGGTTAAAAGTGCTATGACTTCGCATTAGGTTGTTAAAATTCTTAAGGCTTTCTATTCCTACGAAATGGTAAGTCTGCTCAAAACATATTTCACTGTTTTTGGGCAAATAAACAAATAATTGCAACCATATTAACAAAACATATTAACTTTATCCACGGGAGTCAAAATTTGATCTCGTCTATAGGGTAAAACACATGAAATTAGATAAAAAACCATTCTTTTTGAAATGACAAAATCAGATCAATTCCTTTACATCATGTCCATTTAATTCAATGGAAGAGTTGGTGGCGATTCATTTGAAAATCTTACTTTGTTATGAATCGTTATAAAAGACGGACGTTCCTAATACACAGTTTTTAATCGCATGCGGCAGTGCAACATACCTTCCCATTCTGATAGGCCTTACTGCCTTGTTAAGGTACAGAAGGGCTGGAAGTTTAACGTTGGCTACGGCAAAATGCGCAGGTGCGTTCACGATACTCCTTGATCCACTTTTTGTTTGATGGGGGTCACAGCTTTGTCGATTTAGGCATACTGAAGGCGAGAGAATGCAGTGCGTCATCAGAACCAAGTTATTCCCTTCGGGTGATGCTAAACCTAAACAAGTGCAGTTTCTGTGAGACTGAACGGAACTTTGAAATTCTATAGATCACGACTACAAAGCCTCAATAGTTTGTAACTACGAGGCCAATTTAGGCTTGGCCATCGTAATACGGCTCAGCGGCATGGCATCCGGACCATGCGAACAGCCTCTTAGCCCTTCTATACGCCGACTATACATTTTCCGCCTTAGTGTCATATCTTCTTTCCCTACACATTTTCATTCTTGTACGTATGTAACTGTAGCGTCCCGAGACTCCCTGAAGACGAAAGAAGACAAAATACTCGGGCAGAATATATATATTCAGCACGGAGAAGGTGTCTGGGCTATTGGCATGGCCCAAAAGGCCAGCCCACCCAGCGAGGTACAAGGGGGCTAATTCGAAGTACAAAAGTGGCGCCTCACCAGAACCGAGGGATAAACCACTATCGTATTACATAACATCGATATATAGAAGGAGATAGGGCTGCTGGCATGGACCAAAGATCAGCCTCCTCAGTGGAGGCCCAATGTGGCGCTTTACCAAAACGAAGTGTTTAACGGCCAAAGTATTACACAATATTTGACCAGGGTATAGATAGTCCAACGATTCACACTGGCTCTAAAAGTTAGCTTGTGGCATATCAAAACATGAAAATAAAGTAAGGAATTTTTTCATGGCTTGGAAACAGAGTTTAATAAGTTACGTGACAAAAACATCATTTAACTAAAAAAGCTCATGCATATTTTTTTCACCTTATGAAAGTTATGATAAGTAATGATAATGCTCATAGGATCTTTGTAAAAACACTCATAATTTCTCATTGGCAAGACAGTGTGAGCTAAAAATTTGCAAAACGTAAATTGCTTTTCACTCATGAATGCCGATGAAAACCAATTTGAATAATTTTTTCCTTAGATTATTTCTGGTTTTTTGCTGCGCCAATTGTTTAAATAGTCTCTCTACTTGATTTTGCGTCTTGTGTTTTGGGGGCTAATTCGTGTCAAGAATGAGCGACAAGGAACGCTTGTTTTCGGAATTTTACTCTGAAGTAAAGATAATAGAGCAAAGAGACTCAACTCTTACACCGAAACAACAAATTGACAGACTAAATAGACCCGGGTGCACATACTTCAACCTTAATCCATTTGACGTATATCTTCCACATTATTTAGTCTTGATTATTAGGTTTTGCAAGTCGATCCAGAAGCGAAGATGTCTGACATCAAGTCAAGGTACCGGCAGGTATTTCCCGTGTACTTTCTTGTCATGCGTAGATGTCTCTTCTCGTGCATCCAGACAAAAATCAGGATGACGCCGAGAGGGCGCAAAAAGCCTTTGATGGTAAATACTGTCTCCTTAGTTTCACTTACGCTTGTTTACACGGTGGTTATTTTTGTTGTTTTGTTCATTTAGCTGTCACGAAAGCGTACAAAACTCTTGAAAACAATGAGAGTTACCGGAAATGTCTGGAAGTTGTTCAGGAGGCAAAGGATCGTGTCATTCAAATGGTAGTAATACATTGCTTGTGTGCCAATCTCAATAGGTTTCAGAGAAACGCATCAAAGCTAAAGGCCAGACCATAGATGAAGACGATCCAGCTAAGGTAACTTTGATTTAGCATATGTTTAATATCTCCGTGTAGTACAGACATGCTGTATATGTGCAAACGTGCAAACTCTTTGCAGATCTAGAACGCCTTCGTGTGGATGAAGAGACAAAACAACAGAATGAAAGGTGTGTTCTGTTATTTGATTAGTTTCTCTAACTACTCGTTACAGCTTGCAGTCATTTCAAATCGCTTTCGAGATTCTTTTCCATTTTTCTAGAATTAGCCTTATCTACTTAAGTAAATTAATGTCTACTTTTATAGCTTGGTTATTGACTGCGTCTCTCACCGCTTCTTGCGTTTTGATATATTGTGTACCCCTGTCAATAACTGGCCCGAATATTTTACTCACGTATTCCATGCAATATATGGCCTTGATACGCTTCACCTTTTACGATAACATCGGCTTACTCTTTTTAACGAAAAAGGTGTTGTATCTATTTTCAGAAAAAGGAAGGCGGAAGAAGAGGAAATGCATCGCTTCCGTGTGCAATACGACAGGGAATGGCGTGATAACTATGAAGTACGTTCTTTCCCCTATAAATTTACCTTTTCCTTGCTTTCCAGCAACAGTTCCTCAGTATTGTAAGGTTTACAGTTTCGTGTCTCGTGCTCACCAATCTTGACCACTTTTTAGTTAGTCCCACATTGACGAACTCTACAGACATTATGAGCGGTGCAAATACATCGCATTGAGTTCTCAGCGCGATCTCCTGATTATTTCATCCTTGGTCACTCCACGACTCAACTTTAAGTTATGACCACTTCCCTATTTGTGCTAACGCCCTCTTATTGTGGTGAGCCCCATTCATCAAATAAACCAGCCAACCAGTGGTTCAACTAATTGACTGTATTTGATTATTCGGAGAGCCCCTTCCCAGTACTTACTTGCGTGCAAACTTTTCCTGTTCATCATAGGAAAGCCGGAAGGACCGAGTGAGAAGTTGGCGCAACTTCACTGCAAAGAAGGCCAAGAAGGGTGAGAGCTTGGGCGGCTTCAAGCCACCCAAAACGCGCATGGAACAGCGCCCTAACTGATCTCCAACGCCCAGCCCCGTTGACCACTCCTGTTATAAACGTTTGTGTACATAAGAAGTAACTTGCCCCCATGTCCATCTTCGCTAAAGGAGTGGATTTCATCACGCCTGTTTATCTTACTAACCGGAAATGCAAACCCAGCGACCTGCTTTGCCATGTTGTTGCACACATGCGGCTCTTGATAGCTGATGAAGTAAGAATGCTTACGAGGTTTTAGATAAGGGTAGAACCTAGTCGAGACTACTTTTCGTGCAGTAACTGTGAAAACAAATCGCTACTGAAGTATTATAACTGGATATCTGTAGCAAATTTTGTTACAGCCGTCGGTCTGGTTAAGTGTCTCACAGTGACTTGTTGGGTGGTTATGATACTACGGGGAGGAGGTAATTGACACAGTTAACTTCTGCCTAGGGGGACACCAGTTTGTGAGTGGGTTTGCGCGCGTACCCACCCTACGGAGGGGACGGGGGTTACAGAGAAGGGAGCTTGTACAACTGCTACACGACTGGGGGGGGGGGGGGCGATTCCCCCTCTCAGTGTACGTGAGACGTTGGGGATGGTGGTGACGATGGTAACTGTGGGGGTGGAGGAGACGTCGACACTTGTAAATGCAGCTCGGTCGAGAGGTCAGGGTCCCAGGCGAGAACGCGGCCTGTGAGAGGGTCAAATTTGCCAGCTATAAAGTAGGTGGGCAGTTCTCCATCTGAGCTCGAGTCGCCCTCCTCGCTATCGTCCACAACAGAAGTGGGCTCATCCTCGCATGGAGGCGCCTGCTTCTCATTTTCCTTGGCCAGCTCAGTAAATTTCCCCTGCCTGGAAAGCCGATACTCCGTGTAGTTGCGAGCTATTTGAACACGGTTGATGATGCAAGTGGCCTCGTTGTCATCCGTGTGGTCGGTTACAAACACTGCACCTTCATAGTTGGCAACGCGTTTACCATCCTCGCCTGCTTCTTCTGGACAGTAGAACCTGGGAATCAATCGTGACACGCTATAGGAGATCAACACATAAGTCCACAGTTATTTTTGCTGAAACTAAATAGCTCCAGTGAGCGTTACGATTGCAGCACTGGTAATTTTTTAGCATGAAAGTGGCAGACCCAACTCTACAATATTCATATGCTTCAGCACTAGAGAATTGGTGGTAGGCCAACCTACCAGGAAGCGCAAACAAGTGGTGAGAGTTCGTTGTGCCGCGGTGCGTAGATGATTTTGATCTCACCCAGGTAGGCCTGATCGTTTCCACCCGAGTTGAACTTCACCACGTCACCCAGTCGTACCACCAGTCCGTCCCTGTTGCGCCTCAGCGAACGGTAGCAGGGCATCCCGTTGTATCGCTTTCGCAGCTGTAATGCGCATCCGTTTCAGTTTGGTGTAAGTCAATCCAAAGCAAAAAGTGGGCCAATCACTCACTCGTCCATGAGGTTTCCAAATAACTCGCAGAGGAGGCTTCACTTTCTCCTCGTCTTTGGGCCAGTTGTTCAACCAATTATTACCTCCTGAATTCAAAAAACACTCCATATCAGTGTCACAAGTCAATGCTGGAATGTCAGGACCAAGTGCAGTTTACAGCCAAATCTAGTGCGTATGTGTAAGTGTTTCAGCACAATTGATTACAAAACAGAAAACCTACCTATCCTCCTCTTTATACCAATAATTCACCCACCCAATTCCCTGATGAAAAGCGTCCTGCTCGTCGGATATCAGTAGCATAAGGTGACGGGCGATGCTGACCTGGAATTACATAGCCGATTTCGTTTTAGCTGTTTAGTTGTGAGGTCCTCTTCCTGATTTTGCACGATTTAACCTCCACACTGATGGCACTACTTCGGGACGCTTTTAGCCTTATGCTCCCCATAACGGCTTCGGCGACAACTCAAGCGCTGCATTAGTGATAACGTTAGCGAACTCACTCCGGAAAGACATTAATCTTGATCTTGCACAGAAAATGTTACAAAAGAACAACGCCTACAGACGACTAAATTTGCAAGGACCCAGCAGATGCAGCGCTAAAACCGGCTCCATTTCAATGCCGAATGCCACGTAAGAGGCAGTAGTGGAGTGAGATCGGGTTTGAATGCGCTGATTTGAGGATACGAGGCCTCCCCACTTTGTTCTTAAGTGAATGCTCCCGGAAAAAGCATTGGTGAATCGTAGAACTAGTGCCTAAGGAAAAACCTCGGCCTGACAATGACTGCGATATTAAAAAATTTTATCGGGAGTTATAATTAACTAAAAAATCGCGACGACCAAAACACAAGCTTGACCTCAAAGAGCACCAAAAAATGTTTCAAAGACGAGAGAGGCCATGCAGGAAAATTGTGTCTACGCGGATATTTTCAGGCCTGTAAGATTCGGCTGCCACGCTGATGGCCTGAAGCCATCCCCCACATCCCCTATGGTACTGGCTTCCCAAATATCACGGTGCTGACATAAAAGCGACGACCTCAGCAATAACTTGGGCACTAAAATCAACTACTACTCGGACACCTACCCTCTCCCCTTTACGCCAGATCCGCATAACCAAAAAATACCACTCATCAAACTTCAGTAGCAGAATGTTAATGGTAAAAGTAACTTGCCATGTACAGCTGGCGAGGGCTCCTTCAATGAGGAGGTGCCTCCGTTGACAAGACGACTTCGTTGTGTGACGGAGACCATTCTCTTGCCCTTCGGTGAGACGGGCGACAGCTGCGGCGATGTATGGCTGCGATGAACCTCCACGGTGTCTGTGTTAGTGGCGCAAGCAATAGGAGTGCATGAGGCCCGACCCAACTCATTGAGGTTAGCGAAGTGGTCGGGTAGCATGCGAATGTGCCGCAGGGGCACCTCCCTGTGATCGCCGTCGTCAAAATCAATGCAGAGGCAGTTATCTGCTGGTAGCGGTTTGTCTGGATCTACTGGAGAATGTGAAAATGTGGAATTACTACTACTAGGTGGATATTCACTAATCTGTGGTGGGATTAGGAGACGAGTGAGTTGCAGATAAAAGTCTACCTTCCACAAACGGTATTTTTAACCTGAGCACTACATAAAACTCCGTTTCAGTATAGGATTACCTTCCAACTGGTGCACAGGTATGTCAAATGGTTTTATTTAAAGATGTGAGTTAAGGTTGTGCCGTGGAACAAACGGAGAGCATTAACGAAAAGCTTGACATCAGGAATGTAGGTTTACTAACGCCGGGTACGTTTGAAAATCCTATTACTGCAATTCCAGTAATGAAAACAAGATGGACGAGGGTGTGAGTTGAGATACGGTTATAGAGGACGTGGGCGTCAATTTCAAGTGATTCGTGTGAACAGCAACAAAACCATTCACAAGGTTGCTATTTCAACCATGTTGGAATATGTGAAGAAAATTTGGGTGGCACGGATATAGCTTCAAGAATTATTTGCGGTTTACGGCATACAATCCCTTTCCACAATCCTCCAAAAAGGCCTTCGTGAATTCGTGGACTTTTACCCTCTAAAAAGCTTGGCTGCTAGCCTAAGTGGACAATGTGGTTAGGTGAGGCCTTCGATACCGCGGGTGCACATAACGAACATCGCCCGAACTGCAGCCTAGTTTCAGCTAAAGAGGAACCAAAATTGTGGTTCCTTTTCAAATGAATCAGCTCTTGAAGATGGACGCGAATGACATCCATCAGCAAGTCAAGCAGTATCCCCTTTCGGCCACGGGATCGCCCACTGCTCCCAATGGAAAAAAATGGCTTTGGAACAAAAATCACAATGCAGCCGATAATCTCAAAACGTTGTGGAGGATGGTATTCATGGAGAAGGTGGGTTCGAAATAAACGTCTTTTGAGAGGGATTAGCGAGTGAAAAAGCCCTAGTGCTAGTAAGGCTGCAAATAAAGCGGATTTAACAACTCCTCTAATTCAGACATACTGAATTACTGAAAAATCTCCGCCTGATTGAATTTGCAAAGCTCTCTTTTGAAAGGCAAAAATGCGATGTACCGGAACGATTAGAAAATGCCCATCTAAATAGAACTCCGTGCATCAAAACCCGAATGGTAAAACACAGTTGCCTCTGTAACACGTTACTTGGTTGTGTAACGCCCAGTTTTGGTTTCGTGGGCCACTTGAGGCCTCTGGGCCATACCAGTAGTCTCAAGCTCTTCTGTAGGTCGACAATACATATTGTGCCCGAGCATTATATCTTCCTTCGTCTTCGGGAGAGCCTCGGAGCGCTACACTCCCATAGCAAAACTTGTTAATCTTTGACGAATTTGTTAAAATCTTATCGTAAAACAGGCTTGTTTTGTCTGGCATGGTAAGTTTCGGGATGATGACTTATTTAACTTATTTAAAAAAGGCTTTTGCAGAGAAGGTGGTGCGGTTCTCTAAGTGGTCAATAGAACGCACAACTACAAATTCAACTTAGGCTGAAGCAGCACGGTTACGCTAGGGTTAGAAAAGAATCAAATGAGAGTAAGGTGCCAGACATTGATCCGCCTCAAGTGGTCCTGCACAGCGCATAACACACACGCAGGCAATATATGCACCAAAGTGGGCTGTCATATTTTACCACGGCGAGGGATGAGAAAAGCCCTTGCATAAGTTGGCATCACCGAAAGTGGCACAACCAATGCCGCGATACTGGTGCTCAAATTTCACTGAGATATAATATTTCCACCCACGTTATAGAGCAAAAGGGCTATTGGAACCGCGTTGGTGTTGGGTAAAAGCCCCAATCTTGGGGACCGGCACAAGAGCTGGTAAGAACTTCTTGCAATTGCTATGACCACAGTTATCTACGGCCATGATTGGGAAGTGATGATAACTACTGCGTTGTTGAGTTGATCCTTTCAGCCTTTTGGCGCTCCCCTGGGCTAGATAATAGTAAGGCAGCAGAGATAACTTGGGCACTCCAATGTAATCGGAAAAAAAGACCGAACTTAAGCCAAGGCGAGCCAGTAGTGGTCTTCTACTAAAACAAGCCAAAATGGACTGTCAGCATTGTTCGGCTAAGGGGATGAGTTAATGGGGGGAGGGAGACCCAGCTACATTAATCCAACCGAGAAAGAGTGAAAACCTATCAAAAGAATACTAGTACTCACTTTGGCTCAGGCTAAAAAATAGACAATCAACAGAGGAGGACCAGTGACAGTATCCCAGTGAAGAAAAAAACGGTGTAACACAATCCAAGATAGACGTACATTCAGAGATAACTCCAGGGTAGAGGTTGATGGCGAGGGTGTCGCTCCAAGCGGCACAGACGCGGGTGCCCGGAGGTAGTTGGCGGATCGAGGCGGGCACCACTTCGAGGACGGCTTGTTGGAGGACTTGCCACGCATGGAGTCGGACCTCGCCGAGGCGTCGACGCTTGACACTGGTGGTGAAGAAACTTGCTCCGCCGCTACCACCGACCCCACAGCTACTGCTGGTGCCAGGGGCTAGGCGTAGTGGCGGCGGAGACTCAACCTTCTCCGGCTGGTCTAGACGAATGAGGCATTGGCGATCGTGGGCGTTGTCTCTCTCACTGGAATAGGATGTTGAGGCGTCTTCTAGAAGAGGTAATAGACAATTCAGTCCTATTACAGTCATCTTTCAGTCAATCAGCCATGTCGATAGCATGGTATCGTGTTAATAGCTTATCGGCCTTTCTGTTTTTGATAATAAAACCAACTTCAGACTGGTATACTTCACAACATCTCTGGGAGGTTGAGTGGTCTATCGAAATGTGCGTTCATATTACTGACACGGTTTTTGCATCATATCGCACAACATTGAGCCCTCTGATTCCACCATAATAAAATTTTAGATTCCCCATTTGACTGATGGTAAACGAACGAAACAGCGACTAAGGTACAAAGCTCTAGGAACCGGTACCCCACCAAGTTGCAAGAATCTGAAGAATAACTCTGAATGAAGGCCGGCAAGTATTGCAATGTAGGAGAGGCATAATCAAGACTTTCAAGACAAGCCTGTGTCAGATGTCCCCTAGTCTACACCACCACCTCGACTTCCGCTCATTCGGCAGGGGATCTCATCAGAATCCAAGAGATGCGCCACTACTATTGAAATTGAAAATCCTCTTTTATAAGTAGGCAGCTCCAATGAACTTGATTAGCACAACAACGAGGAATGCATGGCTGAAATGAGCGAGAGCACCAAAATGTTACTAGTGTCATTATGTGGGCGGGTTTGAGGAACTGCACGAGCCTTGCCGCCAAAATCCCCCTGAAACACACTCAACTTATTGACACAAATGCGACGTCATCCATCTACATTTCCTTCAAAAGTGGGAAACCTTACCTCCTCACTAAATTGCGTCGATTGATGGATTTAAGAATAAATGAAACAGAACCAAAAGAGTTCCGTTAATTTAACACCTTCGCAAAAGAAAAAGCGCTAGTCCGTGGAAAATTTCCCACCTGCAGGAAACGACAAACGCGTTCGGACGACGCAGCAGGAAGCACTGCAGGCACGCCTCCTTGCAACTTTAAGCGAAAATTTACAATGTGTATTTCAAGTCCACAAATTTTTTATGACTAGAACCAAGCCCTAATTCAAATTGCTCCCTGCATACTTGCACGTGTGTGTGTGTACTTGTATCCCACATTGGCCACAATGGAGAGAGGGAGAGGGGGGAGGATAGGGAGAACGCCTTTGATGCGCACCGATACCAAGGTTGTGGAGGCGGTGAAAAACATGGGGTCGCATTTCTTAAGATGTTTTTTTTGCAATGAAAAAAAACAAGACTGCTTCTGAGGGGAGCTACGGGAAAAAACACCTTATGTTGATGTACATGACTTCTAACTTGTTGTGTAATTACGGAGCTGTCCAACACTTTCACATCCTCAATCAACGCCTAGGTACCTCCAATCTTATTACCCCTTGTAGCTAAACAAAACACAAATATTCGCATTATGCCTTCAAGAATAAATTGAGCACTACATTAGGGAAAGGCAGAGTCTGCCCTTGCAAAGATAGTAGAGTGTATAGTTGCTGTTGCTGTAAGACTTTCGCGCCGATGGTAAACGAACTACCACCGCCTGAAATAATGGCGGTGATTGTAATCATTCCTTTCACAATTAGTCAGATTTATAGCCTTTCAGATCTGTTGCAAATTAATCTTACATAATCTCCACGTCATCAAAGTAAGTGGGGTGTTACCGACACTTACCGTTAACAACACTAGGTAGACCAATTTGAGAGGTTGATGCCAAAAAAGGAGAAACGGCATCTTTAATCACACTCCTCACATCTCTAATCTCTTAGACGCTAAATAAAATGATTTTTAAACATTGAGCTTCCAACGAGAGCTATGGTAACAACTGGCGAATTAGAGCGGTGCGCACGAACAATTGATGCCTACCAAGGTAAAGCGTGCCGGCTCGTAGATGCGTGTCTTCGATGAGGAGGATGCGAAGCCCATTTGAGAGGTCGGAGAGGTCTAAGTCGATGCGACGGAGATCGGGAGTGGGAGGTCGTTGGAGGAGTTCGTCGTCCATCCCCTCCTCCTCCGCCTCGTCTAATTTAGCCTTGTCGTAGGCAATCAGCGGTGCAGCAAAGTGCTCGAGGGAGGCTTTGCGCTGTCGCCGTAATGACGACTTCGACGTCCGCTGCGGTGGTGGAGGTCGCCGCTGTGGCGGGTGATGTGAAGAAACCGACGACGTATCGATCGTGGCCAACGAGGAGGTGGAGGGTGAGAGAGAGGCAGTAGTCTTCCAATAGCAATAATAACATCACTCTCACTCTAGGCCCTTTTTCCATCCTTTTTTGTAGCTGTATTTCCACACCCGGGGTGACTCAGCAGCACATAAAAGTGGATATTTATTCGTCCGATTTCTCATCTTCATCGCGCTCCCCCTCTCAAATACACTTTCGATGAAAATGAAGCAATGTATGGATAGGATCAAAACGAGATGTGGCTTGGAAAGCTGTGGGGGAGTGGGTAACTCCTGTTTGCATTTCTGGGTACAAGTGCCCCTCCAAACTGCTTGCAGGTGGTGTAACCGAGAGCACAAGATTTGAAAGAAGGCAGAGGGTGTTTAAGTAAGTTAATCCGACATCATAAATCCTTTTTTTTCAGTTCTAACGTTAACACTTTTTCATGGTTGTGACAAGCTTAAATGCTACCTTTAAAGGGATCCCAAGAAGGCAACGCGATGGGAACAATCAATCCCATTTGACAAAAGTAATTCTCTTTTAGGGGAGAAAGTGTCACATAAAAATATTTCAAGTCTCCAGTCACATGTAGCCCTATTTTTACAGCCCCAAATTACCCAGGCGATAGTCAAACAATTTTGTATCCAGAAAGCACCAATTTTACACTCTAGCATTAAAAAGGGCAGTAGTAGGCAAAACAAAGTTGAGACGGCTTGTAAGGTTCTAAAAGTAGGCAGCTTTAATCAACATTCCTACTTGTTTAAGTGTTCACCCAATTAGTTGAGCGAGAATGAGAGCGTTTCGGGAGGATGAAAGGCAGCGTGTTAATGCCTTAAACTGCCATCTCAAATCCACTACTTCGATTCGAAGCCAAACAATTTCTCGAGGGCCACCTTCTCTCAGGCTTCCACGAATGCGGAGAAGACGTTTTTTACCATAATTGGGAAAACGGAACTCTCGTATTTACTTAATCTCTGCCGCTTTGGGGTAAATATAAGGCGGGTGAATTCAATCGCGCGTGACAAATGTCACTCTTTGAGGACAAGTGGCCAGTGGCGTCAAAATATGAAATTTTGTGAAAAAAAATAAATTACTTGATCGTTGAGAAATGTTTTGATGGCAAACTACGAATGCAATTGCCGTTCCCCTATCCACGGGAGATCAACCCGCAACCAGGTCGTACTTGTAGCAGTGATTTCAAGGACTTATGAAATCCTCAAGTGACAATTGCGTCACACCCCAACATTGACGCGTGCCCTTGCACTCCACGCAGGCTGTTTCGTAAATCTTGCCAATGTTTCATGATAAATTAGTTTCTTTTTTTCACATTTACCATTTTCGATCTCAATTACGCGTATGCCTGCAAAATGTGCCCTGGCTTATAGGCGAGCGACCTACGCAGCTACGAATGAGCGTCGCATTGGCAACCACTTTTCGCCTTTTTGCTAACACCTTATTCTCAGTTCCTGCATACGATTACTGTGTGATGCTTCTAGGCTAATTTCCATGTATTTCTTTGCCAAGTGTACCCTTTTTCGCTGAAGCTGTACAATCACGCATTTTCCTATCGGAACTTTCCATCAAAGTCTTACCGGTCGGTTGCTTTGAGCCTTCCGGTTCAGGGTTTCAAATATTTTTGTGGGACTGCCTCATGGTAAGCTAAGCATTATTCAATGCAGTTAGCAAATTTGTTGCGAGATGACGGATAGATCAATTCAGTAATGGCTGTGTAGGTATTTTCAGTCCTCCATGATTCAACTACCGCAGCGAGGGCTCCCATCTCTTCCATACGTTTATAATAAAGCCTCATACCGCTTTGACGATAGTCATACGCCAATCGTGGGTCGTCAAGTTTTAGGTTGGGATGGTGTTTTCTTATCTGCGCGTATTTGAGAGTCACATCGAAATTACTCACACAGCCGAAACCCGAAACTGCTGGTAGAGACGAGAATGGAGGACGAGTCTGAGTCAAACTCACCTTAGCGGAGTGATGGGCAGAGGAGCCGCTTTGGTGTGGGTCGGCAGTGTCCTTCATCTGGATTGTCAGCTGCTCGCGAAGGCGCAGGGGTGAGGTGGAGACGTCAAAGGCGACCTCGCAGGAGTCTACCGACTCTGAGGCACATCGGACCTTACCTTTCACACGTACCGATTCAAGGCGAGCGTCAGAAAAGAAAACACTCGCTATTAGAACCCATATATTGATGTTGGCATGAGCTATCCTCGCAATGTAATGGGAGTGAATTCCACCATGATTCTTCGAATGTGGTTAGGCCATTTGGATTGTCAAATAGTCTCCCCTACTTCCTCCACAGCTGGAAGAACGTAGGATGAGGAAATTCTTTATTAGCGAATTTCTTTTTTAATGAAGTGGATCGTGGTAGTGTAGTGTAGGACGGTTTTCAAGTAAAACATTTGTGACAACTTCACGATATTAAAGGTGGTAATAAATACGGGGAATAAACTTGCCAAAATTTATGATACTCCTAAAGTCGCGATGTACTGACAAAGTTACAGTCAAATTACCCTACCAAGCAACTCATGTCTGGTTTTTCATAAACAGGTTGTTTTGAAGAGGAGCTACAGTATCTATTCCAGCATACCTATCTACGTTATAAATCAACTTCTCGCTACGACAGTACTAAAGGTGCAACAACCGGAACTACTGAAAAGCCGACGGGCCAGTTTACTCCATCATCCGCCTACAATGAGAGCCACGTGACGCGACAACGTGGGGGCAGTTTCCTTCACGTGACGTGCTGTAAGGTCGCTGGAGGACAAAACTAGATGGGGAGCGAAAGGAGTCGGGATGTATTTTGGCCTATGATGAGGAAAGCAAAATGGGTAGCAGGTAGCTTACGGGAGACCTCAGAGCGCCTGCGTTTGGGCGGCCATACACCAGTAGCGGAGGTGGCGGCGCGCAGAGGAGTCTTCACCTTGCGTCGATTGATGGAGGGAGCGGTCAGCGGGGTGGCGAGACGCTTGGGGAAACTGAAAGAGCGATTTCGCATGGTGATGGAGCCCGATGCCTGCAGCGGAGGCGGAGGAGGCGGCGTGGCCGTCCATGCTCGTGGTCCAAGGTCTGAGAGCTAGAACAGAGAAATAAACACCCACTCATGACATTCCTAATTTTGATTTTGTTTCAGTTTACAACGTCATTCACAATTTGATGTTATAAAAGGCACATCTTGTAAGTGGTTTAGTCCCCAGAGCCTTAAAAATGAGGGGACATCGAAACGAGGTCCGCAATTGACATTCCTCCAATCGCACGTTGCACAACTAAAAAATGACGGTTCGGATACGTCGGCTGTGAATTAGTCTATGATATTTGCATGAAGACATTAAAATCATGTGAATAAGTGATACTGCACTCTGAAAGGAATCCAAATAGAGCGGAAAGGGGGGCGGAAAGGCTTTAGACAGGTCCTTCTGCGAAGAGAGCGCCGACCCGCCTTAGGCATTACAAAGGCAGTGGGTCCTCGCAATAGACCAGGCCAGATCCCTCGAAATCGACGAGATCCATCGCGGATGCTTAAATTAAACGTCTTCTCACCTTGAGAAAGAATCAACACATGACTTTCGTTTCTGGTTTACGGGTGGATTGCGAAGCAGCAATGAAGTAGAGCCACTCAAAAGAACGGTGATTAGTTTCGTATCTAACTAGACAAGCTCGAGTATTCAAAGGCTTCAACCGCTATTCTGGTGGCATGACGATCCATCCATAATTGGAGCGTTATGCCGCAATTTAGTGCGCTACACAACCGCTATCCGAGTGGGCGGACCCAGCCTATACTTAGGTTCATGGAAAATACCCCTCCTTACGGCAATACAGAGTTTCGTTTTAACTAAAGCATTGTTGTTTAAAATAGGTGAAAAAACGGGCAGGAGGACAATAGCCAACGTTGTGAAACTGCATGTGCGTAGCACATCCAACCATTCGATGAAAAAAGGGTAGGGCATAAAAAACCGGACGTCCCTGTAAAGTTAATTTTATGTACTGAACTATTAACTGAGCTTGACAAGGAGGAAAACACACTGCGGAGGGTTAAACACCCTTGGAGGTCATTGTTTAGCGCTCGTTTTCGCCACGCAAACTAAATCGGATAACAAAGCAAATGTGGAATGGAAACTGCTAGAAGAGGCGTAAATTGCACAACTAAACGTGGAGGAGAAAAAAGGGAATAAATTTACTAGAAAAGAACTTCTTTGATGCTATTCAGATGAATTGTAAATTGAATGATTACCGAAACTATTTCCACCTTTTTAAGGTAGAATTCCCAAACGAAAAAGGGGAGGGGGAAATTGCAACACAAGCACGTTGATGTTTGAATCCAATTTACCGCGGCTTGACGATTTCAATTTCAATTTCAATTTCCAATTTCCAAAAGCTAAATTCACGTTTTAATTGGTATCCACTCCAGAAACAAAGGTTGTCAAGTCTGAAAGTCTATTGGGTAAATGAAGAAATGGTTCCCTTTAATCGGGTCCGTTAATGAGCTGAATAATGACCACCTTGAGTGCCACACAGCCTACATTCGTAATTCCTGAGGGGGTTTCGCACTTTTTCCCAGGTGGAGTAGGACGCGTTAGAGCCTTGTGCTGTCAAGAGTAAAAGCAGACACCACGAAACCTATCACAGTTGCGAAAACAAGAGGCGTATCCTATGGAGTGAACTTAGAGGAAGGTATACCATAGTCTCAGAAGAAGCGAACTCCGGAATTCCAACCAAGATTTACAATGTATCCTCCGAATGATGAAGTAGGAGGCATTCCTCCCCCCCCCCCCCCCCACCTTCCTCCCTATGACGCAAATTCATCAAACCGTCTCTTCACTCCTGTCACGATGTTGATTAAAATTAATAGGAGCAGACGAGTGGGCGCAGAGAACATTTGGAAAGAGCCCCAAGAATAAAGATGTGCGTTACCTGTGCACCCGTTCTAGTGATGATGCGGACCCTTCGAGCTACGAAATCCAATTATCGTCTAGGTGCCATATCATTCTGCCAATGACTACAGTTTCTCAGACCTCCAGTACTCTAATCTCGGTATGCCTTATCAAGAACGACTCTGGGGGCTGAAGCAGTTGCATCAATGAGAGGGGGGGTGCAGCCAACCCACAGGGCAAACTTTCGCTGTTTCCGCCAGAGTTCCAGTGTCCACACTGAGTGGTGACATTTGCAGCACCTGAGAGGGGGAACTGGGCTCCGTGCCCTTCTGGTCGATGACCATACTGAGGAGGGAAAGAGGGCAGGTGTTTGGATCAGTGTAGGTATTGGGAAACGGTGGTTGTTGAGGTTTTGGTGACATTTGAGGCGGTGATTTGACAGTCTGCGGAGCCACCGACTGCCTGCTGGCCGCCCTTCGTCGCTGCATCAGATTGATTTGTTTCAACTAAAAGGCAGCATAAGAGTATTGCGTGACCAGAGGCTCTCCTGTCTCTCTATGCGGGTGCGAAAGGATACAATGAACTTACGTGCCCGTTATTTTAGGAGAAGACGGGGTGAACGAATGAAAAGGACGCGAAAAATTTGCATGAAATAGGGACACGGAGTCCAAACCATGCAGTTATACAAGTGATTAGCATAGCAGCAGAAAGATACTGAGGGCGCTCCAAGTGACGAGGCTGATTCATGGCTTTCAATCGAGGCGTAAACGGTGACACAAATTGTTCCTACTCGCATATGCGCACACCAAAACTGCTCACGCCCGGTTTCGTGAGTGGTAACGTTAACCAATGGAAACGACAACACTAAACAAGGCGTGTTGCCAGCATCTATTATGTCGCTTCATCATCCCTTTTCCTGAAGCAAACAACTATTTCAAGGACAAAAAGGAGCTACACTGGGCCACGTGACTCAGTGCTGGTCCTGCATTGAGACAGCCTGTCAAGGTGGCTTGATAAGTCAGTAGATCAACTGCAGTCGGTGTTGCCTGCGCAAGTCCATGAAATTGACTTTAGCTTGAATGCGCTTCGCAAGCGTGTGGACAAAGTAGAAAAGCGCTATTGACCAGTTCCATCACCCGTAGTACTAAAAGCGCGCTAGCAGTTCCACAGGTGCAAAGTTTAACATAGAGAGGCAGGCATGAGATCACTTACCTGATTTACTCGAAGATCAGACCACGCAAAACTGCGCACATTACATAAACACAGAAAAACACACGACCTTGGGGTGATTCAGAGCCTTAACCACCGCCCTCATCCCATTTCCGCCTCCGCCGATTCAAGCGGTGGCGCGTCATTCGGACTGGACAGTGGTCCCTAAGTCAAGGGTCTTTAACCACCTCACCATGTTTGCTTTACCCATCATACCACCACCCTCATTCTCCCACTATGACATTTTTCCCCGTCAGGAAAAGCGCATTGGCACTAGAAATCAATCTTCCTGTCAATTCTGTTCAAAACAAATCGGCGATCGTCTTTCACAGGCAATTAAAGGGAGAAATAGGGCTTCACATTCCTCCATTAAGTAAAGTTGTGTGGAGAGGAACCGACTTGAGGAAAGGTAGAAGGCGTCTTTTTTGTAGTGAAAGGCAATTCCGACGTCAAGAATGCAACAAAACACTTCATCTGCTTTGGAATTTTCTTGCCTATGAGACAAGAGAGGGCATACGTGCAGCTTTTAAAGGTGGAATCGGTTCGCCGGAACGAGGACAGCGACGTCAAGTTGGCTGGTCGGGTCGGTATGTTAGTCCACGACACTCCGCCTTGCCTATTCCGAATTTGGAAGAAAGTGGCAGCTCCGCTTAAACACAGTTTCGACAGTTTCGTTAATCAATCAGCATCCATCATATCACTTGGTTTATGATTAATTTTCATGGTGTTGCCACATCACCCCAAAATCACGGCGGCACAAGTCAGACGCGTGCACAATGACGCATCCTGCGTGTGTGTGTGCGTACCTGAATACATCAATTCACACCTATTAGAGGAAAATTACACATGAATACCAACACAAACCTTTCATCAAATGTGACTCAAAACATTCAACAAAATAAAAATGATTGTTTTCATGTGCCAAAATCCAGTAAAGGGCGCATCGAAACCAATTTTCGGTGGGAAGGAAAGGATACCATCTGCGACGCTCTATCACCTGTGTTGTCAAGGTGGTGGATGGAAAATGAGCAACTTTCCAGTTTACTGAAGACTTTCCCCACGCCAGACAATAGTGAAATAAACACACCTAGACGTCCACGAGGTGGGACATTGGACTATACTGAACGACTCAAGCAAAACAATGAGATTGTCTTCAACTAACCCAGTATAGAGTGATCAGTCAATGCATCTCCTTAGGATGAAAAAAGCATAACACTGGGAGGAAATATGTATTGTTGATCTACACAGAAGGGCTTCGGACTACTGGCATGGTCTGGAGGCAAGGCCGCCCGGCGGAGGTGCAACAGCGGAGCCCCAAGCGGCCCGTTACCAAAACCAAGCGTTAAGCACGCAAAGCACCACACTATAATCAATCCCTTTTACCACATTGAAATAAACGCCTAAACTGTCTGATTATTAGCAACAAGGCAACCTTCAAACCAACTTTCTTCTCAAGAGCTACGTGTCTAAGCTTCCACAATCAGCGCACACTAAGTAGCCACGGTAAGATTTTAAGTATAGCCTAGATGGAAGCCAGTGGCGCGTCCGTCTTGAATGACTAGCACCGGCTAGGCACGGACACGCGTAGGCCAGACCCGTGCATCCAAATCAGCCATAACATATAATAAGGTCGGAGGTACATGCGGATCTAATGTCAAACGCCCGAGAATAATGGTAATGCTACCCCCAAACTGAAAAAAAAAACAGGAGAAACGAGGGCCTAATATGTTCGTAATATTAACGAGGATGAACGTCCACATATCCCGAGTGAAAACCGAAGGCTTACCTTTCGCTTGCATCGTGTGAGATCTTTGTCTATCATGGCCAACTGATCAGCAAGCTCCTTGCCTCTGGCTGTGGGGTAGCGAAGAGAGGCTAGAGCCTGCCACTCAGGAAGGCAAAGGAGGTGACGAAGGACAAGTGAGAATGACGGTTCTCTCAATGGCAAGCTCCGATAAAAATCGGACAAAGCAAAAGGTATGGTCGGGGAGTCCGCCACGCCCACCTCAGTAGCTTGCTTCTTCGCGGTAGCCATCACCTCCCTCAACCTCCTCGCCAGCACCGCCGCCGATGCTGCAGCAGCCGCTTCCGTCGCGTCCTCTTCGGAAAGGATGTTCTGTGGGGCGGTGTAGAGGTCCAAAGGGTTGGCAAAGAGATTAATGGCAGCATCAAGGAACTTCTCCACCCTCTCCAACAAACGCTTCGAGCACGAGATACCGTCGGCGATGTGGTGAAAGTAATGGATATCGGAAGAATCGGTATGAGACTGCATTGAGAGGTCTAGAGGGGTACTGGTGCCTGACAAAGAGGATGTACCAAAGAACATTGCAAGTAGGCTACAGAACTTTGAGCAGCTCACTGCGAGGGATGTTTGTGTCAAACCGAAGCTTTATTCGTATAGGTTCGTAATAAAGAGCGATACTTTCGTGTTGGTGCTAAACACAGTAGTGTATGGGAAGTTCACCCCATTAATACCTCAAATATCCGGTGCGCATGAAGTGGAGCAGTCTAGCCAAGATGAGAGTCAACATTCCCAATGTGTGCATGGAACAGCGTGTGATAATAGACGAAGTATCTTGACATCCAAGGTGTGTAACCCAACTCCGCGGGCGCCCACCCGTATCGACAAAAAACTTCAAGAAGACAGGATGCCACAGCCCAGCCCACCACACCAAAGAACAGTATGGCGTGGTGATGAGACGATGAGCTATTCATCAGTACCACGTCTGATTGGTTTCCAGTCCACAGCACAGCAATCCTTCGTGTGAACTTCAAGCCAGTGCGTAGAACGCTTGATCGACACAGTCCGTTGCACAAGAGGCAAATCTTTATGTGGCAATGGCGGGTTAGTTCAGAGTGGACCCCAGGGCAGCCAGGCTGTCTTGAAATGACTCAGATGTACTGAAAAATTTTCCAATGCATAAGCTTTTTTTAGATAATAATTAAATGTTGGCATAAGTGCAGATACGAATGTAGGAGGAAAGCAGGAGACAGGTAAAAGGCAAAACTTTTACTCCCTGAAATGTTTCCCCTTCTTTTGTAGGCTATAATGTCCCACAATACAGGGAAAGGAAATGCAGTCGGCAAATCTGCAATTATCTTCTTTGACGGTATATTTTTTCGTTGATAACCGAATCCACCGCATTGCATAACAACGAGCCCAAGCAACTTCTTCCCCAACAGTTCTACATACTGGCCGACCGAAACTAGATAACTGCCAATTGGTGAAAATGTGGAATTCGCTTTCAATTCCCAGAATGTCATAAAGCATATAAAGTGGGGGCATGTCTGATTTACTACCTCATTCATTAACTGATTGAATTAGGCGCCAAACTACCTTGTTTCCATTTCGTCCACCGAAATGCAGTATCAAATACACCTCAACAGTAAGCATCAGCAAGCGAAGTGGGAAAAAAAGGAGTTGCAGTTGCTTTTAGAAAAAAAAAGTATTCCATTTAATCATGCGCAGAGAACACTGGGAACCACATCCTGTCATTTCTAGGGCGATAAGTTATTAGAGGGCGCTCTAAACCACCAATTGACCTTCCGCTAACTTCCACCGCTGGAATGCGAGGCCTCACCAACTACTTTGGTTTATTTCGTTCAAAAACTTATGCACCGCCCGTGATGGGGCAGCAATTATCTGTCCCTCTCTAAGTTTTTGTTTCGGAAACTTTCTTTGGGGGCTTTAGGCGCTGATACCACTTTAGCGTCACCAATGACGATCATAACCTTTTTTTCTTGCAGAGGCCTTATTTCAGGAAACAATTTTTATTACTTATAAACGATCTAAGGCACTGGCATAAACGGATTCAAAAAACACACAGAGATCTACCGTCTCATCGAGCATCTCGATACAATGGCAAAAAAAGAAGGATGTAGCGCAAGTTTATGCCAATGAAATATTCGCCTTCGCCATCTCATAAAAAACCCAAAGCAGCACATCTTTTCACGCCTGAATAAATATCTACATCTACTTTTTACTACACCCCCCCATCTACTTTGTGTGGATTTTTCCGTGCAGAAATTAACAAAAAAATCACTTCACACTTTATCTCGGGTATTTTTCTGTGCCTTAAATCTACCTTTAGGAAGCACCAGAGAGCATAAAATGGCATATTAATTAAGAGAAATTTGACATTTGGATTTGGCACTTTAAACACTTTAAATTATGCAAAAAAAAACCTGGAATTGCGTGCGCTTACACAACTCAAGGGGGATAATAGAGCTGATTCTTCTGTACCACACAGCCACTCCAGTTCCTGAAGAGTGTGTATCCCTTCTCAACATCGCTTCGCAGTTCTGCTGTACGCTGGGAGCTCTACATTCTTCCACTGTACTTTGATTCGCTGCCACTTCAGGGGAGACTCAGAGGGCTACACTTACAACCCTTTACAGCCTTACCACAAATTGGAATATATCGGTAACTATGACACACAATCGTTATTATTTTCTTGCTCAACTTTTGAAAGCAGGCTAATGATAGCTTAAATTGAAGATAACCATCGAATTAAGATGAAAATAGCACCACTTTCTGGTAAAAATAATAGCAAAAGGAGAGTACTTGCTGTGGTTCATGTAATTCGCGCTTTGATTATAGAAAGTAAGAAAAAAACAGGAGGTAAATACCTGGAACTCCTATATCACAGCCACTTTGTGGTTCGGTGAACGCCAGATCCACCTCGCTCCGTCCCACAGGCGTTTGTTCACCCGCGTTCCTGGCTGAAGCATTATTCACCGATGATAGTAGTGGTGGCGATGATGGTAGTGGGGATGATGCCTGCGGTGGCACGGAATTGAAAGACGAGCAGTCCTCGAAACGGCGACTGCTGAGGTGGTAGCAACGCCGATTGTGGGCTGTGAGATCGACTAGACCATCGCACGATGATGAATGCGGCGATGACGGTGGTGGTGAGACCGTCACAACTGGTCCATCGACACTGTCACCGTGGTCATTTACAGTTAGGCTGCTCACCAATCCAAAAGAAAAGTAGATTATACAGGAGGAAAATTAAATGAAGCGTCTTTAGAGAAAAAAAAGTAATAGAAGAGGGAAGACGCATACAAAGAGCGTCCAAGTCAGACTGGAACTTCTAATTCTACAGGTTCGTGTAATGAATCATACTATTGTGGTGGCTCTAAACGCAGTAGTGAATGTCAAGTCTACCCTATCACTACCCCCAGCCACCGTTAATCAAGATGACAGCCAATGTTCTCAGCGTGTGCACGGAGCAGCGCGTAATGAACGAAGTCTGCTGACAACAAAGGCGTATAGCCCGAATCCACAGCTACCTGCTCATATCTACAGGGAGTTTTGAGGGCAGGACAGGACAGGAACCCACGCCACATCACAGTAAAGTAAAATAGAGTAGAGAACAATACAATGCTGTACAGCATGGTGATGGAACGATCAGACACACTCAGCATTGGCACATCTGAATAATGGACACAACTGTACATCTGTAGATCAGCGACGATATCAGCCACGACGGCTTCCAGCTCGCAACACAGCAGCCCTTCATGTGAACATTCAGCCAGCGTGTGAAACGCCTAATCGACGCACAACCGGCTGCAGCTAGACTGCACAGTGGACAACTCTTTCTGTGGCAATGGAAGCGCAACCATATACCTACATTTACAGCCTCCACCAAGATTGCTACCCAGGTGCGCGAGTGAAATGATGCCAAGTGTTTTTTTGGACACACACGACGTTATTCATGTGAGACACCTACTTCGTAGTGTCATCATCAACAATAAACATCAATCTTGTATTCGTCCTGATGATCATACACGTCAATAAGGGTGGTCTGGTGGTTCAGAACAACATAAAAGTTTTTCCTTGCTGCATGCACATCAAAGCACCTCGGCAGAGAGGTATTGCCACAGACCTCTTAAAACTCACATCTCGATCCGGTCCTAGTAATTTCTACCAGTTTTCATCTGTAAAAGAACACCTCGGATGTCGGGATCTCAGTACTGATGGTAAAGTGAAGTAGGCTGCCCTAGGATAGGCTCAGCCATACTGACAAGTGGTTACATGAGGGGAGGCACTTTCCGAGCATCAGAGGAATTCTGGGATGAGCATGTAAAAGTGGCAGCGATACTTCCATCTCTTGAAATATATTTCTGATCTTCTACACTTCCGTGAATTTAGGAGTCCTAGATTAGCTTGAATTGGCCCTCCCCCCAAGCGGTCGCCCACCTATGTGCATGTTAGAAGACACCCTGGTCTTAGGCCAAAAAAAAAAAACAAACACAACTAACGTAACAAAAAAGAATAACTTTTTCCTATTTTACTTGCCTATTGCAAAATGCTAATTTGGCTTGCGGCAGTCGTGTGGATAGGAAGGGACTTTTACTATGTGTAGTTTGGCAGGGGTCTAAATAAAACACTGTGTTCACTCAAGTAGGGGACAATTTTTCGTTACTATGATGATTTTAGCCGTACGTGAACTAGATGGCTGGTGATTCCAACGAAAAATAAAACAGGCTGCACAAAAACTCGCTGCGTAAATCGCCAAGCTGAAACCCTAGGAGCCCACAGCACTGGGGAATAATTAACATCACTTTAAAGTGTTTAGGGCACAAATAAGACCGTTTTAGCGACCAAATCTCAAATAGGTGAAAAGACCAACACATAAAGGTGCTCTCAAAGCCACTCAACTACAGTTTACGAGTAGAGAATTAAATGCCTGTTCCAAAGACAGTGAATATGAATGCGATTCCACGGCCGCATTGCCCGCTTGAGGGAGAGTAGATGAAAAACCCCAGTCCGCCTGGCGAGGGTGCTCTGTGCAGGGGAGATTAGGTGTGCCTTAAATTGCCGATGAAGTTTCCATATGGACAAGCCGTGCGATGTTTGGCCAATCTTTGCCTTTCCTTCTGTCCCTCTATTTGTGTTGACTTGTTTCGGTCACAGCCACATACAGATGTTTGAGGCGTTAATTTTGGTGCAGGCGATTACAAATGAGCTTTATGGTAGAGAGAATAAACGTACAGCTTGACGCCTTGCGCCATTTACGGGCCGAATTTGAGGGAGCACCGGTACCTGAACAGCTGACGCGAGTTGCAGTTGTGGATACGCTTCCAGATTCACACTGTAGATAGTACGGAAAACCAACACCCTGGACCTACGCAAACTGGCGTTAATCACTCACGTGTGGATGATAAATAGCCAACTTCGATGACAGAGAACGAATTGTGTGGGGAAAGTGAGGAGGGGCTAAGCTGGTTGCCCCTAAACGACTGGCGACATCAAAAGGCAACCGAGAGCAAGCATTGACAAAAAATTCTCCAAAAAGGGGAATTGAGATTCTGCCTTTGCTCAGGGAGGCATTTAAACACACACAAGATGGTTGGGTAGGTTAAGTTGATCAAAATGGTGAAACGGAAGTGCTACCGATCGACGAAGAGTTTGGAAGTCATCAACGATAAAATAGTGTTTCTAGACAAGTAATCATCTGCTTGGCATTTAACCCATACATTCGGGTGCCACCACAGACACCAACTAGTAAGACTGAATTCATCCTGCCTAGCGAATGCTACTGCGTCACTCATTCAACACGCATAAAGTGAGACTTTTAGGGCCATTGTTCGCATCTACGTGGAAAAAAAATTCACCTTAGGGGACAACTTTGGACACGTGAAATGACAAAATGCAGAGGGTAAAAGGCATTCAACCCTCCCCCTAATTCGCGAGCTTCAGTGGGCGCCCCTGGTGGGTCTGTGGTTGAATGCGAGGCCTACGGCTAACTAGCTAGCTTCGTCCCATTAAGATGCCCTTATCTCCAAAATTAGCTGTAAAGTAACTGACAGACGCTAGTCACACAGAGGAACAGAGTAACGAATATTAATAGCGTTCAAACAGATCATTGAGGGCGAGGACACAATCGGCCACACCACAAAAAAGTAAACAATCGTTTTTAAAAACTAGATCGTTTATGTTAAAAAAAACAAGTGGTCGCACTGGAAAAAAAGATACCAACTTACGGAAGACCCTGTGTCTGCATACCAGGCGGTGAGAAATTCAGTCCAGAAGGAATGTCTAAAAGCGAACAATAACAACAGCGAGAGATTAGTAGTAGGAACGCACACTTTGTGTTGCACTTGTTTAATCGACGTATCCAAAAACAAACCCAGAAGACAATTTGGACAAGGAATGTCCTTTCATGGAAGTGATTAAAGCGATGGTGGAGCGATTTAAACGAGTTTAGGCAAGATTCCAACCTAAACTCAAAATCTACCATCGTCATACTCGTCTCCAATGTTGTAAATCTTGGCTGCCTGTAAAGGTATTCGATGCACAAAGCAAGAGTTAGCCGCTGTGACAGCAGATGACCGACCACCTCGGAGTTGTTTGATTCGACTGGGACATGTGCAACTTTTTGATATTTGAAAAAGAGAATAAACCGGAGTTGGAAGTGGTGATGGCAACGCAGACCTGAGTCCTCACAAAGGAGAGCACTTAAAGTCTAGCGACAATAGTTAATAGGAAATGCGAATTCTTTTCTTTTTCAGGCTATGATATTTGCCTGAGAAAAGAAAAACGATTGTACCCCTCATAAGGCATTGAGGTCATGTAAAACTAAGGTCACGCTGATGTTTTAATTTGCACATACTAACTCAGTCAACAAAAGTTTAACATCCGTGGACGGATTGTTGAGGAGATAAGTAAGGGTACTAATTTTGTCAATAAAGGTAGCCAAGTGCCGCCTTTAAGGCTGGTTTTATACTGAGCTGTCGCCGCCAATCAACTGGGGCTATATTAGCGGTTGCATGCACGCCTCCTCTACCCTGCCTTGGACTTGTGAGAAGTCAGTTATGCTAACGCCTTACCTTACGAAGGTTTATTACAACAAGAGGAAAAACACATTAAGAGCTTGGGAAATAGAAGATTTGAAAGGCTAAAAAAGAGGACTTAATCACTCCGATGAAAAATACTATTTTTAACGTGCACAAGTGCGCTCGTGACAGTCCCACCCTCCCTCTTGTAACAAACTCTGCGCAGTCATTTGGGGGTGGTGGAGCATTGACAGCGATGCATTCACCATAAAAGGTGGTTTTTAAGATATTGTTCTTGCATCGCCTTCGGTTGCTAATTTTACGGTAGCGACTAACCATTCCTAATGTGGGTGGGATAAATAGGACACCAGATAACCTAAAATACCATCCTCTTAAAAGGTATTAGGGAAAGTCAAATCATTGCATACTTGTTCACTCTTTTGGAAGCTTGTGTTGTCCCATCCAAATAATCCACTATTCGTAGCAAACGGTGTGTCTATTTATGGGGAATGTGCACATACGAGATTGTCGGGTCCATGTAGGCGGTTCGTCTCACTCAAGTCCACAACTTTTGCGTCACTTAGAGGTCTCAGCTAGTCATGATCCCGCATATTTAGCAGCTAGAAGTGCCTTTTTTTAAACAGAAGGTCGGGAGCGGGGTCATGGCCACTAAATAACGCACGTGTGAAGCTGGCTTGAATAATATCTTGAAAATGTGGTTATTCAAAATTGACATGTAGGCATAAAGCTTCGTGCTTTTAAAATGTCACTTCAGGGGTACATCTACCTAACCAACGAAACAAATGAATAGTTAGAAGCGTTGGCTCCTGACAACGTAGCCTACAGGCTGGATCTACCCCGCGTGGTGTCTCGAAATCGCACTCAATAAGAAAAGTCTAACCTGGTTTGTACAGTGCGCACCCAAGTGCAAAGAGGCTACGAGTCAGCTTAACAGAAACTTGAGGTGCATACCTTACCGTTTGATTCACATTCCCTACAGTCATAATCGGCAATAATGAAGCGAGACGCGTGCGACCATTCAAAACTCAGGTATCTGGAGGAAAAAAGGCATGAAACGACTTCGAAAAGACACGCATTCGAGCAGAAAGGTCATCAATCTTGCCAGTGACTCGTAGTCCTATTCGTACGACCCGGGTAAGCTGCACAAGAATGAGACACCTCTGGATCAACCAGCTTTGCCTACCACAACATTACGCACATGGAACGCCAACCTGGGTTCAAAGCACTCAGCTTCTCGCCTCCCTTTGAAAGCTGGATACATAAAGCCTCACTATTACTAAGAAAATCAGAGCTTCAAGGGGACCCTTAACAAAATTTTGCCAAGTTTTGACCCTGTGAAAAAGAGAAGCAAAAACAAACGCCATTAATTCCATTAAACGCAGTCGACCAGTGGATTTCATGGACTGGCTTAGAGGGGGTGCACGATAGATCATTCCACTCTTAAGGGGAGGGGAAAGGAGTCCACATCAAAAGGCACAAAAAAATAAGCAAGAGTTGTGTGCGTGTGTGTGCTGGCTTGATCAAAAGACAATGTCGTCAAATCGGCGTGTTAGAGTCTTGTTTACTCTCAAGTCAAACAGGAAGACAGCGCCACTCCTGCGCACCAACGATGCCACATTGAGAGCACCTCAGTATTGGGTGGCGGTTAAAATTTAATTCCAACGAATTGTTTCATGCACACAGAGCAAAAAAAAAAACGAATAAAATGAGAATCACACTTCTAAAATTAAAAACTAGGCAACTGTCACCGGCATCTTCAGCGGCGGTGACGCATTCTCGCTGAGCATAAAATTCCCAATGAAACCATGCAACATCGAGCCAATAGGCTCTTCAAGAAGGGAATAAAGGCAGTCCCTTCGTGTCGCCTTCCCTGATTTACTTCTGTGGAGGTGACTAAGAATGCTCTTGATGATGTTGATGATGGTGCTCCAAGTATACGGAGAATTGCATACAGTAGCGCGATCCGGAGACCTGCTTTCCTACTAATGAATTGTGGCATCAGGCCAGGTCGAAGAGTAGAGTCAACCCTGTGAAATGATGCATCAAGTAAGGTTCCATCGACAAAGCCAAAAAGCGCTGAATCGGTGCGTGAAAGACAATGGCGGCACATACTGATGATAACGTTTTACGAGGTACTCCCCAGCGATGTGAGCGCATTCCTTACCATAGAATGCAGTCATCAATGGACGACTACTACAAGAACAAGATCTTAACAGGGAATAGGCACTTTGGATGCTTATAATGCTATCCTACTTCCTGAAATCAGCTTAACAATGCAACTATTCCATATGACGACTTGGCTTATCTCTTCCGGAGCACTAAGACTAAAACAGGAGATGCGAAATAGCCAAAAATCAGACGAATTCCCCTTTTTTTATCAAGTCGTCTGCATTAAGAAACGATGTGAAGAAAGTTATTACCGAGATTTTGGATAACGAGTACTTCGATGGTGGCATGATTAATGAATATGCGACGGGAAATCCAGTTTGCTTATTTAACCCCAAAATTGGCAAAAACAACAAACCTGGTTTATAAAAAATGACAAGTAAACAATAGTGGGAAATACTGTAGGTGCGGCGTGGGGACAGGTCTCAACTAGGACCACTAGATTAGCATCACTGAAAATCTCCAACCAGATGTGAGCTACTTGTTTCTGTGACATTAAGAGTCGGAAAAATAGGGACATATCTTTGTCTGGCGTCTCATGCCATTAATTCATTGCTTGGAATTAGGGCCTTTATACCACTAGAACCAATAGGAGGGAGCTGTCTAGGTAACGTGGAGGGCATTTCTACAAGTGATTGCATTGCGTGATTGTTGCGCTGTTTATGTGGCGTCTCGAGTTTCCAGAACTTAAAAAAGGCACCACTCGTCTTTAGGGCCTTAATCCCTCTTACACGACGTGGAACCACTCGGATTAGATGTGAACCAGCAATTAGTACGAAAATCTACCGAAAAAAAAGGACAGGAATGAGCACGGCGCCTCAAGACCAGAAAGGAGATGAAGTACACATTAACAACTACATCGCGCACTGATTTTGTCGCAAAAAGGGAGGGAGATGCGACAAGTCGAGGGTTTGAAAGAGGACACTCGTGCCGGCGGTCCATCAAAACGACAAAACCGACCACGAGTATTAAACACGGCTGTGATACTTTTTTGCATAGAGTGAGCCAGGTTAGTTAACTAATAAGCCTTTATTAACATGTTATTGAGGTAAAATGAACTACATATTTTAGGCACAGTCTTTGTTGTGTAAATGAAACGATGAAAGTTAAATCGGATCCCGATTAAGTTACACCAAACGGCAATGTTGTTGTGGGATTAAAGAAACCCTCGGTTAGAAATCCTGCCTTTCATCTGATAGGAGGATAGCCCAGTACCCGGACCGACGACCAGTCGAGCCATCAGCACAATGACAGTTTTTTAGACCTCCCAGTAGATGTACGGTAAAGTGACAAAACACGAGTGTAATGGGACACCCTAGGATGGATTGTGGACTAAAACAGCAGTTAAGCGCTGCATTTACATGGTTGCAAATACCTTAGAGGCAACCTAGGGCAGATGGTGGCTTCCCGATAAGCCCAATCACACAACCATGCAAAGTATAAGCGTTATGTAAACCCTAGAAATATTGTAGGAGAGATGCATAAAGGTGTACACGTCACGAATGAGAAGAGGTACTAATAACAAGCACGAATGCCTCATGGAGGAAAACAGATAAGTTCATTCAGATTTCTATCATAATAAAATGACTATACAAAACTTCTTAAAATGGTTTATGCATTAAAAATATCACCACTTTAATAAATAACCTAATCCTAGCCACCGAGCTACAAGCTCACCTCGAATATCACCTCCGTTACCACCTCAGATTGGGTTCCCAATTATCCAGCTCGCGTGTAGATAGCTGGATTGGTTAGCGCCAAGAAAAGGTGGTAATCATTTAGGTGGATGCCAACATGGGGGATTGTTCCTAGTCAGTGTCGCCCCCAACTCCTAGTCCTAAAGACTAAATCCTTTTGAGGTGAGATAAGAGATCTTGCGTTGTCTTGGCATAATAACACATTCTTTCAAATGGTTGATTGATCCCGAGGCTGTTTACGAATCAGAAGCTCTTTTCCTTCACACCCAGTTGTGTCACTTTAAGTGGTTAACCCTCAGCTGTAAGCATTTGGCATACAGTAAAATTTACAGTGAGCAACTTCATCTGCAGTTCAGCATTGTGCGGATGAATCGTTGCCTGTAAAGGCTAGAGTAATGAGTGGACGTTTTGGAAATAACAACTAATGTGTTCGTTGACTGTTTCTCGGTCGGCAAATAATCCACAAGTGAAGCGTCTCTATAAGGTGGGGAACAATCAATTGGGGCCTTGAAGCATGCACGTGATTACACTTCCACGACCCTCCCAGTTGATGTAGGTATGAACGAATAGTTCCATCATCACCCACGTTAAACATTATCGAGAGTTACACAATTTGCGTGCCAACATCCATGTGGGTTGACTTGTCTACAGTGACACAACTTCCCAATGCCAAGAGAGGAGGTTCTTTCCAAGCGTAATGCATCTACCTTTGTGTTTCATCACCAGATTTACATTTTTAAAACCCGTCTGGGCGGCACCTTCAGGGGCTATAACAACCAACTTTAAGGGAAGTTTCTACAGGTATGAGACGGAGTTTAACTGGATTTGTGGAGCGAACAAGTCTGGATCACATCAACCAAGCCCAATGGACATTATACGATACGGAAGTTCAAAATACGGGGAAGATAGTCCGAGCACAATCGAGAGTACCGTGTACCGATAGACTAAAGCATACCTACACCTCACAGAGCACATAAACAATCCCACAAGTTGCAAGTTATTGCAGAAAACTGTACGACCACTTTTAGCCGCCTGATACCGCTCATTACATGGAAATGTAAATTTTGGAAGAGGGTTCACACACTCCAAATGAAATGATCGTGGGTAAAACCAAATACCTTGGTTTGTATACGTTTACTTGTTTTTATTTGAACAAAGAACACAGGATGTTTTTGAACTTATCAAAGCTAGGTAAGAGCAGCTAAACCGGCTCGGTTTGAAAAATAGGGGGTTATAAAAGGGGGTGAGTCAGAACCTGCAAGCCTTGTTTTGTAGTTTATCAAAAAAAAAGCAACACAGTGAGAAGGTCCTCGGTCAACGAAATAGTGCGCTAATGCATGTTTGTATTAATAAGAGCTAGAGCACACTGATTACAGTCTGTTGATGGTACACACGTGGCAGGGGAAGCAGAACTACTTTCCTAAGAGACACGAAACTATGTGAAGGAAGCAAAGTAGATTGAATCGGCGACTAACTTGGAAAGGGATGAACGCACCTGCATTAGACGATTTCGGAGTATTAGAGCACATTACCCTGAAGCGCGTCAATCACAGAGTAGACGAGTGAGTAGGTAGGAGGTATAGCTCCATCTCGCTGACGGCGTGTGTGTGTGTGTACGTTTTTATACTCGAAACCGGGCGTCAAAGGTAAGTGTGTCCACACGAGCGAGTACCACAACAACAACAACAACACGACCGCCGCCGCTACCATACAGAAGGGCCATATCGCAGTCCTACACACACACACACACATGCGCACGCACGCAGCGCTCGAGCGAGAAAGAGAGCGAATGGTTTGTGCGCACGCCTGCCGGCTCACCATTGGCTGGCTTCAGAGGCTACGCGCAGAGCTGATTGGTGCACATTTAGGAGGAGTGCGTATGTGCTGTCATGGTAGCGCGCATGCACGCGGACTACACACGCAGCACGTGACACCTAGCCAGTCAGTCGCCATTTTTAATCCGCATGGGTTTCGACCGAGGTGAGGGATCGGACCCACTGGGTCTTATTTTTTCACCCTCAATCAAGAAAATAGTTAACCAGCTCGGTCGATTGGGTTTTTTTTAAAGCGGACGGGTCTTCTTCTAACCAGTTAAAACGAGGTCAAGGCCTAATTTTTTACGTAGGATGAAGCCACCCCTAGTTTAATCACAGCGCCAATACTCAATGAGTTTGACGACTCAAAAGCCACTCCTGCCTATCCGTCAATACCGGGGGGCAGTACTTACCGAGCATTCTAAGGGGCCGAACGCACAAGATCCCGTTGCATGTTCCGCATACGGGACGCTGAAAGTGAACGACGAAATTACTTTCCTAGCTTCTGGATGCAAATATTCTAGACCTTGATAAAACCGACTTACAGAAATTCTTCAAATAGCAAAGGAAAGGAGTGAGAAGCGTAGGGAAGAAAGTGGAGTTGAAGTGGAATCCATTTAAGGATATACATAACTTAAACACGGAGCAGATGCTCCCAAATATTCAAGAGAATGAAATCTTAATGCCTCGGATCTTGGAGCCCTTTACAGTGCCGGCTAGCAGTGGCACAAAAGCTTTACTGAAGGTAATCTCCTCGTTAATAAGCAACATAGTGGGAGGGCGATCAGAGTGCTCGGGTTTCTGTGGTGAACGGGAACGCACCGAGCCTCGCTTCCGGTCGCTTCAACAAACACGATGGGGCACAGACATCCATGTCTTCAAACTCCCAAGCTTCCGATGGCACAGCCAATCACTGGCCCACTTTATTACTGCTCAATTAAAGCTCCCCTCTTCAAAGCAAGTTGGAAGGCAGGGATGGCGCCACTGTCTGGTTCCAGATAAGTATTCCACTAGCTACGGTATGCTTCAACGGTTGGGGCAAGTCGTAAGCACGACAGACCGAAAGAAACATGAACAGGAAAGTTTAACTTATAAGCTGTAACGCAGTCACTGTGCCACGTGATGGTAGGGAGGTCCCAACACGACTCTACAACTCTAAAAGAGCGTCATGCCACTCAATTAAACTTCGATTTCCTTCGAGAATGCAACTTCGATGCTTTGACTTAATGAATGGTCTTGCTTTTTTAAACACATCGCCTCCACTAGACTATTAATGTTGAAACTCCTGAGGCATGATTGTGACGTTGAATTTACAACACAGCAAATTATTACTATTATTTTTTTTCGTTGAGCTCGTGAAGAGAAAGGTGACCCGGGGTCATGCTCAGCCGAACCCGACCAGGCGAACAAACGACGTGGCACAGCATGAGCCCGGATAACATCACCTCGGTGATACCAGGAGAAAAAATCACGGCAGCAAACATTGCAAAAAGTAAAAGCGGATAGCACAAATACAAAACCTGCCATGTTAAACGACCTGACATCGTGGTTTTCATTCAAACTGACATTGGGAACCACATGCAACAGAGGGTGTCAAAGCGCTGAGGACAAATGGTAGGGTTGGATCAAAACGAACAAATAACGAGGGGATGAGGGAATGAAAACAATAATTTTCACAATTCCGTAAAAATAAGATGCGTAACAACAAATGTATTTCTCTTTTTGTACCTTTTGTACACAAAACATTAAACAAAACCGTACATTTCAAAAAAGACTTGTCATTGCTGGCGATGATACCAAAGTTAACAAAAAGGGGGATTTGGGCGTATGCAGTCGGTGTCAGTGCGTGGGTTTCTTGAGCCGCCTAATCAGCACGCGGGGGTCGTGCCGGTTCACATTTCCACTGAGCAACGGAGAATTTGGTTGGGACGTGGCACTGTATATCCGATGGAGAGCTGTTGAAACTTCATCGGGAAGGTGATCAGAGAGCATTCGGGGATGGATAATGATGGTTTGAAATTGCCGCGAGTTGGACCATATGGCAACTGGAGGGTAGGCTAAATGATCTTGTCTGGTAGAGGGGAAAAGCACTTTTTACAAGTGAAATGCAAATGGAGCCGTAGCTAACATACACGACTCACCCCCAGGGACTCGATGTTGAGGAATCACGCCTTAAAGAAGCACCACTTTGCTGTTCAGTGTCCTCAACTTGTACAATATGGACAACGAGTCCAGCGAATCGTACTCTGGTATCCATAGAGACAAAATCCTCATGGACACCTAGGGGTTCGTTCACTTCAACAGAGCTTGAGGCAGTGACGGTGCTGAACTCACTGGTCATGAGGGCCGAAGCGAAGGGGACATAAATTGTACCGGAAGCGTTTGTTCGCAGAAGCACATCCGTCTTGGCGCGAAGCCATCGAAACAGCGATCGATTCTCGGAGAGGTATCGCACAGGTCGGTGCGTGGAGGTGGTACTGTCTACACGACACAACGCAGATTGGTGAGGCGCAGACGGCTAGACAGAAATTCGCATGATCTCTCCCTCCCGCCCTCCCTCTTTCAAGCAGACGGAGGTACAGGAATCAGAGCAACAGAATTTAAGTCTTGTTTAGAACAGGACTTAACTAGCTCACGGACAGAAATGTTGACCATGCCTGTCTGCCAAGTAGTTCGTTTCTCGCGGTGTTAGTCATTGCCTTCGTCTCCCTCATTTTTAACCTAGCAAGGTTAGGAAAATAGTGCACACACACACACACACACAATTAATGAAGCCGATTCAGAGATTACCCACAAATTGCGTGAAACTCGGCAGAGTACTCTGAAAAGTACGGCAGACGAGTGGGACATAAAAAGTGCGCAAAGGGGCTACTTAGGTGCTCCATTGCCGTGTGGGTCGGCCTCCGAGGCATGTCAGTAGCCCCAAGCCCTACTGTAGGTCGACGTATTCTGCCCCAATACTATATTTTGTCCCGTCTCCAGGGTAGTCTCGGGGCAGTACACTTATCGCATGCACTAGTGAATGGAAGAGCTTGATGCTAGTGGTGAATTACAACGAGAAGACGAGTTAAAGGGTATTATGCGGGATGTGCAATTTCAAACATATTAATGCACGAAACTCTGGAATGGCCAGCCTGAAGAAGGCGGCGGTCACGAAGTTGACGCACCAGGGGAACTAATAAGACAAGACGAGGAGAAATATTGGGTCAGGAGCAAGTGGAATACATTGGAGGACAGTCAAAAAGCAAAGAATGCGACATGACTCTGGACACATTGTAGTTCATTTTAATTCCAAAAATGTTGTACGAATGACCTTTTACGGACCTAAAAAATCTATTAATGACCCCAATCATTGCAAGCAATGTCCTCGAAATGCTCCGGTCGACGTTAGTCTTCTACCTGGGTGAGCTTCGCTTCAACAGCGCTCAGCCGACTAGTGATATCCCCTATCCAGCGAACGAGGTCAGCAAACCCTCTCCGAATTTTGGACCAGAAGATTTGAATAATCGTAAAAATGGAGATGCATGAGCATTCAGCAAAATAAAAGTGAAAACAGCCCCGAAAACAAAGCGGAAAAGAAACCAGATGAGATCGAAACCAGGGGGCAATTCCAGGATCCGTCGGGTGGCGAGGCCACGACTACCATACCTAGTATAGGGTAATGGAAGAGACGAGGGAGGTCTAGGCGGAACCTCACCGTGACTGGTGAATGCTAGACGTGGGAGCTTTGGTTACAAGGGGGGTTCGTAAAACACACCCGAATTTACCAAAAAAGATGCACATTAATGACGACGCATAAACAATGAAACACATTTAAAACCACGGGGATTAAATATGAAATAAAATTTTGTATAGGAAACGCTGAAAAGTATGTAGAGCAGCAACTCTTTCAACTGCAAACGAATCGCACCAAATGAAGTGAATGGCAATCTTCCTCAAAATTAAAAAAAAGCAGTTTTATAACCAAACAAGAAGAAATGAAGGACGGGTAAATAAAACCTTTAACCGAGGCAACAACTCGGGTAAAAGAAAGTGGCCAAGGCTCAAACGTCAAGGGATAAAATGATGGCGGAATAAAACCAAGTAGGGCCAAGCAACACCAACAAAAATGGAACTGTAATCAGCATTACCGAGACTATCCATTTCCAGTTCATCTAAACGAATAAACAAAAGCTTTCACATTGTATTGAAGCCCGCAAGGATTTCAACAATGAGAGCACTAACAGGAGACTGCCAATTTAGTGGAGTCTAGGAGTGGAGCACCACGTGATTTCCCTTCCCGAGGCATCGACATCCCCTGGTTTGCTCAAGGGGAGATGGTAAACAGGCAAAAGGAAAGGAAAAAAACTAGCCGAGGAAAGGTGGAAGACTAAGCACATGGACAGCTGAAACGGCGTTCGTAGGGCTACAAATTTACCTAACTTATCAGAACTTAAAACAGCATTACGGGTTTACGAGAGCGGTGTTGAGAAGCCTTAATAATCAAAAGGCATTAACCACATGAACCATGGGTGCAAACACATAGCAGGGTAACCAAATCGAGCATAGAATGCATGCATCGGAGATGTCACAATGCAAGCATATGAGCCGTAGAAAAAAGCGGAACACGAAAAAAAAAAAAAATAGCACCAAAGGATTACACCACAGGAAACCGAAGAACGTACCTGCAGTGTGGAAAGGTGTGATTGATATCCAACGCAAGGTCAGGCAAGGTATGTCGCAGTGGAAAGAAAAACAATTAAATTGATAATTTACCTCAACAATTCCTTTCAGCTTAGTAACTTGTACAGACTAGAACAGATTAATTTATTCTTTAAAGTAGAGTCAATTGTGGCGATTCACAAATTCCAGTCAACTGAATCGGCACCGTTTTGCCTAAAGCAGTAACCACATATTTTGGGCAAAGAGTTTCATCAAAGTCCAATCGAGGAGGCATTTCCGAAGGAGGATTCCGCAAATTAACAAGAAAAGTCCATTCATTTCAAAACGAGAGTGTGAGGAAGGCCGCCCAAGACGTGGCAGAAAAAATGGCCTAGGACGGCGACACGGCTATTCCCAAAATACCAAAATACAAAAAGATGCGTCAGGTAATCGTGTAGTCCGAAGCGAGAGAAAAGACAACTAGCAAAGTGTTGGAACGATGCTTTGAGCCAGGAAGCACATAATTCAAGGCCTATTGGGAAGCAATGAAAGCAGCCCAGAGACGAATAGAGGTGTGCCGAGTCGAAGCCCAACTCCACGAATCTAGGCTTCTAAGGCTTAGCAACTTAAGTTATTACTTGAACACCCAGCATGTTAATTGTTTTAGAAAAGAAGGAACGTAACTTCCATCACATCGTTTACCTACGATAAATGTATCCCCTGCACGAGATCACCATCGAGAGCCAACTTCAGACTCCCTTCACAACCTACCGCTTACAAAATCACTGTATTCTGTGGAAGACGAAATGGCGGGTGCACTCCGCGGATTGTAGACTTTTGGTCGAAGGAGATTGTACTGGCAGGAGGCGCTGAAGAGGCGCGTGTCCAATCCAATGGTATTTGAAGTGGGGCGACAGAAGGAGGGGAAGAGGCAGTTCAGACCCACGATTCTAACCGCATTGGCGAGAATACGATACTTGGGCACGTTGCAGTCTTGCAGCGCCGACAGGAGACGCCATTTGAGGTCGTTGAGTGTGGGAATACTGAGACGAGGAACGATGTCGCATCCCAAGACGATGGAAACAACAAAAGGCTTGCAATAACGAGCCATACGGGCGCTAGAGTTGGCACAAGGGAGGAAGAGGTCATGAGAGTTCAATAACAGTGGGCTGGACTCTTTCAAAAACGACCTAAGTTACAGCAGACCATTGAAGGTGGTCAAAAATAAACAAGTAGTGCAATAAAAATAGCGCATACAGGTGAGCCTTTAAACTAGCTCAACATGGGCGAGAAATTATGGGAACAGTACTGAACAATACCCCCTTAGCCATTGCTTTAAGGGAACAGTAACAATTACGGAAAAATTCCGCAACAGGAGTGCAAAAGCCAAGGTATAAGACAGGTTACACCCATGGGGCATGCGCGAGAGGTAGTAAATTGACTTCGTAAAAATATAGAGATATCTTTCACAGAGAAAGTAATTGTGGAACGAAACAATAGTGTTTGACTGGGATTTAACCCATTTAGAAGTTAGTAGCTACGCATGTTCACTGGCTCCATGAGGCAAATACATGGCGGTGAAAATGGACACATCTCTAGTTGAATGTTCCTTCTGGGTAAGGAGCATACATTACTCTAAGGCAATACCATAAATCTACCCATCTCTTCAAATATCTGGGAAAATGAAGGCCACTACGCGTAAGAGTTTACGCAAAAAAGAGACCGAGCGAGGCGCTTGTAGATGCGAGTCTTTTTAACCACATAAACAGTGCATGCAAATATATCAGTGAAAAGGAAATTATGCGGCATTAGGAACTAATAAATTTGGCAACGCCCCTACATTTCGCATTATGATTGAACCAAGAAATCAAAATGCTTTCAAATGCACAGGACAAGCCAATGCCATGATTTTTAAGGCATCAAAACAAGAAGAGCAAAGTAAAGGATCCCATCAATGCTAGGCAGGCAAGAGTGCTCAATTTTTCGATCTAGAGACCAGAGAAGTACGTAGTAATTCCACCATCTAAAGGCAGCCCCTAGTTCACAGTATTTAACAAGGTGTTTACTGAGTGGCCTATTCTATTAAGGAGTACTATAAATAGAAGGATGAGGTGTAATTTTGGGTTTACCAACTGAAGGAAGTAGACATTTCAATCATACGAAGTGCATCAACATTGAAAACTGAAATATCTGAGTCATAAATACAAAATTAATGCTACTAAATAACTTAAGTAGAAATACCTCATCAACCCGAGCGGAGGACTATAAGCATAGGCCTTGACCTCGGGATAGGACTTCCGCAGAAGGAAAGCCAGTACGGAGGCTACACCAGCGCCCAAACTGTGACCACAAACCACCAAGGGATAAGAGCCTCGCTTAACACGGGCCTTCTCTATCAGCTGAAGGCGGAGGATGATATCGCGTAGGTTACGAGCAGTGTAGAGGATTCCCATGTGCACGTAGAAGTCGAGGATTTGATCAGCAGGCACGTCGAAGGGCAGCTCGTCAGACAAGAGACGTTTACCCTCCGCGAGCATGTCAACGATCACGTCTTCAGGTGAGAGAGTCCCACGGATTGCAATAATGATGGACTCAGATTCATCATCAAATGCCACAAAGAAGGGAGACTGATAGACCTGAAAGAAAGAAAATGAAACAGTAAATTAAACACAAGCAACAAATTTGAGACATCTAATAGGTAAAGAAGAAAAGAAGAGACCATTCACGACAATCTGTAACCAATGTTTATAATACTACGACCAAAATTTATCGAAAACTACTCATCCAGGTTAGGGAGTAACTCCAATCCCGGTTTCCACATTATATTTTCACCTCGCTCAAAGATCATGTGACCGGCTTTGCTTCCATGAGAAGATTTGCTCCACGAAATCGTCGAAAGTCTATTCAATAGAGTCATTGGATCACAAATGTGCCTCAAACCGGTATACGATTCCTTGGGATCACTGAAGACTGCTGACATTGTTTTAGTTACAAGAGGCACTATCCAGTGTTCAAATGCTATCGGAATGGTTACAGTTAGATTTGAAGAAAATTATTCCAAAAAGGACCAATATTTAAAAATAAGGACCCAAATGTATTTAAGCAAACGAGGAGATCATTGTTGACCCTACCCAGACACCTAGAAATACGACTGGGAATTCGTGTGCGTGTGGGATAGGGATTCGTCTAGGCAACAACTTAATACGGACTTGAAGGCGTTACTTCTTGATCTTTTTTATGATGATTCCATTCTACTTTATAGAAAATTCAAAAATGAGCTATCAAATTTTCTGTACATTCACTTTCATAAAAATTTGTGGCAGCTGACTCGACAATGCTTGGTCCACCACTAATGAGTCCGGCAACAAAACCTCCGGTCTAAAATAAATAAATAAAACCGCTCCCATTGGCTAGATGTTAGGGGCTTTGGGAATATTTAGTACAGAAAAGTAGTTCGCCATTCTTTACCTTCTTTATATGTGAAAGCAATGCCAAAATATATGCGACATCTTATTGGTTAGCAATTTGATTTTGATTCACTTGAAGGCAAGGTCGAGTGTACATCACTGAACCTTCCAAGGGTGTCGCATGTGTGTGTGGGTGTGGAGAGAGTTTCAATGGAAAATGCCAGTTGCAGCTGGAGAAAAAGAAGGCGATCACTGGGAGGTAAGAGTTTCTCACAACCGTGTTCGGATTGGCTGCGAAATGCAATTGCAGTTGGCATACAATCCAGCTTAACTCGTGATTCTTCATACATGGGCAGTACAACGGGTCTTTCAGGAATTTTTGACTAGCGGGTCAATGTACAACCTAGGGACATAAAAACTCTACCGCGCATACCCTGGACCATGAATACACCTCGACTGTACCACAGCTAAGTTCGGAGCTCTAAAGTTAGCATAAGAAACTCCAAAAACAGGTCGATCTCTCCCAAACACCTTCGACCTTTTTACAGACGAATATGCAAAGACACGGGTAAGAATATCAGCAAACGAAATCAAGGATATCATTTACAAGTGGGGAGTAACAAAGGAAAGACAATGGACAATCAACTTTGTCCGATGATAGTGCCGGAAACGGCAGCGCATGGTTAGCAGATCGGCCAAAGTGTTGCATGTTAATACTTACCGTTGGGTGCAGGAAGAGGGGATTTAATGATGCCCAGGAACCGGAAATGAGCGTTTTTAATTCCCATGAGCGATGATTCAACACTCGCAAATCAGGCAATGAAATGGTAGTCAATTCAACTCAATCGGCTGTAGTATAAAAGGGGAAAATTCTCCTCACTGGAAAAACACAAATTTGTTTACACCGACAACACTCAGAACAAACACACCGCAGAGTGCTATCAGATTAGCAGAGGTTGAATAATTAATAGTGTGATAGTTAGTAGAGAACTAATTTCGGTACCATCAAGAAATTTCCCGAGATCAAAAAAGCCAACAGGAAGCCATTACTCTCCGCGACAGTATTAAAACGGTGTTATCAAAAAATGCCTCTTTCATTCATGGACGCGCCACCGTTTGAAGCGATTGAAATCCACGAGGCATAAGGCACAAAGGGATGTGTTAATTTACCCATGAAATTGCGAATTTCAATAGACACGAAGCCGCTGCCTGAAAGGGTGATGAAACTAGAAAATACCCAACTTATCCCCACACCACCGATGAAGACAACAAACATTCACAATAATTACAAACAGAGTGGTTTGTTCGAATTCCCCAACTCTCGGGCAGATAGGATGTCCATCTGCCTTCTACGCCGGCAGGTAAACAAAAGGAGATCCAACACCTGTTGAAATTAAAAAATACAGCCTTTTCAAACCTTTCTTTATTACACAAAAGCCGTATTCACTCACATAAACGGTCCTAAAATAAGGCAAAAATAGCAATAAAAGTTACCCCTTAATCTGCGCCGAACTTGTTGAATGCCATGCTAGGTGAATCCGTACTGATAAACAACCAAATAACCCAGGGACGAAATTGACCCAAAGCGATCACATTGAAGGTGGTGAAATGATCAGCACCATAAAAACTCCCACATCATAAGGAAACACTAAAGAAGGGGAGTTTAAGGCGACTTCTTTAAGGCTACTAATTTAGAAAAAAGTATAGGGAATTATAACTTCCATCAGGACACTTTAAAAACAAAATGACACAACTACACGCACTCCTTTACCAATGGCACATCAGAGACGACTTAAAAGAGGAGGTAAGTGAAAAAAAAACTTACAGTATTTACAAAAGAGTAGTATACAAGGCTTTCAATGGGCGCGCCGGTGATTTCTTGATACACAGCCAAGTTGCACGCGTCATGTTTGCAAATGCAACAGCCTATCGAAATTTCCTCCGAGGGAGAGAGGAAGGAATGAGTTTCGAGGTCCCCTTCTGCCTGGCTAAAATAAAATGAGGAAGAGAGGTACGTAAAGCAGATGGCTTTCAAAATCCAGCTTGTCAACGCAGTTGACAACCTTCCATGTCAAGTAAAGTTGCCAACGCAGTGTCAGAAAAATACAAATTGCTTTCGTTAACTTATTCATAGGGAAATGAACAGTAGCTTTGCTATGAAACTGCTGAGGTGTGGTAGATTATGCTGTAATAATAGGACATTACTGTCGGTATAAGCGATTGATTCGGTAGAATTTACATAACCGACCAAACATGCGCTCACTGTAGGTGTTTAACAAGCCTGCTGCAGGATCGCACTGGAAAAAAATTGAAAGCTACAGCCCAAACGTTTTACCTTCTCAATGTGACTTGCACTACCCCTTTTACCATTGCAAATGCTGCTCAAAAACTGATCGACCTCAGACCCAGACCGTCTAGTAGGTGCGACCGAGAGGTCAAGAAAGGTGATGAAGAGCATACGCCAGACATGCGTAAGAAACTATTCAGGTGAAAAATGCAAGGAGTTGCATATATGTCGCTGGCGTCGGACGTGTTAAACGCTCGACGGAGAGACGCAGACCCATACACATTCACCAATTGTCAACCAATCCAACGAGCTAATTTCACATGGTTGGAAATGCGGGTAAAACTACTCCATTTAACAACAACAAAGACGATGAATTAGACAAAAAGCAGGAAACAATACGACTGATAAAGCGGCACAATGGTCGAAGACTCTAGAGAGTTTATCTAGCGGCAGAGAATGCCGTATCGGAAGAATTGGGTGGGTTGTTTGTGGTAAGGATATATATATGTACACATACACACACACATCTAAATGGTCTCGTTTGTGGGTATCTACACGCGTTTTGTGTTAGACCTTGAGCAGCGGCCATGACGGAATTCCCAAATCTGGATATCCACGCATCAATGGTGGTGGGTTTCATGGTACAAATAACATAAACTTAACTTTTGGCATGCTAACCATCTCTTTAACCGTGCATATTGAACAGGAACGATTTGTTAGGGTGTATTTGGCCCCACAATATAGAATTGTACACTTTCGAGACGATAATGCAGGCCACGGTAATGGCGCTTAGAGTGTACGTCTTTGGTGTACAGAGAAAGGTGTGCAAATCAGCCACGATTGTACAGTGAGGCACGCAGGAATACGCTACTCGTAAAATAGTTCAAATAGCACCCTTACGACGTTAGAGACAAGGTAAAGCTTGTTCGACGGCACAGGTGTGATTTGCAAAAAAAGAGAGTCCAATAGAGAAATTAAAAACCATTTCGAGCAGCATGCTTGAGGGTCTTTTAATTCTTCGGGGGGGGGGGGGGGGAGGGAGGAGGGAGGGACCGAAGCTAGATGCAAGCCTTCCACCATGTGTATGACTACGATAAAGATCCTTCTCCATAAAGCCTGGGCGGCTAATGAATAAAGTCGTCATTTAAACGCCAGAAATGGAAATAGCATATGGAAGATTATATCATGGGTTCTGTTAAGTACCAATTTAGCTTACTTTTAAAACCGCTCTGACAACAAGATAAGCACCTGACAAATAACCGAATGATCACATAGTACTGATACGTCTAATTAATTTTAGTTCGTGTAAAAAGTGAAGTGGGGAAGGACTATTGCATGAACGTAGATCGAACTGAAATACGCATTCCATATTTCGCACACATTTCCAGCGCTGCAAGAAGTGTTAACAGATCGAATCTAACGTCCGTAAATCATTTAAACAAGAAATGACTTACAGAAAATCAAGAACTTGTTTATTCTGAAATACCAGTAAGCAAACCAGAATGCGCGTAAGCTAAAGACGTAGAGTGGTATCACCTCGACGATTTGTCTATTCCAGTCAGCAGTGAAGAGGTGCCGTGGTGTCTGAAGAACATCGGTTGGTATATTTAGCATCCGATGTGTGTGATGCATGAAACCCTCCAAAGGATTCAACTTCCACAGTTTAAGCAATGCTAGGGGTTCCGCCATTAGTACATCTCTATTCAATATGTCCAATCTCAACTGCTTCACAGCGTCACAAAAGTGTGACATCTTGTTTAATAACAAATGACAACCACTTTTTACCCTGGAATAGGCATCACAAGTGACTCAGAGGAGTATAAAAAGATGGACGACATATATGGCATGGTTAGTCCTCGAGTGCTAGTTTAAATGGCCAATTTGGTGATGGGAGTGTTAGGTGTTACACCAGAAAGGTGAACCATCTGGACTGTAATGGTTAATTTCCCTCCAAAACTTCGGTAGTTGACACGATATTGTAAGATTGCTATTCTCACAGCTTTCTTTAGTCGTGAAAATAGGATAAATGCCAGTAAGGTACAATTTGCTGCCAAAAATCGGACTGATTTCCAGTAATTATTCCAACCATTGGGATAAATGCTTGCGGCTACCCCCAAGAACCCATCGTGATTCATCACATACAGCAGGGCAACATGACAGTAGGATCTGCTTTTCTGCCACGTCGGCAAAGAAGGGACTTCGCCTCTGTCACCCACACATTTACCTCATGCCAAGTCCACCCAAGTAACCCAGAACCCAAACGTTGCCGATTAGTTGCAAACGGCGCATGATAAGTGGTGTCTAAGCTAAAAGTCGCTTAGCATGCCATTACTTGCGTATAACCCGTGTCTTCCATGTGACTCGCTTTCACTACAAGAATCGGAGCCACCAGAAAGAGATTTCTCAAGACATCTCATCAGATATACTAGTTTCACAAGGAAAATCACAATTTTAAGGCCAAGAGTTCTCATAACAAAAGAAAGTCGCAATAACAAACACAACCATCTTCTTGGTGAATTAAACCAAAGAAATAAGGCGGAACGGTAGGTATTAGCCTCCGAATACACAATCCTCAGTGAGAGAGGAAATATACAGATAGAGAGAATTAGCATGGACGAGGAGAAGGCCTGAAATGATTGAAATTAGCCACGTGGTCTTCGTTCAAACTAAATATCGTGTATTAAGTCTTCATCAGACACTCCAAACTAGCTCTACTGGACTGATTCCACAAGGAGGATCACATTTTAAATAACACGGCTCTAAAACGACTAAAATTGAAGGATAACACTAAACCAGATTATGTTCAAAGTACTGAGGAAGATGATGGTAATGAGAAAGAGCTATGAGCACTTACCTTTATGTACCAAAGTGACCTTTGGGCCTAGCAATGGTTGGGAAAAAAGGACGCTTAGGAAAATGGAGATAAAATCTTTTAAACCAGGACAGCTGCATCACTTGATGCATTTGCACACATCTCCGAATAAGACCTTAGACTTCTCATTTTGGCCCATTTTCAAGGTTAGCATCCATCAAAAAGGAGAATTCCAAAGGATCGTGAATTATCCGTTTAGCAGACACATTCACACTCAAGTCACCAAAGCGAAATCCTAAACAAAACGACCATCCCCATAGATATGGCTCTGAAGAGCTTACAGCTTAAAGGATAGTAGAAAATCGGAGAGCTCCTGAAACAGGACTGATGTGGTTTCCAAATAGATCCCAGAGAGGAATGCCCAAAATTGGAGAAAGGACAAAAAGAAAGGGAAAAGTAATCACGGACACAAAGACTCACGATTAACCCCATACACCCTTGGGGTGTTGCATAACCTCATCCACTCATTCGTCAGAAATGAGTACCTCAAACCATTGTGCCTTGGATATTCACTACACACAGAACCCCTATTCGAATATAACAGAAGTTTCCAGAAAGTGCTCAAAAACAACAACTCAAATGTATAGTTTCGATTTCAGGGGTGACGCTGCAATGGTCACGAGGGTGCATCTTCGAGGTAAAAGCCATGGGAATGTACTGCGAAATGGTAGAGGCATAGGCTTCACAAGTCATTGCTTAATGTGAGTTCATTCAAAGGGGAAATCACTGCCGATATAATACAAAACTTCAAAAAACAGTCCGAAAAGGATTAAAATTAAACGAATGATACCAAGTCAAAAAGTACTTTTGAAATAGTACTGATGGTTTGGCTCAAAATGTGGCAGAAAACGGGAAACATTTAAAGCGAAATGGTAGAGACACCGACTCCCTGACTCTATAAATACAGGGGCATCTAAGCTAAAGCAGGAATTTTTGATTTATAAACATGTAAGTTTCCATGAGCGCAAGCCATATCTATTTCCAGACATGCCTGCAATCACCACAGACGGGCGTAGAGACGCCTTTGAAACTATTCAAGTGCCCCATCACTAAGCAACCCACCATCATGGATTTCGCATCTACACACTGGTAAATGCGGACACAACTTATTGCTGTTACTAGCCGACTTGATTAAAAGTTCCTGAACCAGTCCACACGCATGTACGCCGGCTGTTAACATACGCGAAAACAAACTTGGCACTTATTAGCGCATATTGTATTACCACAGTAGCATCCCTTTTGAATCAGCCAAGTAGAATCCAAAATCTCATATTCAGCGATATCCAGCTACGTTAGACCAAAGGTGGATAGAGTTACTAGGCCTTACGAACAGCAGGAGTCAAAGCATCCTTCACACTTTGCGTATTTGCATAGTCGAAGAGCAGCTCGGGGAGAGAGACGTTGGGAGAAGAGGTAGAGCAGACGCCCATAAACAGCGGAGGCGAACTTGGAGTATATCCACAGACGCCGTATGCCAAGCCAATTCGTAGCTAGACGGTTGAAGGGATTTCCATCGTCCCGTGGAACAAGGATGCCCACTGATCCCGCGTGTGGTGGTGGACTAGTGACCTTATTGAATTGGTCAAAGAAAAAAATGGAATTAATGGCTCCGAAAAGTGCCCGTTCAATTCAAAGTGCAAAGCATCTGTCCTCTATTCTAATGTGCAACGGCTCTTGCGCATACAATAAAAAGTCAACCGATTCCAAGGAGGATTTTCACCACAAAGTCCTAGTTACTGCGCAGTTAGGAAGGCATGGAGAAGCTAGTTCTACCTCTATGAGGTTGCGTAGCTAGCCTAGTGATTTTAAAGAGAAGGAACGACCTAGAGACCTTAATGTTATCTCACGCCTCCCGAAATATCGTGGGTATAGTACAGCATTTAAATTACGAAAAGATTTCAAGAGGTCGGCGCGTACGCATCGTTCTTACCGTGAATTAACGCGTTCGCTACAAGGGTCGGATACTCCCATCGGAGTTTACATGATACGTGCATGCCCCAGATAACGAAGAAAAACACGCGACGCACAGATTTCTTTTTTCTACCTGAGTCCTCATGCTATAAAAAGGCGACACATGCTACTTATAAATTTACGATAACCGATAGCACCAGATTGTGGCGTGAACAGATCGGTTGAATTTAGAACCAAATGGGTCCGCATGACGCTCTTGGACTGTGAATAATAACACTCCTTAGCTTCCAAGCAATAGTTAATTTGGCCAAGACTTAATGGCAATTGGTGTTGTATTAGAAAAATAAACGGTATGGGCTGTGACGGTAGACTTTTCTCTCAGACCCTCGACGGTGGAATTGTAGCCCAAGCCGGGTTCATTATTTGGTAACAAGCAGCTACAACTATTGGATTGAGGCAATGGCAAAGTGCCCTCCTATTTTACGCAACTCGGAAGGGAACATCAAGACGAAATGTACTTTTAGTGTCTCAAATGGTTAATTCTATGTATTCAAATTATGACATTGACCTTAATAAAAAGCGGCTTAGCAGAATAATGGGCCATGTAATTTTAACTCCATTAAAAACTCCATCCCCGTCTAATCAGAAGACAGGTTCAAAATAGGGAGACCGTCAAAACAATTTATGACGAAACAGCTTGAAAGATAAGGATATGTTGCAATGGTTACAAAAGAAATACAATGAATACCAGCTAGAATGCCCCAATAGTAAGTAGAGTGGGCAAATAATGAAAGAAAATACCCCGCTAACCTGAAAGCTCTATGGTCCTAACTGCATGGTGCAAGAGCATACCGATACAAGGCTAGAGTTGAGCTACGATGAGCGATAGGAGGGTTTTAGACAGGTACAAAGCTCCCCAAATGGCGGTTAAAAACACCCAGGCCTCTCGAGCAAAGCGCCGGTTGCGTGAAATCTGTGGCGGTAAGACAATATATCGAGATTAAGGTGTGCCTTTCGATCAGAAACGAACTGTTAGTGCTCAGCCATACACAAGAGGCCCACCCTAATCGCTATAAAGAGTTATGAAGAAAAACAGCCAGATGGATGGCAATGACCACGAATCAGTCGAAGTATGGAGAACTATCACGATACTAGGAACACGAGGCACCTCGTTGATGGCATGAGAGACACAGAGTACACGCTTATTAGCAAAAAATCTCTTCTTGGTGCCGAGTAAGAAACAAAAAAGCGGTAGGAAACATCTTCCGCTGCTCATGTGATACAGTGTAAAAGCGCGGCGTTTCCATTCGCGTAAAAGCCGGGAGGGTCAGAAACGAAAGTCAATCAAATCAAAATACTCCCACAAAGCAGACGAAAACAAGGGGGCTGAGAAATAGGCATCATCCAAGAATTTTGCATGCGACGTATTCAGTGCCACTTGCACCGAGCCATGTACCGCAAATAAATTGGTTCTTTAAAGTAGTCAAGTAGTAGTACTTTGGGTTTTGAGAAGCAGCTAAACTGACACCATAATATGGCAATAAGGGTTCCGGTGTAAGGTGACCGGGTTACCTCCGAGACTCCGGTGGCGAACGTGTTAAGTGTTGCAGATTTGCTCCTACCACTCAATCTACGTCAGCCCCAACTAAAAAAATACGCGTTTGACGTAACATAGTAGTTATCTTAAGACAGGTGGTGTGACTGCCTCCACCCACGAAAGCAGCGCACTTCGTTGAATGAATTCAAGGCCGCAATCGGCAGGCAGCCAATCATTTCTTACCATCAAAGAGCACTGTCTCTGCCTTCTACCAAATGACTTGAGCAAAGGCCTGAATCAAGAGAAAATTGTCCAGAAGCAGTTAGCCAAGGAGAAAAGCTAACTTCACCAAGTAGACAAAAGAACACACAGGACCAAATGACATACATGAAGGCTGGGAAGAAGTGAACATCTCAGACGAGAAAATTAGCGATTGTGCTAAGCAATGAATCAAAACAACATTCCAAATTAAAGCACTAACTTGATGTGACTAGATCCACATGGAGTACCGCAATAGGAAGGGATTTTTTTAAACCGCCGTTCTTAGGACTACGCCATTCTAAACATGCCTATAGCCACCCAACCCTTCCGTAAGTTAAAACAAACCTTCCATCATACTGGTATGCTCTATCACACCTCCTTTGATAACTCGAGGCGGGGATTTACGTTGGCAGAAGCCAAATTTACAGACATACCACAGTTGAGACATTTCGAGACTGGGAATTAATGTAAACAAAATGAACGTAAACCATCCAAACGAGATATTTGGTTCGCCTAAATCGATCCATCATGCCAAGCGTTTAAGGCAGCAACATAAACTATGCCTCTAAAGGGAATTATGTACTTATATTGCATTAGATGAATTATACATTTGACATATTTGTATAAGGAGGACATCAATTGAGGCTCTCACAATGCAGAACACGCATACGAAGAAGTGTGCATGTGGTTCCACAAAGCTGTCTACTGCTCATGATAATGACAATATCATGGAGGATTTTGTGTAATATCGGATATACTGGCTTGAAGACAGGACTGGATCAGTGGATCTCTAAATTTCAGATGGAGATTAGGTTGAATTAATACCGTGTGCAACGATACTTCAATGCTAAAACCATAAGACAATTTATGGAACTAAAAGCAACAAAAACCAACGCAATCACCTTGATGCCTTTCGAAGACAATAGTGCAAACCTACCTAAAATTATACAATAAAACTCACAAGATAACCATTTCTAATATGCTTCAGAAGAAGTGGCCGTGTACAAAATGCAAGGGACCATATGAAAGGAAAAGCAGGTAGCACATCCATTCAAAGTAATGGAACAGTGGGGTGACCGAAGAGAGGAAGCACAAGGAATGCATATTGGGCTTACCGGATCATAGATATCTGAGTCTTCAAGGACGCGCTCTAGTGGGACACGACTTTCACAGCCAATCCATTGACGTGTTTGCCATCGCAGAAGCAGCAATCCCGCAAGAAGGTCGGAGGCAACCAGATTTGTCTGGGAGTAACAGCCAAAAAATTCGAGTTTTTTAAAGTAGATTTTATTGCTATCGAAACCTAAATAAATGCTGCGTAATTTAAAGCTTGGAATAATGAGAATATCAAATTAAGGTAAAGTAACGGCAATAGTGAACCACCAACCTACCATGGCAAGTATCAAAACAAGAGTATATCAGTGACCAATAATGGAAAAAAACGGGCAAATAAACAAGAACTTACCATGAAATATGTTCCGACCATATCGGAGACGAGCAGCATGGCATCGCGACTACTTCTTTTGGTATTCAAATCTAATTGCCTGCAAGTATTCCTAAGGCAGGCTAGACAACGAATTCGTCGGCGCCACAGGCGTGCTATGAGACGATGAGCCTGAGCGCGATTCAGACGTTGTGAGTTCGCGTCCTCCTCCATGCACCACAAACCTGGGTGGTGCTGCCATGCACGACCGGTAGAGTCAAACGTGGTCAGAATAAAGATGAGACTGACCACAAGCAAAACCAACCCCAAGACACACGCATTTCGCAAGAAGAAGCACGCCTAAAAGGGTACTTAAGCAATAAGATCGTATAACTCATAAATAAATATCTATAAAAAGAAGCAGACTTTTGAAAGGCACTCTTGTGAAGATGCTTCAAAGTAGATTACAAATGAGTAGGTGACGAATTCACAGGCAATGAAAAAAAGTGAAGATACAATATCCACGCGACAGGTTTGCGCTTTTCAACCTCTGCAATACCTCCGCGAGAACTTGCAATGGCTAGGAAGCAGCGTACTACGACTTGAAGAATATCAATCGCAACTGCACAGTAAAATGCATTCTAAACGCGATTAACCCAAATAAATAGGGTACCAAAATGTTAGAAGGCAGATGTGGCTCTTGAGGGCCAAATATAATAACTGGAACGACAGCAAGAAGGAGCCTATTTGTCAATGTTTAAGGTAGTCAATTTACCCCAAAATGCGCACAAAAATAGTAAACAGAGACGAGAAGACCAGGTCATCACTACTGAACTGCCATCCACGCCCAAAAAGAATTATGGCCGGCATGTTTATGTCGACCAGTTATCTATACACTACGGCTACCAAAGCATATGGTACCTCTCACAATCTTAACAAATCATGCACGCGCGCCCAATCTTGGCCAGTCAAAAACTCGCACAAGTGATCTGACTAAACATATTCCCGGGTAGCTAAAATCAAATTACTGAGGCCTAATTTCAATAACAGTTTACATTAATGACAATTTGCCGGTGTTTCTTCTCCCTGTACTATCAGTGCTTATCAATCCCTTAAAATGAAACAATAATTCACTTTCGTAGGCAGTGGCATGTCCGACTCCTGCATAATGTGGCGACTTTACACTCTTACAGTGATAAATATTCTATTTTTGAACTTGGTCATTAGGATTCTTGAATCCCCTAAGATGCGGATCGCAAACTTTAAAACTGGAACCAAACTCCATATTTTCAAAGTAGTCACCAACCGATGATATCAGCATAGCAGAGTTCCAGTGTTCTGAATCATACATGGCAAATGTTTCCAGGTAAATGTGATTGGCTACATCTAGATCATTTTCGGAAACATTTTCTAGCAGTGGAAAACTCCTTTTTCAGCTTAGTTTCCACAAGATAGGAGCCATGAAATTGAGAATGGAAAAAAATAGTGACATAAGGTAGTCATTTATGATTGCACTTCACAAATGAGCATCAAGTATGGGATGACGCATGTCAATCTCAATAACAATTGGTACGGTCCGTGAAGAGGTGTCCTCGGCAGGGGTAGCACTAATGTACCCCTCGGTGAAAAGGCTGCAACCACAATCACCAAAGACCAAATTTTTAAAGGCGTTCGAATGGTCACAGGGAGGCTTGCGTTGGATAACGGATACGGGTGTGATGTCGACAAAGTCCAAACCCTCGAAGAAACTAGTGAATGAGGGGAGGACCTCAACGTGTGGAGACTCCGAGGCCAATGAGGTTTCGGGAGCAGGAGGTTGGGCTGCCGATCGCGAATTGATGGAGTGCCTACGCCTTAGGCTTGATGAAGGATCCTTCCTTTCCGTGAAATTCCTCGCTTCCCGTGTGTACTCATGAGGAGGGGGTTTGACACTAGTGTATCTTTTCTATCAAATTCATAATTGTGTGAAATTAAAGATTAGGTAAGCTGAAGTAGGTTACTTGGAAACTGTTTGAACTTTTGACAATAAATACTTTACTTCTTGCAAGATATGATACAGATGCAATTTTCTCAAATTTTAGATCACTATTGCATGAGATGTTTCGTTCGCATCACTAAGTAAAGGACTGAAGAACTCTTCTACTCGAAGGAGGACAGTAAATACCAGAAAAAGGTATCCACGGCAATTTGTGTCCGACTTTTGTACAGGAAATCGAAAGGTTATAATGGCAAAAAAGACCATGAAATAAAAAGGAAGATGAACAAACTGGCGGTCGGGTGTTTCTGCTATCCTGAAAGGACCCCGAGGCGCTGTCCCTACGACTAGTTTTGGAGGTTATGTCAAAGCATAAGGAGGGAGGAGCAGCATTCACTTCCACCACCGTGACCCCATTGAGACGAGCGATTTGAAGGAGACGCGTGCGATAGGCAGCCATTGGCTCCATGAAGTAGGGTAGACGGATCCTCTCCACAGAACAAACATCTCTGATTCGCGGCAGATCACTAATCGCTAGCTTTCCACACATTAGTTGAGCGAAGTCGATGTTATTTTGATCACGAAGTATTGTTATGGCACCTGAAGTTGAGCAGTGGATCAAATGGAATGATATGCAAAAGCCTTTATGTGGTGCTAGCTTTCAGAGAAGCTTCCGAGTAATGGAAATGCTGCAGATTGGTACGAGAAAAATCCAAATGGAAAGAGATGCTTTCTGTCCCAGTCCTTTGGCAACATGATGTGTAGTGTTTTCATACTTAACGGCGCACAACTAAGTGGGCCCTCAGTCACCGCGATTTTTGTTTCTGCTGGCAGTAGGGCTTAAGAACCATCTCTACAGTCTTCCAGCTCTCTTGCATGATGATGATAAACTTTTTCACCATGCTACCATGACTTAGTGGGAAATGAGAGGAGGTTTCGGACATAAAAAATGAATCAATAATAAAAACAGCCCATTTCGAATTAATCCACTTCAAGTAAAGTAAAAACATGTGCCAGCATTGACGGAAATTCATGAGCGATTTTCAATGAAATCCTTCAAGGCCACAGCACCACAGTATGGACTGCTGTATCAAATGAGTGTAGGGTTCGTTAAAACAGAAGATCCACAAACCGACGCATGCTTGTTAACTCGAAATCGCACCAACGCTTCTACCATTCCCAAAGATGATCACGTAACGGATTTTATTTTTGAGAAAATAGAAGAAAATCAAGTTGTGATCCTAAAGACAGTTTTGATTTCGTTTTTTATCTTCGAAAAATGTTGGGTTGGCGCGATGAAGGTCTTAGTGAGAACTCTTATCAAAAAAACCGAATGCCAACAGCAAATTGCTGATAACATAAGGAGACATCACTTAACGAAATGAAAAGCACCCAAATATCAGGTCTATTGTAAAACGTTGATTGTTCGTTTAATCTTTCATTTTGATGACGTGGGCACTGTAACGCACGGCCGTTGTATTTCCGCCCAGTGGCGTGGCCCAGAGGTCATGCTAGTAGCCCCTTTGCCCATCTGAAAGTGTGGACACGCTACATTGGTTGTAGCAGAAAGCGAACCTGATCCTAAAGGACTGCACTCTCCATTTCTACGACTGGGTGATACATCTTAACATACCTTAAAAACGGCACATATTGCGGAAGAAAGAATCTGCGATGACCCCTAACAGAGGGGTTGAAAATGACGTCTGCCATCGGCAACTATCCCAGTCTTTTCTTCTGAAGGAAAGACATTAGCAACTAAATCGACTAGTTGTGAAACATCTGGAAAAGTTCTTTACGGAGCTGTGAACCGTACCTGGATGAAGATATCGGTGAAGTGAACACTCAATATCTCCTTCACCTCTCTATTACCTGGATAGAACTCAGGTAGATATGGCTGGGCAGCACTGAAGTGAGAAGAACGTAGCAAGGAGGAACAGACACGAAACCTTACCCACACGAAACTATTTTGAACCCTTCCTTCATTAAATGACTCTGTTTGTAGGCCAGGGAGCTTACGACTAGCGATGGGCATATTAGATGGACTGCAAATTCCCCCTTCGCAAAAGGGACAAAATCCAAGATCCGGTAGAATTCCCAAGAAGAATTAGTTCGATACCTTCCTAGGCACACATAAATGCAATGACTTTTCTCACAACATCGACTACATCGTGATGGTCGGCGCGGGAGGTTTGCCAGGGGGAGAGGCTGGATCGACGCGCAAATGAAGAGAGGCTATGCAGTACGCTGTTTGGTCGTTCAGCTCGAGGTGTTAGTGACGCGGGCATTGAAGGACACGACAATTTCACCTCCGCCCAGCGACATGGCCTTCGGGCCACGCCAATAGCCCCTCAGCCCATCTGGAAGCCTCGAAGCGCCACACTATGACTCTCGTAAATCACGCCACCTAGGTCATTTCCTCCCCATTCAATAAGATTGCAGACAAAACGGTTTAACAGTAAAAGTCGCTAAAGATAAATAGGACTTAATCGCTCCCATAGAAGAGAGTTTTGTATTTATGTTTGATTGTAATTTGCACTGGGTTGGACAAATCGCAAGTTTATTTGCCGCCTCGAATACGGTAAGCGAGGAAGTACCGGAACTTATAATACGCAATTTAAAATAAACCAACGAAATAGCGGAAAATATGTTAGTTTAGCTGGTCGAGAAAAAATGCCTAAGTACAAGGAAAGCATAATTTTCATGTCAAAAACTAGTACTTATTTGTAATTGAGACTACGCGATGCTACTAAATCCCATAAATTCATATCAAAGTGGTTAAAGGAGGTAAAAAGAAGGTCTTTTGAGTCCTAATATAAGTGCATCAAATAAAAAACTGTCAATCTTACCCACCCGTCCTCCCTACTCACATTAGATAAATAGGGCTGGAGATAAAGCGTGTTACCTTCAAAGTACCGTTGGTCCTTGCCATAGCCTCCACAATTATTCTGACAGGGCAGACAGCGTTTGACGCGCATGCAGTGCTTCCACAACTGCTCTTCGCTTTTCACGTACTTGGAGAGGTGCTGGTAGAGGTCCTTGAAGGGCAGGTACTCGGCCATGCAGGCACCGTCTAAAATGGGGTGTGGAATATACCAACCGTGGCAAAGGGTAGAACCTTCCAGCTCAGCATAATGCCCTTTGGTGGACAGGAGAGCAATTGCACATATCTCCTTGTCAAAATGGTGTGCTGTTTGATTACATTTGGGTAAAGGCGAATTACAGAAACAGATAAAGGATGTAAAACTAGAAAAATATCAATTTACCCAAATGCCGTTACTTACATAGGGTTCAGTGGATGACAAAGATGAAGAATCAAAGGATTTAGTTGATGGAAATGTAGAATGTCATGCCGAATGATGGAAAATGCGGTCAGGAATTTGGCAATTTAGAAATCAGTTTACGGCTGTATGGCCAACCACGTTTAATAAGAATTAAGGTCAACATGAAGAAGCTACCAAACTTCCCGGTAGTTTACATAAATTAGAGGCAGAGAGTAAAATTCCAAAAGCGGCCAAAGATAGAGATGAAAATTGTAAGAAAGAGGGGTAAATAATTGTTCTTCGAAGGACTGATTATAATAAAAAATCTTTCGCATAGAGTATGTTTTCATCTCCCGTGACTTAATGCCCGAGAATACACAGTAATCACGTAGATGTGGAACAAACACTTTAAGGGGACAAAATAAAAGAATGCAACGCAATCCTTTGATTGTTTAACTTTGAGTTTCAGTTACGCGGGCATTCAAGGCTCTGCCATTGCACTTCCGTTCATCGGTACCCTCAGCTCCCCCTATAAATCAGGGGAACCCAGGGCCCTACATCTAAATTCCGAAAGTATTGAAGTCGCTATGTGCAATGAAATTTGTTCAAATAAAGCCATTTGATAAGTTAATAGTGAAAACCCATTTCAAAGATTCTGCGTCCCCTTGATTGGCAGTAACTGGGGTTAACAAGGTGGACGAAAGGGAGACGTGAGCGATTGCGGAATGCCACTGCAGGAATCCCCACTTTGGCAATGAGTAGAGCCATTTTATTAAACTACTGACAGTCCAATTCGTGAAAAAATTTGAAATTGTGCATGCTTTAGTTAATGTGAACAATTTTTCTTTCGGTGTGTAAACTTCGATGAAAAATCGCGAAACAAAAAACTCAAACCCTTCTTGCCGGTAGGAAATGCAAGTTTTCATGAGAATGACTAGTTGATAGGGGTAATTGAGCTTTAGGTAAACCGCTAAAAAGTGTGAAACCTTAACTCATCCCACTCACTAACCGATTTAATCTCTCGACAGAAATGAATACCATAAAAACAAAACACAGAGTTGACACAACGCATCATGCCAACTTAGTGAACGGTTTGCCGGCAGGCATGTGTCCGAAGTCCAGAAAAAAGTAAGTGAGAAAAATTGAAAAACGATGTTTTGATAAAGTGATATGCATTAAAACTAGGGCAAAAATAGCTGAGAGATGGATCGTAGTGCTTAAAATGGTTGCTACGTTTTGGTTGCGCTGACACTAAAGGGCACGACCATCATACCTCCGCCAAGCAGCAAGGCTTTCGTGTCAGTACATCGACCATGCATATTCCTACCCAGTATTATGTCTTATTTCGTCATTGAGGAATTTTCCGGGCGCCACATTGATGGGGGAGGGAAGCGGACCCGATCCTAAGGGACAGTTATCCTGATTTCCAGTACCAAATGCTGAGCTTTAGCGTGACGGAAGAAGAGCACATACTGCAGATGAAAGAATCTACGACGACCTCCAACGGAAGTGTTAAAAATGACGTCCAGTCTAGAGGTCTGTAGAAATGTTATTGACAACCGAAGCGACGCTAGATGTAAGCCATCTGGAAAAGTTGGCTACGGATCTGTCTACAATACCAGTTGAGTGAACACGTGATACCTCCTCCAAATCTACTAGCTGGTTAGGACCCGGGTGGATATGGCCGGTAGCACCGAAGTCTGATCTTAGGTCAACGTTCTTACTACTAGTGATGGTCATACTTGACGACGAGCACATTTCTCCGTCCTTCAATACAGTTCCCAAACAGGACGAATGCCCAGATCCGGTAGGATCGCCAAGTTCACTGACTACGTTGTGGGAGGTTGACCAAGGGGAGCGCCGGGAACGACGCTCGAAAGGAGGGATGGGCTATGTAAGGCTTTGATTGTTCAGCTTTTAGATTTGTTTACGCTAGCACTGAAGGACACGGCCATTGTACTTCCACACAGGGGCATGGCCTCCGGGCCACGCGGCTAGCCCCTCAACCTCTCTGTTACGTCGCTAATATATGACCTGCCCCAGTATGACGTTTTCTGTCGTCTTCAGGGAAGTCGCAGAGCGCTGAAGGATGTTAACCGATCAGAAAGTGTTCGCTTGATGGTTAAAATAAGTGATAATTAAACCTATGAAAATAAGCACAGAGTGCAGAAGCACGCATATTTATAAAAAGAAGTTGTAGTGTGCAGTTAAGTCTTGACTGTCAAGTTGATGAAAAGTTTGAAGCTGAATGCATTCAAGTTTCATGGGGGTTGCAGTACAAAAAACTATCGGTACTGGAAGCATTAGTAGATGATGCGATAACACTTTATCTATCATGAACAACAAAATTTACAAAATTATGCACGGTAAGTGAACCCCAAACTTGAGGATCGTAGAAGAAGTGCTAACCACTTGGCAAATTACTGTATATTGAACAATGAAACGGTGCGTTAGGAATGAAGAGAATAGAAAGGGCGATGGTGGAACACAGTCTCCTGCCAGCTTAGCGAATTTTTATCAACAAGAAAGCAGATATGTATATAATTTAGTGAAGCTAAACATTTAATCATATTTTTGTGATACGGTATGATATATTAACAGGAGGAAAATATAGGGAAATGATTGTCAATCCATCAATTACTCAGCAAATATTCGTTCAAAATTGTTGTAAAGTGGGGAGCATTAAAATATGCTGGCGTAACACAGTGTCGAAAATACAGTTACTTCATTTGGATATTGAAAAATCATCCATTTACTAAGGTATATTTTATTTAAGGTTCATTGGATTGATTAGCGATTGGAACAGTTAGAAGGAGAAGCGAACCGCCTAACTGTAGTGGATACAATTAAAAGACTTCGGTAAGTGAAAAAGGAGAAAACCATGACGTAAGGAATCAAAGGTGCACACCGTTTTACTTCTAAGTAACTATTTGGAAAATAATAAAGGAAGTCAAATGATTTACTAAAGATTTGGAATGAAGGACAGCTCTTGAAGGCACTGCTGAGCATTAAAACAAGCACCCACCTAGGCGTAAAGAAAAAAAGAAGAGATCTTCATTTTCATCTTTTAACAAAGCACCGAAGTGAAATACAGGGAGGCTAATGACTAATGAAACATTTCGAGCGAAATATCCTCTAACGGCAGTAAGGTAGATAAAATAAGGTCTGTGAGTAAAGGACCTGGGAGAGAGGAGGACCTACAATAAAGGAGAGCTGGAATTCCAAGGTAGGGGTAGCGTCCGTGAAAGGCAGTGTGAAGACAGGCAAGACCTTCCTCAATAGTCATGAGTTCACCACTATTTGATGCAGTGAGATCAAATTCCTTTCGTTTCGTGTACCACGGCTGTGTTCCATCATTATAAGAGCGCAGCTGGAAGCATAACAGAGGGTTTACAGGTAAGAGTAGCCAAAACAATTGGGCATTGAGATATAGTTTACTTTTAAGTAGCGAAGATGTAGATGTCTGTCGTGAATTCTTAAATAAGATAAACTCATTGAATAAGGTTTCGACACCTTACGTAGATAAAATTGCTGCTAAATAATTGGACTACATGAGATACATTTTTGCACACATCCCTCTTGCAAATCTATAAAAGTTGGGTAATATGTTCTTAAATATGAAAAATTAAGAACTGTGCGTGCGGGTTAGACGTGTTCGCGTTCCTGGTAGACAGTCGCGGCGGCCTAGATTATATGAGGCTCGCGTACGGCTAGAGGACTGGAGTACAACCGTACTCCTGGACACCACCCACTCGCGCATTTGTCGACCGTACCAATGCATAAACTCTGCCTACCAAGCACACAGGATCCCAGTCCCGCACCATCACCGCCTTTGGCTTCCCTTCCTCTAGTTAGACACTGTAGGAAAAACAGCTACCATACTGCTGTTATTACAGACCACATCCACAACAACCTTTCAAACAATGGGGCTATGGCTGTGTCTCGCGAATTTTTCGGTCGGTACTGCAAACCCGAAAGATAATTTCAAAAGCATACACCTCTCAAGCGAAATCGCGAAAATTAGTCAAAAATCTTAAGTTGTGGGAAGCCAAGGATTTAGTTATTTGGCATACGTTTATCAGTTTTACCTGTCTCTAATAGATGCACTGAATTAAAATGTAGAAGGAATAATGAAGAACCCATTATTGAGATTCCAAAACATTTCTTTACGCATTTCTACGAAGGGGCCTAACGCTTTTAAAAAATACATGAATGTGATAAGGAGCGTCAGTAACGTGTTAAGCATTTGACCAACTCTTCGACAAATTAAGCAGACACTATAATTCAGTATTCTACATCGACAAACGTCAGCACTAACTTCTTTTAATATTGAGTGGGCACAAAAATGAAGTATTTACGGTAGCTACCCACGGTGGAAAAATAGATAAAAGATGACAAGATTAGGGGTGCGAGGTTATCCAAGCAAATTTCTCGAAATAGGTGAAATACTAACACACTGTAAAGGAAATACGTCGTATCTTACATAGTGCGTCCCAAGTTCGTGATCTAGCAGAGACAAAATTCCTTGTTCTCGGAGATACGTATTTCCACTGTTGGATCTCAGGAGTACAGTAAAGTGACGATCGGACGCCTGGTACGGTAGTGCTGACCTCGAACTCACCATCAGTGCACTAGGGATTGGCTATTTGGTAAGATATATCTACCTTCCAATTAATTCATCACACCATATCACCTCCAATGGGGTGGGAAACTTCGCGGTTTTAATATAATGTACAACTTTTTCAGTTGCCTTCTCAATCGATATCATGGGACCATAGCTTGCTTCAACAAAACTGTCAATGGTTTTGAATCGCTTGATTACAATGCCCAATATTCGTTTGGCTTCACGAAACAAATTGAAGTGAATTTTACCATTCTGGTAAGGAATAATTTTTAGGAGTAGGACAGTACCTGCCTCAATAACCAACCTTCAATGTCAAATACAGGACTTGACAACGCAAACTGAGGCGTAAAATTACGTCTTAGAAAGCGTTCTTTCTGTTCTGCATCATTTTTGGGGGAAAAGGCACCCAAAAATTTTGCCGGTACCGACTTCTCATGCCTAACACAGACACCATCGACTAAATCTTGTTTCTTTTCGTCTCTGTCAGTGGCTTCTATAATATCTTCCACAACATCTACCATGTTGCTACCTCAAAATCTGTGAGCACAGAAGCCACTACATACATACATCCACCTGAGGCAGTTCAAAAACGTCACATAGCATATTACGCTAATCTAGTAGGGCAACAAAACAAAAAGCCCGCAAAATAAAGTGTAGATGCATTTAGGCAAATCTCAAAAAAAGAAAAGAAAATGCGTAAAACAAGACTTGTAAAACAATTTTGCTTGAAGTTGGCCTAAAAATTCAGTAAAATACCTATCGTATGAATTTTGAGAAGGCGACAACGCTTGAAAGTTGAAAAATTTCTGCGTACTCATTTAAAATCACTGATAGCTGTGTTCTGTTGAACTGTGTGCTACCTACCCAATTACTAGGACGGCGTTGTTAATAGCCCGAATGTAATACGATGGTGGTTTATCCCTCTGTACTGGTGAGGCGCTACTTTTGAACATTTGAATTTGTCTACTTGTATCCCGCTGAGTGGGCTGGTCTTGGGGCCATGCCAGTAGCCCAAACACCTTCTCTGTGCTGAACATATATTCTGCTTGAGCAATGTGCCTTCTTTCGTCTTCAGGGAAGTCTAGGGACGCTACACAAAGGTATTACCAGTCCAGTACACTGACTAAAATGATTGTTGTTGTGATTGTCTACCTCCGGAGGAAAGGAGGGCATAGAATGCTCACAAGGTTAATTTCCCCATTGGGGAAATAAGATAAATTTACGGAAAAAAATGCTTATTAAATGATACACACTTCACGGAATTCATAAATTTGTAGGTCTTGTAAGTCCTAGAGTATCTCACAACCATCTCTTTCAGGGATATAATGGTGTGCTTTTATGCATACATTGCACCTTAAATTACAGATGACCGAAAACGATTTGAGGGAAAAAAAGACAGAAATATGTTTATTTTGGGCTCTGGAGACTTCGCTAAAGTCCTAACATACATTGGAGCTAGGAGTTTGTTAGCGAGGCCTAGAGGCCATACCGGAGAGGGGACGTACAGCCGTAGAAGACTGAGGCACCTGTGCTTCTCGATGCAGATAAACAAATTTGGAGTTACGAAAAAGGAAAAGAAATTGTAGGCGAAAAGCAGAAAGCATGTCTGGAATTTTGTAGCAGTTGAGAATAGTGGGAAATTGCCACCAATAACACTTAAACACAATTCAGCAAACTTTTTGTGCAAATATATACGGTATTGCGGACTCGTCGTTTTGGGCTATTGGCGCTTCTTGTATACGAGCATTGACAAATCTTATGAACTAGTCAACTGCTACTTTTGTAAGTGATGTTAAGACAAAAATAAAATTAGCCTAAAAGAGATTTGTTGCATTTGGGGTAAAGCGGTCTCTAGTGATTTATGGCTGATGGGACCCCTGCAAACACCCTTTTCATCAATTTAAAAGTCGAAACTTCAAATCCCTCCTCTGTAAAAGCATGAATTTACTAAGGAAAAGAGGGCAAATATGCCAATTTATGTAAGCACACAGGGTCTTTAGTCTCTATAGTTTGCGCTTTTTTCTCACGGTACGGTCTTCTTTTCATATCTTCATTCTCCTATCCCTTCTGGATATTGACAACAGACTATTCTACATCAGAAACATTATATTCTGATTTCATCTTCCGAAGCACAAGAAAAAAGCAGAAATATTATTATTAATTATTAGTAGTGTTTCCAGTGAAAGGTAACAGGAGATTAAGATTCCCCTTCAAAAATTTGAAAGGTGATTTTGCCCTAGAGGAAGTAAAGGAATAAGGATCCGTGAAAATGCTTGCAACTATAGTAGCTAAAAGTAAGTTTTGGAAAACTATGCTTGAATGGGAGCATCATGAGAACCAAATGCGGATGACCTCAATGTCTTTAAAGCATTCGCTATGACCTCTGAGAAGACGAGTGAAGCCGGGAGTGTGAGTTTAATTGTACGTGCAAGCTTCATTTACGAGCTTTGATTCCAGGCAGAAAAAAAGAAGGAAGTAGTGACATTTCTGTCGATAAGATTACACATCTGCAGTAATAAATATGTCAAAAGAGGGTGGCAATGACAGTTGGCGAGAGCAAGGGTTAAAATAGCATATAAAACTACTTAAATAATGAGTAGGCGCTGAGTGAATAAATAACGTGTCGGTGTCACGCCGCCCAAGTGGCACATCATCTGCAGTTGTCATTGTCAGTGTTTGTATGAATTTGCAGCACACGGTACACACAATCACAAGGAGGAATGCGAAGCTGATGGAGAACAAGCCAGGTACTTAAAGGCACGTGATGCTACTGAATTAGCACAAGTAGTACCCATCCACTCATTCCATTGCTGATCGTAGCTGCACACTTCCCTCCACCATAGTATTCGGTTTGCTCATCATTTCAACCCAAAGGGTCCGCTCTGTACCAGTTGCATCCATGCCAAAGCCCGATTCTACAAAAGATTAGTGCATAAAGCAATTGACGGAGAGACGGGTGGATGGATAGTGGTGGAACAGTGAAGCAACTCACTTGAACCAGTGTTGAGATTGCACCCACCAAGGTAATCATAGTGACCCAACTTATTGACATCCCAGACAATAACCTCCACGCCGATTGAGGGCAATTGGGTTTTTGCTATTCCCTTGTAAACAAGAGTCTCCTCCCAGGTTGGATTGTTAGTTTTTTTCACCACCTTTGTTTTGCGTCTGGAATCCTTTGTTCTCTCTGGGAGAAGGTGACTAAAATTCCGTAAAACGGATGTTAGGCTTATAGTGTGGCACACTCATGGTGTCGCGATATGCTCTGTAAGTAAAAATTTTAGTCTTTTTATGCAGCAACAGAGGTAACTCACGTTTTCACTACAGGATTGAGGGAATTTTTTTGGTCCGACTCCCCGGATGCACCTACCGGAACATTTAAATCTGTCGCGTTTTTCACATAGACTTGGAGTTCACCCAAATCACCCTGTGTAGCTGGAAGAAATTTGAGACCCAAGCGGATTCGACCCTTCGTAAAATTGTAATCAGAATTGCCCTCCAAGGAGCCCTATAAGTTTGAAAATAAACAAAAACTTGTCTTTTGTTTCGCATGGGAGAAAAAAAGCGTGGAGAGAAGAATACTGTCTGCACCGTAGGCCAGGTGGAGTAATGAACTTTGCATTTGAAAAGTGGGGCCATTTTTTGGGTAGGCTAGTTGTTTAACTTGACAAATAAATTTAATCTAAGCGATTTTTGCATCCGAAATGTTTTTTTGCTTTTACTCTTGGGCGTGCCGGTGGATTTGTTTATACAAATTATTCATAAACATCGGCACATAGCGAGCTCACTGTTATTTGACGCAAAAACAACCTCCATTCTACTAAACAACAAAATGATTGTTGAAAATAAGCAAAGTAATGAATAGTCTTTTTCTGCATACGTGAAGGTTACTACATCCCGGTTTGTGTCCCTTTCAGCTTTGTCTGACAACAAGGATGGGTAAGTATTTGGGCAACTTGACAATCGGTCAAACCCAGTGACCCGGGCCAAAAGGAAGGCGTTTTTAAGCCTCTACACAGGTTTAAGCGTGGACTTAATATACTTGCTACAGATTTGATACGCTCATTTTCTTACTCAAGTGTAATATTTTACTTGTTTGCCTAAACTGCGGATTTTGGCAGTGGGTCGCTCAGTGCTCCGCCATTGTACCTCCCTGGGTGGATGGCCTCCGGGCTATGCCAGTAGCTCCAAGCCCTCCTGTACGTCGACAATGGAGACTCTGCCCAAGCATTATGCATTCTTTCATCTTTAGGGTAGTCTTGAGGCACTACAAAGGCCCGGTAATACAAATATGTGACATACAGTCTTCCTCATTCTTATGATTACTGGCTGCATAACATCGCGTAGCAAGCAGATTCTTCGAGTTTGAAACAGAAACGTGGGTGTGCTAGATGTTCATAGCCTTAGAAGAATGTCTTTTTTAATCATTTTAAGCGCCCAGTTTGGTAGTGCATGTGTTTGACTTGTGAAACACCTGGGCTGTGGTGGCAGATTGCCCTCTGCGACCTCGGTGGTGCATCTTGAAAGTTGACTGTCGGATGATTAGGAGGAATAGGTTGAGCTAAATATGTGAATGTTTGTCGCCCTGGAGTATCGAACACTCAAATTAATTGAATCCGGAAAATTGTTTTGGGCACGTTGCATTTAAACCCACAAAACGGTTAAGATTGCAGTCATTCGTCACCTAGTAGTAATTATAATGCGGCTTTTAATCGGAAGCTACTGTAGTACTCCAGAGAGGCGAACAATGGAGGGCTGAGCTCAACACGCTCCCCCTAATTATCTGACAATCAACTTCAAGCACGAGCTACCGAGGTTGCAGGGAACAATCAGCCTCCACAATTCAGGCGTTTTCCGATTCTGACACGTTGCTAACATGTGTACTACCTAAGTGGCCACTTGAAATGCCACTTGATAACCAAAAAAGCATAATTCTTCTCCGACTAAAGACGCCTCGCACATCTACTTTACCGTTTTAAACACAAACAATCTGTTTGTGACAAAATGTGGTGCAATCAGGCACCATTAGAATGATAAAGGATGCACAGCGGGCGCGACTAGGCAAACCGGAGGATCAAATCTGTATGAAATCTGCTGGACACCTAATTTATCCTAACTACCTTTGCCACTTTTAAGAATTTTAACATTAACCTAAAAGGGTGCGGAAAATTTGTTCACTTACTCTATTCTGAAGAGCCCTCCAGATCTGCGTTGAGCTGAATCGATAGTCGGCTAGAGGAACAAGCACCTCTCCCAGGAAGAGGTTCGCCTTCATATGACGATGGTGCCACAGGGAGAGTTGGAGAGTTCGGTAGGCTAAATCCGACTTTGCGATGGTGTAAACCAACGCCTCGTTAAACACCGGATTGGTGGAGTTCTTCTTCACTTTGGACTTTCGCTTACTCTGCTTTGTCTTATCCGGCAGGAGATAGGTCTTCACATACCTGTGATGGAGGGAGGACAAAAACCACATTTTTTATTCACTCTCTGAGCATTTTGACTAGGGGTTAGCCTGCTAAATTATTCTATCTCCCGCGCGTAACCGAGACGATAAAATGGCTTGGACCACGAGTGTGAGCTCAAGCCAAAATTAGCAGTTGCGGGAGAGAAGAGGGGCTATTTTTGCCATGCAAAGTGGAAGAGGGGAAAGCCGTCCTTTTTTTATTATAAACGTCTCACACCGAGCAGCACGTTTAAGCATTGTTTCGCACTGACAACCAACTAACTCATACACTCGCCCTCTAAACCGTCGTGCGATGCAGGGGAAAGGAAGTCCATAAATCTTGTTAACTCAAGAGACTGGCAGTATGATTAATTCTTACAGTCATTACAGGGTTGACCGGCTCTCAAAAGTAAACAAGGGCCACAGTGGACATGTAATGCAAAACTGCTACACTTTAAACCAATCTTGATAGTGGTTAGCACGTTGTAAATTGTTTAGATTACTTAATATTAAGTTAACTTAGAGTAGGTCTTTGTCTATAAAGTAAGGATTTTATTTTAATAACATTGTTTTCAATAACTTTGCAAAGTCTTGCGAGACACTTTGCTGTGATACTACTGAGCACAAAATTCAGTAGTTGGTTTCAAGATTCTAAAAAGACCCGAATCTATACTCCTTACAAATTCTATTTTGAAAATTTATCCAATAGAATGACGTAATATTGAGCTGAAACTGAGGCATAGGTGACAGAGTGTTGTCTGGACGCTTTGCAAACCAAAGGATTGCATTCTGGTAAAGGCCTCCAATGCTGTTATTCGATGAGGAATTGTTACCATGGGACCGCCAACAGTGGCGTAAAGCTGACATCGGCAGGATAACAAAACGCAAGTGCCAATTTACTGTCAAAAAAAACCTCCCACGAATTGCATATGGTAGATTTTGCAATGGGAAAGCATAAAAAATAACGCCTCACTTTAGTGATGAGGCAGAATTGATCCATCAAAAAACAAGGCTGGAATTGGCAGCGTTTTCGGATAAACTGGCGCACAACAAGGATGACGCCAGGGCATTCTTTGAAAAACTTTTCCGAAATATGGTAGGCAGGGAAGCATGACGCCAATGCAATTAGGTTTTCTACACATTCAGCAAAAATATCCAGACAATGTTGTCGACATATCTTGAAGGTATGACTAAGATTGCCTCTTTTGGACTATTCTCTCCTTTACTCCCAGGAATAGTTGTCCACTTACCTTACTACTCCTCCTTGCAAGAATTTGCGCAGCTCCTTTAATCGTTATCCGTGGTGATTGCGCCACAGCTACTCCTGACTAATAAAACTGCCAACAAAGACAATTTTTTCCCTTAGGTAGGAGGTTGCTTACGCAAAATAACAAGATCACCTTGGCAAACTCATAATATCTGTGGTGTGAATGCCCCATTACTTCAAGTTATAGCCGACTTCTCCGTTGTCGACCAGTCCAGACACCAAACATTAATCTAATTGGCAACAGTGAGGGTGGACGCCTGTGGTGGTAAGGTTTTCCTTGAGCAAAGGCATAAAACCGAACCCACCAATGTCTACTCGCGGACAGGGCTCGAGGTAAAAAAACAATGAGGAGTGGTCTGGTTACTGTTTGATGCTTTAGTGTCGCGTACTCGTCAGTAACGATCCTGACCGTGATGGTTCCTAGTCAACGGTAATGCAGCCATTCCTGTAAGCATTCAGCCATCGCGTGGAGCGCCTGATCGAGATGTAAAAATACGGTGACAAATCCTGCTGTCAGAATAGTGGGCAAAATGCATTTGTCCAAAAACACTGCAACAGAGCTTTCACCATTGGTGACGGAGCAGAGCGGGCTGGCCTAGGACGACTCAGCCATGCTGGTAAAACTTCTAATACAAAAGTGTCAGGGGATTATGTTAAAAAGTGATACAGTTTCAATTTCCATCAGAAAATGGATGGAGGAACACCTACGTGCTCGAGCTGTTTGTCTTCTTATCGGCCTTAGCCACGTCGCGCGCCTGTTTTACGAAGATCCGCAGTGAGCCGCTCTTGTCATCGTAGTCGATGGAGAAACTCAACTCCCCGGTGATGACAATGCCGTGGGTGAAACTCTCCTCCCTTTCGCTGTAGACACTTGTCACTGAGCCGACACTCACCTTGAAGTAACACAATACACGCAAAAATTCAAAGTATGTCACCTTCACTGGGTGGTCACCTTTGCTAGCGAATTTTACAGACTTTGCGTGTAAGGTACACCCCAGTTTGGGGAATAGCACGTATTTCAGTAAAATTGCTAATGAGGAATTCAACCAAGACCTAGTGATAAGTAGAAGACGAATTGCTGGATAGGTTAGATAAGGCACATGAAATTGATGCTCTTAAAACTAGTAAAACCCGCATTGTTTTGAAGAGATAGTCACCCAAATTTCACACCCTATGCCAATTCTCACGCATTAAACTCAAACGAACAATTGTTTTTGATACATTTGTTGTTTTAAGCACGCTTTTTGTAGCACTTAAGCACACAATGCATCCAGTGCGCTTTAAGGAAATTTTTAATGTGAACATAGAACCCTAAATTGGCAGCCAGTAGTCCCAGATGGACCGTCTGTCGCTTAGTTACCGGCAATTTAGTAATCTCAACAACGCATCTCACGAAATTATAATAAAACCTCATAACTAAGGTGGCGACTTATGAAAATCTGCGATTAGGGGAAAATAATTATTTATCTATGCCAAAAGAGGAAATTAAAAATGTGATTTTATTACCACACCGAAAGTCATTCACATGGAGTTATTGCCGAAGCGTGTTTTCCGAGCTGTGTACACAACCGAAGTAATTATGTTTACCAAACCGTTTCCATCCTTCAACCGTGCGTTTTTAAGGAGGGAAAGAAGTGAGTTGGATCTCTGAAGGATTAAAAACTCATTTACAACACCCTGATTCCTAGTTTGACCCTTCGTTTTCCTTACTCGAGGACTGAAGGCTTCGCTTCTGTGCTCCCACCGGGCGGTATCCCCTCCCAGCAATTCCAACAGATCCCAGCTCTAATCTACGTCGGCAGTACATATCCTACCCCGGTGTTATATCTACTTCCATCCTCAGAAATGTCTCAAGGGGCTATATTGGTCGCAGCGGAAAGTAGGCTCGATTCTAAAGGAAAACTACTCCGATTCCTATTACAGAAGAGGGTTATATGCTGCGGATGGGAGAATCTGTGACGACTTTCAACAGAAGGATTGAAAATGACTGCTACATTTGGCAACTGCCTGAGTCTCATGTTCTGTGGGAATGCCATTAACAACTGAAGTGACACCATCCGTGAACCATCTGGAAGAGTCCATTACGGAGCTGTCTAAGGTACCTGTAGGAGGATATCAAATAGGCGAACACGCTGACTGGTTGAATTAAACCCAGATAAATATGTGGGTGGACAACACTGAAGTGAGAACAAAGTAGCAGCACATTTAAATTTTGTCCTTTGCCAAATAATTGCTTTGAGGCAAGTGTTTTGGGACTAGGGATGGGCACACGTGATGCCTATTATAGTCCCTCTTCCCAACGCACTTTTCAAACTGGAAAGAGCTTCAGATCCAGTAAAACTACCAGGGGGAATCAGTGACGTCGGGGTCAGATATCTTCGTAGATGCATGCAAATTCATTGACCGGTGCGGTTGGTTCGTGGGTGTATCTCTTACAGCACCGACGCAAGAGATTGACCAAAGGGAGCGCCAAAGACAACACTCAAAAGAAAAGAGAAGCTATGTAACACTTTGATTATTTGTTCAACTCAAAGTCTTGGTTTCAAGGCCACTGAAGGTTCCGCTCCTGTACTTTTGCTTAGGCGACATGGTCTCTGGGCTACGCCAGTAGCCCCCGCCCCTCCAACCCTACTTTCGTCTTGAGGGAAGTCCAGAGGCGCTACATATTCATGGTGCTACCTGCTAGAGTAGCATCCTCAGTGGAGCAGATCGCAAGCTGCCTAAATGAAGTGGAGACCAATGCCACACCGCCTCATACACTCATCACATTTGAGTCACACACTCGTCTTCAAGGGCTGAGTTGTAGCTTTACCAGCTGTGATGTAACATTCTGCGTCTCATCAATCAGGCTTGGCTAACAATCGAGCAATTTTCGCCTACCATCAGTTAGGAATCATATTTTTAATAGTATAAACAAATCACGAAGGAGAAGACTTAGCGGAAACTGAAAGGTAGCAAACTGACCACTCAAATGGATGACCATTCACATAGGCATTAACGAAGAAGAAAAAAAACCACTTTTCCAGAATGAAATGAAAAAAAATTTAGTTCAATTGCACGATGAATCAATCCTAAGTATTCCCACAACTTTTCTTGTTCTTTTAGCTTCTGCATACACCAGGATGGAATAGGAAAGCCACAAATCACCTACTTATTTGATAATTAGCGTGGCGAGTCAATTAGGTGCGCTGAGCAACACTTTCACCACCTCCTGTAAAGCAAAGCAATCTCGAAGCCCTCAAAGACATTCAACCAATCGTAAAAAATGGTGCGAATTCGCCTCGTCATTTTAACGACGTGTGTGATGGGTATTTCGGACCCACTTGCAACCGCTGACGGCGATTTGACTCACTACGCCGCTTTCCAGAACAGAGGGGTGTAATCTGAGGGTAAACACTTATTTAAAAACATTTTTTACAAGCTTTTCAGGCAAATTTCTGCAAGAATTGCCTCCGGATTATTGACGCGACTTCGCAAATCGTCGCCCCCAGTTTTAAAATGGTGGTCACATACCCTGGGTTTAGTCAATTAGACCTGAAAAGTCCCTGGCGAAAACGCATCGCCTGTCAAAATGTCATCATGCTACCTAGCAAGAAGTCACTTTCACATAACCTTGGTCTAATAATCAGAAAGACGCAATTTTTCATTTCAGGAAAACGATATTAAGCAGGACTCCCAAAGTTTTCTCACGTTTCGTTATTCTGTTATCCCACCGCTAAGAAGGTTAATTGCCACCCGACTTTGGCAACTTTGCAATTTCTTATCGTGAACTCCTAGTCAGGTAAAGAGGGCTCTCAGTAGTAAAATAACTTCATTTCCTAGTAAATTTAAACTGAATTATTTAAAAGAAGGTTTTAAGACACTGCAAGACGAAAGAGGTTAGATTAACCCACCCCACTGAGCATAGACCTGTTGTCCCAATTGTTTACATCGGAGTAGCCGGTGAGGGTATTGGGGGTGTTGTACCCGGAGCTGCTCTGTTGTCGTGACTTCATACGAGGGAGGGTCTTGGGCAATTCATCCACACCCGAGAAGATCACGTTGAATGCCAACTGTTCCGCTCCCGTGGCTGGTGATAGCGGACGAGGCTAGCAAAAAAAATCCGAAAAGGAGTGTAAAAACGAATCCACTGTGTGAATGTGGAGCAGGGTGTCCCAACTAGCTGCAGGAAGCTTGCCTACGGGTTAGCTAGATGAATGCATCAGAATGTAGATTAGAAAAAAGAATATTTGGGGAAAAAATGAGTTTACTTATGCGAAATAAGGGACACAAACAATGGGAAAAATGGGAATGCGATAAGGAGGATTAGCGCACAAAAAACCAAAACGAGGCGCCTGATGGGAGGGAGAGCGGGGGAGTAATAATGCACCAAGGTTGAATATGCTGCATTATTTAAATGAACCTGCAACGTTCAGCTGTTAATTAGTTCTGAACAAGGAGGGAGCCCTTCAATCATGGCACCTACGGGGCATGGACTCCTCGTGTTAAAGGGGCTCGCAACTCCTACGAATAAGGGCGGGTAAGTCTCGTGAGGAACCTGTTAATAATTGTTGAGGAAATTACGCAGTAAAGTTAATGCGTTTTCGCAGTTTTGTGATGTGCCTGAGGATTGTGAAACACTTTCACCTAGCAGATAATCACCCTTCGCAAGGTCAGGAAGTGTCACAACTTGACGCAAAGCTACCGCAGATCTGAGGCGAATAAAAACCCACCGATCTAAACTAATCTAATAAATGGGTAACACCGTAGGGATTGAGAAGCAAGGAAAATGCGCGATTTCGGATGTTAGAGAGAGCGGTGCCAACAACAGCGTATTTCGGACGCATCCCCAATATTGGATGTAGCACAATCCTCTGAATTGAGTAGTATATTTACTATTTTTTTTAAATAACGCCAATAGTGTGTTTCGTCGTAGCTCAAAATGGTCACGTCATGTGGGTGGCGTCGATTTCGGGGCTCCAGGATACAGGCTGAAGGTGTGACAAGAACAGCTACTTCGTGGCAGGTTGAGCACCGCCACTTTGGGATGTCAAGTTCGCCTATTCACTGCGGAATGACAGCCGCTTACTTTGAGAGATAAAAAAGCATGCAATAGGAGCCGGTTAAAACTACTATGTGATCTAACGCCTCCACTGAGACAGTCTGAGCTTTCAACTACAATCATAGCTAAGATGTCCATTGGTTGAAGAAACCAAGGGCTTCAGGTTAAATTTTCGGGAATCACAAACCGATTTATATTTAAATTTGCGGTGAACAAAAAAATGTGTTACCCTAAGCGTTTGAGACCTATTTTGAATGCTTGCTGTGGTGGAGGACGCCGAACTTAGGCGACGTCTTAGATCGGTCACTTGCTGAAAAGGTAAGAGTGGTTATTTTGGTGAGAGAACTCAATATATCCGCATATCAGGAGACGGATATAGGATCTTACTACCGGGGCAGTTCCATTTCTTCTCCGCATGCTTGAAAGTCCTGAGGTGTCGGGATACACTTGACTATTGCTTTCTTCAGACGGCTAAAAATTGTGACATGCCAACAATTCACTTTGTACTCAAACAGTAAACACCTGGATTCCACATTTCGCATACAGTAGGTAGATCCTTTTGACACCTAAGCATGACTTTGGATTATTGTTGGTTTGTCTAACAACTGAACACCCATTAGCCTTAGTCAACTCAAGCTGCAGGGCTTGGTTCCAACTAGCAGATGTCTGACCATGCTCTATATTAATTCTAGTGATTAAAGCTAATACTTAAGACAAGCATATTAAAGTGAGGGCATTAACGTTGTTTTGAAAATGCTTTAAAACACGACCCATTCAGCTGACCTTTACCCAGTTATGAACTCCAAGTACAAAATGTTGATGCTAATTCCCACTAATTTGACACTAAGATGAATCTGAATGCTCACAAATTCTTAGAGGGAGGTCGAAGACTATAAAATTATGCTCAATAATCCTTACAAAACAAAGTAAAGGCATCTAATGCACTTTAGAACCAGCCAGTGAAGCAAATACATTGGCAACGCCCAAAACTAGATTGATGTTTCAGGCATTTACATATGAAAACTGACGAGCACTCTAAACGTCCACACTTCAGCGTAGAAATAAATGCACAGTTTGGTGATTAACGCTGGACATAGACGGTATCTTTAAAGGGGGTACTAGACAGGGGTAGTGTTTCCAAAACCAGCTTATTTGCGGTCCTTAATCTTACTGTTTTCTTTTTCAAGTTACCAAAATTACTGTATCGTCTTGTTTCGCTTCATTAGTTAAGCAAGAGGCAAACGAATTCTAGGTTTGCAGTACAGTGCCTAGATGCTTTTACAGCTAAATGTGGGTGCTGGTTGTGATTCATTTTTTTGGGTAAATATAAAATTCCTAAACTAAAAAAATGTTTTATTATCCTTAGTGTGAGTGGAATAACAGGCATTGCTTTGAAACTATTTGGTTCTACTGGCTAAGTTTGCCGTCAAATAAAGTAGTAAGTACTGAGACAAAGTGAGGGGAGAAAATTTACTCACTTTTGTTGGCACTTTAATTTCAAACGCATTCCTGTGGCACGCCTCAAAACAGGAACCAATCATCACTTACGAACTTTGAGTACAAATCTTGTAAACTTTTTAATAAGTTCAGGTTAAGAACGCAGTACAAAGCTGATCTGATTCCATAGGTTGTGATTCCCTCACGGGAATAAATCGTGAAGAATAATGCAACCTCACTACTAAAAGAAGGCTAACACGACAAGATAGCAAAAATTAAATCACTTTGGGAGATTTTTTAAAATAAGTAGGACATTTAAGTGGGGATGTTTAAAATGAAAGGTCGCTTTTAATTATTTACACAAAGGAAACGAAACAGATATAATTACTGCTCAAAACACAAGTTGGAATCGTAAATATCAGCCAGAATACCCATGACTTGTTTTGAACGCCTGCTTGGGTATATAATGTCGAACTTAAACGACGTCCCCGCTTAGTCGTCGAATGAAAGGTTGATTGCAAGTGTTTTACTATGGAAGGTCATTTAACACAACCGCGCGTAGGAGGACGGACAGGCCTCGCTATTACCAAATCATTTACCGTCCTTCATCGCACACATCAGTGTGCTGATGAATTTGGGGTCAATTGATACCCATTTTCTGACACTTCCACAAATTGACGAAGGCGGAAACTTTTTGTTTAAATATTTCACAGAAAATAAAGCCTACTTTAAAATTACTTCAAAAAGTAACCACTAAGTAATTTCTTGGAGTTACGTTTTTGGAGAAGAATACATTATTACAGTTTAAGCTAGCTCATGGCATCAAGGACAAGTCATTGCTGCAAACAAACAAAATAACGCAGTAAAGTGAAATAGTGATAGGTATATTTTTATGCCGACTTAAAATCCATAGCACCAAACCTTATTCTGGGAATAACACATATTACTGATAGCCCTTAAATTCGCCTATGAAATCGTATAACAAGGAGTCAAGCCTTGGAGACTGAACGACCACAGAAAGGCGTAAAGTAACATGAACTCCAGGTAATAATAGCACGCCGAGAATGAAACGTATGTATCTTCAAATCTATAAAAGCAAGTTTGAGCCTATTTCGGTCTAATGGTCATGGGCTTTGATTCAACCAACACAGATTGCAGGGCATGTAATGTAAAATAAACACTTTAATTGCCACGATTGTTTGCAGGATATGGATAGTTGCCTCACGTGGAGGAAATAAGGGGTCCATGGGAAAAGAGCATATTTGAAATTATGTATGTAGTCTCTAGATTATATTGGGAAAGGGAAATAAAGGCCAGTACCATTAGACTGACAGGAGAATTACACATTGAGGTACAAACAAAGTCCTCTATTATCTAAAAAGGTGTTCGGATTTTTCAACATAATTGCTTGGTTACGCTCCAGGTTCTAGTTGGCTACCAGGAAATAGGGCGTAAATGTTAAGTAACCGCTAAAGGTACAAATGAGTCTTAAAATGGGCTCCTAGTTTATAAATAAAAGCAGATTATGCGAATGGACAGGTATAAAGAAGTTTATGAGTAAGATAAAAGGAGTAAGAAAATGGGTAACATAACTGAGCGTATTTTAAAGCTCAACATGGGTTGTTTTAGTCTTCCACAAAGCGCTTTAGCTTTGCGTTATTTAGTACAGCAAAAGGGAGGGGTGAATAAGAAGGTTGTTTTCAAAGCAAATTTTAAAGGTTTTCTAAAGGAATACAGATTTTCCTAAAAATACGTACCCACGTATCTATGAAAAAAGATGTCGGTGTAAAAGGCGAGGAGTTACTTACGGGGCGTTGCGAAGTGTTAGAACTCAAGCTATGGTCTTTATCGTTTTCTCGTGCCAATCTTCGGGCTGCCTCCTTCACGGGCTGAAAGTGGTGATGATTGCATTGAGAATAACATCCTCATCAAAAAGGACTTGATTGTTTCGAGACCCTGATGTCTCCCCTTTCTCATTGCAAGAAATTAAATCTTAAACATAGGCGGCCAACTTGAATTAATAAGGAATAATAGAGCATTTAAATACTAACTGATCGAAAATGTCTAAACATAGTGAAGGGTTTGTCACGCAAGCCAAAGCAAAGTGGAAAATTAACTAAGGTAATGGAATTTTTTGGGAAATTCATTAAGAGAGCTGCAGCTTTGGGTCTTTTTTTGAGTGAAAAAGTATCTGCGAAATTAAGCTTTCTTTATGACCCTCATCGATAAGTGACGGCTTTGTAGCCTTTTTGACGCTTCAAAGTCAGCAATCGAAGCCAGCTTCCTAGGCCATCAAACTCAAATGAGGCAGTGTGAGACACAATATGTTCAAACTAAAAAACAGTTTGAAATAGCGTTGCAATCTTTCCTGTATTTAACAGCAGAAGGAAGCATTCCGACTCTCTTGGGGTAGTCACTGCATTACACGAAGGTGGAAGCACTTTTAAAATGCTTGTAGGAAGTTAACGATGCATGAAGGATGCTCTCATGTATCACTTAAAATGCACGAACATAATGCGAAGCGTCGATGAAGTATGCGAAAGTAAGATGTTCTATGGACGATGATTTGTGGAGTACTTGTTATCAACCTAGTCGTAGTCACCAATTAAGGCGCAAAACAAGGCTTAACTTATATTGCCGCTTGGCATGACTTAGGATCAAAAATGCACATGCCAGTGAGCATAATGCAACTTACGTCGGTGATTGACCCATTTTGCCCTAAAAATGTAAAGAGAGATGAGTAAGTGGATAACCCCGAAGCAATTTCTTAACCTCTATGACGAAAATGAATGTCTACTACTGAATCTACTGAATACGATTTTACTTCTATTTGTTAGGCACACATTTAGGCAGTTAAATCTACTTTAAACTAAGTACGGGAGGAAAATTTTGCCATTAATACAAAATAAACTCACTTTGTGGAGTTGGCTGTAACATTCCGACGACAGAGGAGGCCGCGCTTTTTTCTGCCAAAATAAACAGAAGACAATGCAAAACTACAGTCGAGATTAGGGGTCCTTAGTTATCCTAGACAAAGCCATGCCATGAAGTAATTTAAATTTTGACAAGATAATTGATTTAAGGTTCAAGAAGCGGAAATGTTCGAGCCTGCACCTTATCGCCTCAACAATTTTTGTGTACACGATTTGGATATTGGTACATAATTAATGTGTTTCCGGAGATTGCAAAACAAGCCTTTGCCCAAATTCCCCTGATTAATTGAAGGCGACATTTTGGAGTAGCCTGTTTTACACACTGCTTAGCTCTCAGGAAGAGAGGTACAAACATAATACCGCTATGAAGCAGAACTTTACCCCCATCGCAGAGGCCTGACATGTTGCGTAAATACTGGGACAAATAATGATGAGAATAGGTAAAACTCCATTTTTTGATGAATTCCCAGAAATACGCACTACTAGCAGTTGGCAAGTGTTGGCTTACTTTACTGCCTTCTGGCTACCAGCAGAAATCTGCCTGCCTAATAAAAGGTAGGTATTACAGCTGGAGGATAATGGAGGGGCAAATGGTCTTCCACAAAGCCACAAAGTACGCGGCCCAGACTAAATTATTCTTTTATTTACTCTTCTAGAAATGGCCAATAAAATGTTTTTCAGGAAAGAATTCCAAATGTTGAGGCAAACGTATTGCTGAAAGAAATATATTTCTAGCTTATGCGAATTTGAGCGGGGACTTGAAATTTCTGCCATTCATTTATTGGCACTGCCTATTGCTAACATCTGTAAATTTCCAAAATAACGCTACTTCATCGGCAAAATAACGTTACATCCTATTAGCTCTTCGCAACACCAAGTGAGCAAAATGTCGTACTTGACACTCGAGTATCACGAATGTGACCTAATGTGGCACCGAATGTCATACATCTTCAACTGCCCTAAGTGCTGATCAAAAGTAAAGAAAGTGACCATCTCCGCTTCAAGAATACTGCACACATGCTTTATCCAGCAACTCTGTTTGTGACACCATTAGGTGCGACTCTGTCACGTGTGATGTAATTGCGATGCCAGTGTCAAATGCACCGAATTTTTGAACCTTCTAGGCTGGAAAAATTGGTTACTTGTTAAATATATCTCGCATCCTACAAAATTTTTCGACACAATTTACCGCCTCATTTGAAGGTCATTGGAGATGTTTAATTTTGGCAGGAATAAAATGGGACAAGTTACTCCTAATTTAGCCGACCAAATTTAACTTTTATGGTGATTTGTGAAGACAGTTTTCTTCTGAATTAAGCCTTAATTGGCTAGCTGATGAGCTTGCAAACTGATGATACCATTCAAGCCATGCACACATACTGCGACACAATGGCAATCAAAAGGGGGTCAGATATTGTCAATTTTTGACTCTATCAAGCATTTTACTCCTGGGCGGTTTTATATGGTTACTTGTTCTACAGGAGGTCTGTTGAACCTGTTGCCCTCATATGCAAATTAGGTGAAGCAGTCTCTGCGTCACATATCCACTAATTCTCTGAACGACTGCTACAACGGACCAACTTCGAGTGTCCTTTGAAGCGGCAAAAGCATAAATCTAAACGATTCAATTCCTGAGCACGAGAAAATAATTACACAACATTGGAAAGCTTGAATTAGCATTGACGCAGTGAATCATGTATGTTTTGGGGCAATTAAATTGGTCTCCTATGTGCTCATCTTGTAATTCTGGCATGAAAAATGTTTTAACAAGGTTAAGTTTGTTGAGCAAAGGCTCCTCCTCCTCTAGTCACTTTTGCAGGGAGGGGAGGTCGTTGCACGCACTTTGTCACTAGCACAAAAGCTCTACCAATCAGCGCGAATCAATGGTTTTGAGCCTGCGTTGGTTCTACTCATCCCCATCATCACTTCATCATCACTCATCACTCACTCAGCTACACTCGCAAATGTAGGCAGCCACCCACACACGAACAGGTAAGGTGGTGATGGGGACCACTGGTGGTGTTTATGATCTTCCTTTAAACTCCACCTCCACCACCGTCGAGTCAAAATGAGTCATACATTCGAGAGTGCCCCTTTCAATAATACAGTCCTACAGATTAGGTACCACCGCTACCAAAGAAGACTTCACTTGGTAACAGGTGACTACATCAGGTCAGCACTCACGGGGTATTCAAAACAACATAAAAAAACCAGATCTGTTACCCCTTCGTTTGCGAATGAGAGAGGCCCGAAGAGCACTGGTAGGGGCTACTCCTATGACACGACCGTCTTTTTTCGCCACCTGTAGTTTTTCTGTGAACCAGAGACCTGTTCTCGCCTTGTTTGTGCTAAAATAGACAATATCATCAAGGCAGCAAGTGGAAAGATAGCCCGTAGGTTGAAATTAATCATGATTCTGAAAAAAAGTCAACTTCCATAAGGCAGAAAGAAGGGAAGTTATTTATAACTTTAGTGTCTTTCATTGCCTCTCAGGTACGAAAAGGGGTAAATACGCCAGATTTCTAATTTACAAGATCTCTGGAAGGAAAAGCGTGGGACTTGAAACGTTCCCGCTCCTCTATCGCTGAGCGCCTTTACAATTTGTTTTACATTCCTAGTTAATCTGATAAGTGGATGAAACCAAAAATGCTGTGAGATGCTTTCTTTATCCCTATTTACTCACTCCCCTGTGTGTGAAGGTAAGGCTCAAAATCTCTGATTACTTAATGGTTTTGAATTGGCGTGGAGGCTGGTTGGAGTACCAGGTTACCTGCCTGGTGTGTAAGGTGAGAGCAGTAAAGTCGCAAGATTTGTGTGTATCGTGACTAGGTGTGTGTTTTAGTATGTGTGAGCCCGCGAGTGCGGACTAACAAGACAACCGATCGTGCACACCCACAAGTCAGGAGGAGTGAACTGCCGATGCCTGCCCGCATCCATGGAGGAGCTCCATGTACCACCAAACAAATGGGTGGAAGCAGTCGATGCGGCTTCACTCTCTGCATGAACTAGGACCAAATTTGTCTCACCACACAACAATGATATACCCATCAGATTGGTTCTAATGACCTAATTTATTGTGCCAAAGGGTCATGTGCTGGAGTGGGGGTGGATAAAGATGGTAGGCCCATTTTACCGAGGCCTTTTATGTGTGAAAAGATATCAATATAAATGCCAAAGCTACTGGGTTTGATTAAAAGGATCTGTTCTAATTCACTTTTATGTCAATTTTTGGAGCTCTTTAATTTACACATTTTGTAAACAACCTCAACTTCCTTCTTATTCACCCATTGTTAAGTATTTGAGTTGCCTACTTGGTAAAAATACGAGCTAAGTATTATTTCAACTCACTTTATTCGCTACATTCATGAAGTAACAAAGGTGTACCAAATAATCACTCTTAGTTCACAGGGGAATGTTCTCTACTTTATAGGCTTCACGAGAACTGGGCGTCTAAAACATTGCTTTAGTTTACTCTCCTCTATGGTTTCAAGCCTAGCATGAATTGGACCGGCCACTTGCAAGAGTAGGGTAAAACTAACTTGATTTTGGAATAAAGTCATCCTAGGTTACATAGACCACAGACAAATGCTTTCATTGAAACAACAGCGGAAAAGGGATTAAGGAGATCGAACACCATTTACTGTTTTCCTCAGGTTCTGAGAGATACAAATCAAAATCAGCCTTGAGGAAGGACATTCATGCGAAGGTTAATACACTGCAGTCTTTGTAGACTGTTGCTTATGACACGAAAAATTGGTAGCACTTTGGTACTAATGACGTTGTGGGTCTAATCTTGAGAATCACTGAAGGCTGAAGACAAACATATCCTACGTAAGGAACGAAATACACCTTGATGACCAAAGCGACACCTTCCTCCATATTAGATCGTTAATAAATATAAAAAAAGATGTATTAAAGAACCCAACTAGTAATTCATTTTCTGGGAAGAAGAAATACCCGCTTAGGAGGTTTAAACCTTTACTACAGTCTAATTAGTCTACCTTTTGGTGTAAAGCATAAAATTATGCAGTCCAGCATATCGGCGCAAAGATTTATGGAGACCTACTGAGGTGGCATCTCACCAAGGCTGTATTCATCACCTTACAGGCATAAACTTGTCAACGCACATGAGTGCCTGGGTGGGAGGGAAAAGGGACGAGTCCCGTGTCAAGCCTCAAAAATTGGGGACCACCTAACGTGCTGTTAAGGCATACTCCTCTTAAAAGGTGATTCACAAATGAAAAGATAGCAACAAAAGAGCAAGAATTCTCAAAATAAAATACTTAAACATGTTCGCAGGGGGGGGGGGTAATTTGCGATTGTGCAAATGCCTAGCATAAAAAGCATTTTCAGGATCAAACAAGGTTTTGTCTCTTGACCAGCTTTGTGGTATCGCGAAGGTTAAATTAAATTGAAAAAGGTTCCTAAAAAAGCTCTACTTTTAAAACCGTCCCAACACACGTGCAAACGAGTGCAATTTTTGTGCTGCTTTGAAGGATTTTCTCCAGTCCCGACCAACAAGAGTATGAAGCTCCTATGCTTCCTCATTCAAAAATTAAAATTAATGCGGTATTAAGCAATGTTGCAGTATTAGCTGAAAATAAGTGGGCTCTTCTTGTAAGCAGTGAAATTCTCCTCAAACACAACTGACTTTCATTGTGATTTAAGATACATTTTACAAAATGCTTTGAGATATTCATTCACACCTAACTTGCACAAGTTAAATAGTGTTTTACAATAAAAAACAAATCACATACACAGCGACCCAAACGGCAGGCATGTATTCAACCTTTTTGAGCAGTTAAAACTTTTTAGGGATGTCAAGATGCGAAGCAGCAGCAAAATTTACAGATAGGTACAAGTATCGTCAGATGGGCTACTTCTTTATTAACAACTTTGATCCTTAGATGTAAATGTAAAATAGAAAATACGTCGATCCACTCAAAATATTTTATAGGTTATGACGTCCAAAAGATAACCAATATCATGTGCACTCATAGCATTAAACATGTAATTCCCAACCTGTCAAGATGTTAATGAGGCATTGAGTGATACTTGCTTAGTCTGAAAATACAGGCAAAGCATGAGAAAAATCCAGACTTCAGGCAAATTCGATTTACAAATTAGAGCACATGCAAAATGTGAAGTTTTTAATTGCGCATATCTCAAAATGCGTGGCACTACGGGCAAATTTAAACAGTAAATTGTAAGAGAATGGGTAGAACATATTAAGAAAACAAGAGCTCAAAGCTCCAAAAGTGTTTCTTTCACATACCACTCGCTAAAGCAGGCCCTGCAGAGGACGCTCTCTGAGTCCAATCGCTTTTGAACACAATTGCGGCAAACATATAATTCACAGTGATGACACAAAGATTTAGGATTGAAGAGTGCCATAAAAGCTGCGCCGCAAAGGGCACAATGGGCTTCGTCGTAACGAGAAACTCCGCGACGAGCCTTCTCCTTTGAAATAGCCTTTTCTCGAATATTTCTAAAATTAAAAATAGAAGTGTGAATGAACAAATTTTAGAGCATTTATAGAAAATATCTTAGTATCTGAAGCATAACTTTCCCACATATGTATGCTAAAAAAAGCTTGTATAAACAATATTCGCCGGCTAAATTACGAAAGAAAATAAACGGGAACAGACAAACAATTTTACGCGATTTTTAAAATTAGTAAGCAAACTTATATACTTCTATTTATGCGATAAATAGCGACTTAAAAGCAAGTGACAGCCTCTGCTAAAACTCAGTTACGCAAAAAAATTAAACCTCGAGTTCTGGCTCAAGAAGAGCTGTTGGATAACTGGTCAGATAGATCAGTAATGCAGCTAAAAGTATCAGAATCTAACTTTATACGCTCATCCTCCTGACGCTGAAGCATGTCATATCGTCGGCATACGTCAGCCAGGTGTTCTAACTCTTCTTCAGTGATTTCTTGGTCGCCAAGAAGCCTTCCTTTTGCGGAATTTGGGACAGTGACAGCATTAAATGGAGATGAATTTGAGTTGTTCATGGAAGGAACGCCGACTTGTTTACCAGCTGTACTACGTCCCGTTACTGATGCCCCACTCTGATGAAAACTTACAACACTAGCAGGCTTGCTTGTCCGTTTGCCTGATACCACGCTCATTTTAGGGTGAGAATTCAAAATACCCCAGCGTTTGTAAAGCAAAAGCAAGATCGTTTTGCCTGAATAAAACACCTTAAGGTTACAGGACTAGGCAAAAAACCACAATATGTATTTTAAGGAGATTGTATGATTTTACGCAATAACACATAAAAAAGATTTATGGTAGTATAATCTCGACTTGAGCTGTTTTTTTGTTACGGCATGAAGTTGCAAAATTTGGGGGAATAAAAGGTGAACAACACTGCTTCTTCTCAATTTCAGGTTATTTAAAAAATTAATTTTAGCCTAAAAGATAACAATTTAAAACCTATGGGATGAAATATGTGGCAAAATATAATGCATTAGCCACTTAACTTTCAGTTTTGGCAAGCGATCATTCACTGTCTTGGCCGTTGCAACTTTGCCAGATGAGCTGGCTATGGAACCACGCAACAAGACCTGACCTTAATAAAATTGTAACATACGTATTCTCTCTGGGTATCATATCTTCTTACGTATCGCGGAAGTCCTAGGTTGCATAAATACTGCTTATTTGGCCGCATTACAGAATAGCTGCATTCTTTCGTAGCTTAATTTGGTATTGATTCACTTTGTGTCCCCGCCCATGTCCATTGGGAGGGCGGACTGGCATTCAGGTCATGCCAGCAGCACCAGTCCCTTGCATGCATCAAACGCACATCTATTCCGCGTTAATATAATTTCCATTTGACTTAAGTGCAATACTGCTGTTGTTTTAATGTGCCTTAGAGGGAGGAGGCAGGCAGAGAAGTCGAATCTCGTGACTGAGGAGGAAACGTCCTGCAACCCCGAGAGCGGTTCCTTCCCCACACCCCCAATATCTGTACTTACCTCCTTTATTTGCCTTTCCTAATAAACATGTCGAAGCCAAATCAACCTGGCTGTTTCAATATTATGAAAATCAGGCAAGAAAAAATCTACGAGCCTCGTCCTACATAATAAAGTCTTAAATAGCTATAGTACCCCATAACTGTAACCTGGGGATAGTGTGATTCCTAAGACAAAATGTCATAAACGCATACTGTCATGTAGTGACATACATTAAAAGTTATTTCTCTTGACCTTAATAAACAGTAGTTTTTTTCAAAAAGACTCCCTTATTTTTGGCAAATGTTTTTGGCATTTTTTTGTGTTCTGAATTTTTAATCATGATGATTGTCGTAAAAGCAAATACATTTTCTTAAAAAATACGCCTAAATGAGCAAGTTTAGTGCTCTGCGTTAAAGTAAAAGTTGTGAAATTTCGCAGTCGTATGGTAGAATGCATACAACTAACATAGAGAAGAGCTGGGTGAAACCGCTTTGGCCTAAGTATCTACAAAATTAAACATAAAGCCAGATGTGCACGTTTTTATGATGCACGACTTTGTTTTTTCTTATAATAGATACTGTTATTTAGCTACGCTATTGCCTATTCCTACCATCGATCATGAAGTTTGTCAAGCGTCCCTCTTAAGGCAGCAACTCACTGATTTGTGGCAACTCTTCTAGCTTATACACAATGAATTCCATATTTGTCCTCGTTGTCCAAACTTTTCATGAAGCCGTGTATGTGCATTTTGTCGGGAGATGAAGTGACTGAAGTCAACATTTCTTTCTGAGGTCATCCATCGCTGATTGGTTAGTCTTCTTATAACAGAATGTCTGCTATCTTTGGTAGCCCTTCATCCTACAGGTATTTTAAAGATAGACCAGAATGGGCTGACGTTACTCCACTTAAGCAGGATGAAAGTCCTCGAGGTGTGGTGCGGATAGCATACTCAGATGCATTCGTGGACGCACATGACTACGTTCGTGCTGTCATGGCAGTAGATGAGCGTTCACCAAGGGTGCTGGAATTAACAGCCGAAGCTCTTCAAATGAATGCCGCAAATTATTCAATTTGGGCTTATCGACGCAATGTCTTGACAACTCTTAACTCGCACCTTGCAAGTGAATATACATTCACTAAATTTCTTCTTTTTGATCATCCAAAGAACTACCAACTATGGTATCATCTTCAGTGGCTAATGGAACAAGCTGTTAGAGGAGACGAAAGCAACGACCCAAAGACTGTTTACAATCGTCCGGAGTCGAAACTTTACGCAAAACTCATGATGGAGTTTGAACTCATCCGTGAAATTCTGGCAGATGATGCCAAAAATTATCACGCTTGGCAGTATCGTCGTTGGCTGGTTGATTTCTTTAGTGTTCCAGTTAAATGTGAACTAAAGTTTTGTGAGCACATGATACTTGATGATTCATTAAATAATTCAGCCTGGAATCACCGGTTTTATACGGTCATTGAGGAAGGACTCGATGATACCGTCTTTGACCGGGTGAGGCACTTTTAAAAATCTTGCTGGTCACACACTAACATTTCCTACTGCTTCTTAATTACTAGCTCATCTCCTTATTGTTTTGAAGCATACCTATTCTTGCCTTTTTGATCTCCCTTTCAGGAGATGAATTACGCTGTTACTCAACTAAAGTCGATGCCACACAACGAGTGCGCCTGCAACTACCTATTGGGTTTGATATCCCCACTTCCTTCCACCGTTGCTACAAGCGATGCGAAACTAGTTCACAAACGTCTTCTCATGGTTCGTGATGCCATCGAAGATCTAATTGAAAATGACCCAGATGGGGCAGGAGATAGCCCTCCAATTCTCGCTCTTCTTATCGATCTCTTTCACACTTCTCTTCAGCATCGACTTCTCAAACCTACACCGTAAGCATGCCCCCATTGTAGTGTGCACTGTACCTCAAATTTTAGTCATGATTGACTCGTTTCATCTCATTTTTTCAGCTCTACCGAGAGTTTAGAAACTCTTAGAGAGATCGCAGACAGCGCCAGGAACATTTGTGATCGTCTGGCTTTGGAACTAAATCGAGTGCGCGCCAACTACTGGAGGTATAGACGCGACCAAATTGAAAAGACAATGGAGGAACTAACCTAATCACCATGTTTTTTGATAAGTGCACTATTATTCCTACAAAAATTCACAAGAAACTTCGCTACTTTAGCACCTTTACCGCTGAGATCGCAGAGGATTGCAAATCACAAAAGTAATCAGTTTTGTCGTGTGGCACCATCCCCCTTCTTTTCTAACGGCTTCAGTGCAGCTCCAAAACAGAGATGTGTCTGTTTGTGGACTGGGAATATCTCGCACACCTATTTTGCTACTTTCAACTCGATCGATACACGATTTGGAGCGACCAGTAGCCACAAAGCGACGTGCTACATTGTGTTTGAAGAAGAGGTGCATGTGGGATGCCTGCAGCGAACGCCTTAGAGACAGAGTAGGAGGGGGTGGTGCAGGTAGCAGTGACGTTTTACTTAGCGTGCTAAGTGTATGTACATGTAGTGCGAGGGTGGCCTTGATTAGGGGTGTGCCAGGCCACCAGCGGAGGCGAGTCGTTTTCGCGTTGCGTCGTCTCTCCGTGCTCGGCGCTTGGCGTGTGCGATGGCTTCGGCGAAGAGGCCGCACCAATGGCGAATAGTGACGGGCGAATCGTCATTACCAGGCACTGGGTAGGTGACGAGTCGGGGGTCGCAGTTGGAGTCCACGATGCCCACTGTGGGAATGAGCATCTTAGCAGCATCGCGTACCGCCACGTGGTCAAAACCCACGGGATTTACGGTGTTAAGCATGATTATGAGGTCCGGCAGTCGTGTTGTGGCACCGAAGAAGTTCGTGGAATCTGTAAAAACGCCGCCTCCCCAAGGCCGGCAGTAGGAGTACTCACCAATCATCTTGGCCGTTTTTTCTACCAGGTGCATCATCTACAGTTGGGAGGTTTGAAACTAAGCACCAAGTTTGAAGTCACCAAAAAAGGACACTCCAAGCTGGAGCCGACGAAAGGAGTTAAAGGCACTCGTATGCTAGTTGTTGAAAAGATTACAAGGAAACCAAGGATGATAAATCCAAATTTTGGATTAAAAGTGACTATGACACCAACCTGCCTATGTTGTATCATAAAGAGGATGATGCCACCTCGATAAGCAATGTGAGCAGTGAAGTTGAGAGCATCAAATAACAGCTCTGCTGTTTGTTCCAAGTCGAAGATGTCGATTCCCTGACGGGTACCGAAAAGGTAAGGTGTCATGTAGGGGTTGCGGAGCATAGAGCGATGACCGAGGTGTGCACGGACCTTGAAAAGTTGTTCTACTGAAACTACATCGCGGAGACCAAAGTAGTCAGGGGATTGAAGGGGATCGGGCATGGCAGGAGATGTGTGAGATGAGGAAGATGCAATAGTACTAAGGAGATTCCGCCGCAGAAGAGCTTTATGGGCGACAAATAAAACAAGGTATGAAACCAGGAACACAGGTCATAAATACAACTAATGTAGCCTATGTGTCAAAAGAGCCCCAGGTAGAAAATCGCATTGCACAAATTCCAGAAAACTCAAGAAATCAGACAACCGATTTTCGTTGCTAATAGCATTCAGTACGGGAGATGACTCAGGCATACTATACAAGATTGAAGTAGACAACAGGTCGTATTACGAATAGCTTTCTAAGTAAACCTGTATCCTGACATACCCAATGAGGGACACCTGCATAATGTACGCATCTGCATTCACGCCTGCGCCCACAAAACTATTGGCCCTCAAACGATATTTGAAAAACTGGGCGCATAACCAAAGCGATAAAACAATGGTTGGAAAAGGACAGTCATTTTCGCAGAGAAGAAATAGGTGCGTCTTAGATTAAACTGACTTTGTGTGCTCAGCATGCGATTTTTAAACAGCTAATGTAAGCCTAAAGGACACTTACGCCTAGTCATGTAAATGAAATGCATTAGTTTGAGAGTAGCTGATAAAATTACTTAGGCAGTCATCATGTTGACAGTTACCAGCAAATAAAGTATTAGAGCGCTGTAAGAATGCCAAAGATAGATTAGCCCATCGTGTTCTGTTGGATTTCTAACACACAAATTTTTTGTGCATGATTTAATTCATGTTACAACACTGATATTCAAATGATTCTAAAGTAATTTTTGACAGATACACCGGTTTCCTAGGTGAAGCATAACTTGCGGCTACTGATGAGCTCATACAGTTTCATTTAAAGCATTTAATCTTAAGGTTCTAAATTGCAAACACTTCCACTTCTGATCGCCTTGGAACAAGGGAATGCATCTATTTGTGATAGATTAAATGGTCCTGCTGATAATTTTGTATCTGATGAGGAAGCAAAACTGTCAAGCCGAGTATGCCATGGCCCTCAAGGTAGGTCCTCCTTTGCGTCATCGAATGCACTCTGCACTCAGTCCTTGAATCAAAAACTGTTTAATCATTTTAAGTGTCTGTGCATCTCAGTCGGCTTCAAATCGCCATCAAAATTTTTTTGGTGCTCTAGTCTTCCAGAAGTTATATCAATTGTTGTACGAAGCATACTTTCTAGCTAGCAAATTTTGAGGGACTCTCTATTTCCACTTGATTTCAGGGTAAGGCAAAGGTCAGGCAAACATCATCACCGCTATCCACAGCAAGTGACGAGACAGTGAAACTTCGATCTCGATTGGGTTGTGAATCCTTTTCCATTGCACTAATACTCTCATGAAATATGGCCTCTTTGGAGGAAGGGTGATAATATTAGGCGTATTCTTACGAGCAACTAATCTCAAAAATTCGAACCACTTAATAGGCATTTTTTCTCTATTTTCATTGTGGAAATTTTTTTACCGAATAACACCAAATGATAATTAAAAAAGATTCTAATTTAGTAAATGGTTGTATTTTAACCCAGGATTATCACAGTATCACTTATTTGGTACTAGTAACTTAAATCTACCCACGTGAATCAACAGGTAAATGAAAAGATTAGTCTAACACAATATTGTTTTAACAGTGCTAACGAATTTAATTGAGACCTCTCTTGTCGAAATTACTGACTTATAAAGCTCAAATCTTCAGGCGTCCAACTTCCCACTAAGTCGCGTACAGCTGCTGAATCAGATGTAAGATTTGCAACATTTTTGGGTGCTAGAGGCTATGGTTGCACCGCCTCTAGCCATCATTCTACAATCAATGAGTGATGTAAATCATTGCTACTGTTACTCAAACAACAGGATCATTGTTAACAGTTTATTAGTAATACTTATAATAACCTAAGTCTAAATTTATGGAACAAGTGTTATTATTGTTCAGTAAAGTTGACAATTAAGCAATGAATTAAATTGTGTAATTTAGGCCACTACTATGCCACAGAATGCCCTCTAAACGGTAATCCACAGTATTAAATAATCGAGTCATTTATTTGCATTATTATTTATGTTCAAAATACCAAAGTATGATGCTGTCCATGGGCTCTATCCAGGTGAGGCTATAATTCTTTCCAGATTATCGGGCCATCTTTTGACTGCAATTACCATAACAATGTCCACATAGGTAGCAGCAAAGTTTTCACCCACTCATAAGTTATTTTTGATAATTTTCATAAAGATTTGGCCTCTAGATTTGGATTGATTTTAATAAACGGTAATGTGTGCTAGCTAAAATGCGCTAGTCATTTAATGCTCAGTTTTGGTAAAGGAGTCCATCAGGGTCTTCGCCTTTGTATCTTTGCTGAGTGAGCTGGCCTTCGGGCTGTGATAATGGCACCAAGCCCCTCTAAAGATTAGCAATCCATATACTGCCCGAGTATTATGCCTGTTTTCGCCTACGTGGAAGTCTTAGAGCGGTATACAAACTATCGCCTCTAACATGAGCCCTCAGCCGCCTAATTGTAGAGAGCGATTATCTTTATTATTTGTCCAAATTTCATATAATATTTGGACTAACCGCTTTTTCTTTTTCAATAGCTTCTATTTTACTAAAGAAAACTGAGCAAAGTGTAGAAACCGACCCAAATAAGGTCACCGTATGTGCTGAGGTCGCGTGAATGAATCGTCTTGTTTGATTTAATTTCTTCTCTTAAATCGGCATGAAAATAAAAGACGCAAATGCGTTCTAATTGCCAAGTAGATATGTCGCAGTGAAGACGCAACCGCTTGATGTGGGAGGCACGTCATAGTTAAACACAGGTGAAACTGGGTCTTGTCATAACCGAAACCAAAGCCGGAATGCACCCAACATAAGTGGCGCACCATGACAGCAATACGCGAATTTAACAATGATGAGAGAATCCAGAGATCGGGTTACTTGCCAAATCACTCCTCCGTAGAATATGATCCCATGGTCAGGAATGCTGAGTTGATTCTAATTGTAACGCCACAAATTGAAGCGTGGCACGGCGCACAATTTTGGATGTTCAAATAAGGTCATTGTTTATAACCAGAAAATGTTAAAAAATTGGTCTTACATTCTAAAAATGACCAATAACCAATGCTGCTGCTCCTGTTTACATATTATCCCCGTATCCTTCCCTTCCAACTTTTCCCTGTAATGGCTGGGTAAAACAAATTGTTCATCCCCGGTTTGAACCGAAACTAGATTGACTACGCTTTACTGTCAAGCACTCCCTTTGATTAGTAATTACGATTTTTTCAAATTAAATAACCCATTTGTTTAAACTTTCTATTCTCGGCCATCCTATGACCACAAACACCCATTAAATACGAATTTGTCCACTTTGCCAGCGAAATGAAATTAGTTGCACACATCTGGTTGTTTTATTCTTAAGCTAACCATATTGGCTAGCAGCCGTTTCGATTGCTTTAAGGCCTCTAGCGATCGAGCATGCAATTGTAGCGTCCCGAGACTCCCTGAAGACGAAAGAAGGCACAATACTCGTGCAGAATATATATATTTAGCACGGAGAAGGTGTCTGGGCTATTGGCATGGCCCAAAAGGCCAGCCCACCCAGCGAGGTACAAGGGGGTTAATTCAAAGTACAAAAGTGGCGCCTCACCAGAACCGAGGGATAAACCACTATCGTATTACAAAATTGTTCATTTTTGCTGAGGAAATCTTTTTGTTTTTGATACCGGGTTTTCAATTACTTAGCTACTTGTCCTTTCACGGATGGACTCCTTACTGACCGCTACTGGTGTGTAGACGACCTCGGTGGAGCGAAACATGCGGTAAGCTTGACAGGATGAAAGGATGAAGCGAGTTCCCACCTTCCTAAAAATTCCTGCGTCCAAATCTTCACATTAGGGGATTTGCGTGCAAAGGTATTTCGGCATTTCGAACGATTCCCTTTTACCATATATGGATCTTTTAAATTAATGATAAAAAAAATTACAAATTGCTCACCTCGCTAGTTCAAGCATGTGTAGGATTTGGAAGTGTGCGGGCTACACTTTGAACACAGTCCAAGTGGTGTGCAGGGAAGTCATTTTAAGACTTGACCTGAGGTTTTTTCGTCGCAAATATTACGCTGTGTGTTTATCAAGTTCGGCAGTTTGGTCGGTGTGTGTGCAAAACGGCTCTAGGGTAAATAACTTGGGCATCCCAGTTCTCGCAAATCTTCCTATAACTCCCGTTCCTAAAGACTCAGCATTGAAGACTGCATAATTTTTTGTTTTGATGCGAAGTGTTGTGCGCTTCATGTGCCGAGGTGTACATTAGCCATTATGGACTCTGTAGGGCCTCAACCAAATAAATAAAGGTACATTTAATAATTGGCGCACATTTAGGGATTAACTCCAATGCACTGTTGCAGTAGGAATGTCAGCAGACTATTTGCCCTGATTAACAATACCCAGCCAAGCGAAGTGGTAGAACCTTTTGGCCCATACCAGCGATTATGGCAAATAAGCGCCCATCAAAATTTGATTGTTTTATAGCGACTTACGGGACAACTTTGTGACCCATTCGGCTGTCATTATTTCCCACTCGATTAGCTGTTACCATAAATAAGTGAGAAGTACACGGCATATACTGGCTCACGGGTGTTGAATAACCGGGACGTCACATGCGTGTGACAGTGATGGTAACGATGATGAATGAACCTTACCGATAAGCGCCATGAGCGTATCACTTCAGCACGTACATATCTAAAAACGCATTCAACACAACTGTATGCAATACTTGGATTGCTTGTTTGAACCTTCGTTTTGATTTCGAGGGGTGCTTAAGTTTCCGCCTCTGTAACCTACGCTGGGCGGCGTATCCTCTGTGCCACGCTGATGGCTTCCTAACCCTTATGTGTGTCGGTAATGCATTTTCTGTTGTACTACTATGCCTTCTTTAGTCTTCAGAGAAGTCTCAGGGTGCCGCATTAATGGAAGTGGAAAGCGGACCCTATCTTAAAGGGCAACTTTAAGGGTTTCTATTGCTCAATGCTAATCCTACAATCAACAAAAGAAGGGTATATTCTGCGAATGGGAAAATTTTAATGTCTCCCAACCGAAGGGTTGAAAATGGCTCCTGCATTCGGCAAATACCCTAGTCTTGCGGTCTACGAGAATGATACTAAGAACGCAAGCGACACTAGACGTGAACCGTTTGGAAAGATTTGTTTTGGAGCTGTCTATGGTATCTGTATGAAGATGTCAACTACGTGAACCCGAGATACCTCCTCCACCTCCTTGCCAGTGGAAAAGAGCCCATGGAAGTCGTGAGCGTTACAATGTGTGCGATGTAAAGCGAAGAGAGGGGAGTAACTATTCAAATATATGCAATCTTCTCAGTCTCTTTCCACGTCTAAGTGTTGATAATATATTTGCTTTGTCACAACCTATGCAAATCAAAATGCTGTTGCTAGAATAGGTAATAAGTAAACACAAGGCAACGTATTTGTTCGGTTCGTTAGGGTTAATGTATTTACCGAAGCCTTCGCTCCGGTTCGTGAAGGACGATGTAGTAGGCAAATATTTGCTCTTGGGTCACGTTGTTTTGGGCACTTAATAGGGAATGAATCGGGAGTAAACTCAGTAACGCAGGAATCGTGGGTAAATGTAATGCTTTGGTTGTTTGTTTAGTTGTTTGTTTTGGTTGCGCGGGCAATTGGGGCTCCATCAACGTACTTCCGATGGACGGTCTGGTCCCTGGGCCATGTAAGTAGCCGCCGCCCCCCGGTCCTCCTCTTTGTCTGTAATGCATATTCTGCTTAATTGTTGTGCCTCCTTTCTTTTTCAGGGAGGTCTTAGAGGGCTACATAATGGTCTCATTTTTCAAAGGAACCTGATAAAAATAAATTTTGTTTCTCAAATCCTTCAAAACATCTAAAATCTCCTGGCAAAGTTTCATCGTCCCTAAGTGCAGGTCTAAGCGTCTCATATAATAGAAGACGGGGTGGAAATCAAGAGATCCGGACATGAGGTGTGAAGTATTAATGCCTTATTATCGCCTTTATAAAGGGATGTGACACTTAACGTTCACTACTGTAACACCCACCGTAATTACCTTAACACAATCGCAATAGCGTTTTGGAAATGGAAGATGATGAAACGCAACTGCAGATTAGTACATGTGCAGCTCTAAAATAACTAATTACGGAGTTATTTTTGGCTTCGCATATGGTGAACAGAAGATACCAGCACAAGTGTGGCTAATTTTCGACCTCTAAAACTGTTGAAGCTCTCAAAACTCGTGCCATCCTAAAGAAGAGAATCGCGTGATCGCCAGTAGAATTGCCCTTAAAGTACAGTATACAT